AATCAATACATTAATAAATCAATACATTAATCAATACATTAATAAATCAATACATTAATAAATCAATACACCAACACCTAAATGCATAAATCAACGAATTAACATCAATACACCAACACCTAAATGCATAAATAATTAACATCAACACCTACGAGACATACAATACAAATACCCTCGTACAAGAGATCAGCCAATCAGAGCGCACCAATTGGTAAGCAACCACCGGCGCACCCGTGCACCTTAACAAACCATCCGCAAACGGAGAACAAAAAACGAAAGGGGAACCCTTAGTTTTGATTTTGCAACGCTTTTCGTTGAATTTTTCTTTTTTTTCAGTAATAAAATTACTGTGATGAGGTTATAAATATAAATATAAAATTACATCGCTTTGTTCTTTCAAAAATTCTGTTTTTCGAATTAACATCTCTTCTTTGTTTAATAAGTATTTACCATTCGTCTATTAAAGGACCCCTAACAAAGGAGCAAGACAACAATCGCAGAAAACAGAGTTACTACCCCCCGTTGGCAGAGTTTAGAAAAAACACCCATACATTTTTACATTTTACTTTTTGTATTAAATTCAACACAAATACTGAAATTTGTCAGTTTGCGATTGGAATACTCCTTTTTATCATAATTATAGAAGATGTCATTAGTAGGTATCAAGAATAGCATTGGTGCTTTATTGAAGAGAACCAAATCCGACGATGAATTGGAGCATGTTGATCATTTACTAAATCAAAATCAATCGCCATATGGTGCCACCGATAATCCTGATCGTGCCCAACAATCGGCAAACGAAGAAGCTATATTGAATGCGGTCAAGTCCAACGATTATAACGAGGAAGAGGATGAAGAAGCAAAGGGGTTTTTCACCAAATTTGACCCAAGAGTTATGTCGGATATCATTATTGGGTTATCGGATGGATTAACTGTTCCATTTGCATTAACTGCCGGGTTATCTTCGTTGGGTTCAACCAAGATTGTTATAACTGGTGGTATGGCCGAGTTAGTTTCTGGATCCATATCGATGGGTCTTGGTGGTTATTTAGCTGCCAAATCAGAATTGGACTACTATAAATCAGAAGTTAAAAAGGAAAAATTACAATTTTTCAAAAAACCAGAAACAATTAATCAAGACGCTGCTGAAATCATGTTAGATCTAGGGGCTTCAGAATCAACCATTGCCTCATTTTTAAAAGATTTAGATTCCCAACCAAAAAATTTAATTGATTTTGTTATTAGATTCGGTAAAGGCTTAGAAGAACCCGCTGAAGGTAGAGAAATCACTTCGGCTTTAACCATTGGTTCCAGTTACTTTTTGGGTGGGTTCATTCCTTTAATTCCTTATTTTTTTTGTCATATAGTGGAAACCGGCTTAATTGCTTCAGTCATTGTCATGATTGTTACTTTATTCATTTTTGGTTTTATTAAAACCTCAATCTCTTTAGGTGAAGATTGTGGTACCAATAAAAAATTCACCGAAGGTATACAAATGGTTCTTATTGGTTCGGTGGCGGCCGGGGCTGCTTGGACCCTTGTTTATTTCATTGATAATTAATCTTTTGCATCATCGCTGGCTAAGTATGGATTTCAGCATTACTGGGAAGCTGTAGATATTGTTTACTGTGTATATTATTTAATCTTAACGTCTAATATGTCTCTATTGGTTGTAAAAAAAAAAACACAAACTGTACGGGTGTAGGAACAAAGTGTACGGGTCTTTACTTGGGGAAGGATTTATAATTTTTTTTTCAAACTTTAGTGGCAATTCAACCATTACCTTACCTTCTAATCAATCATTAAAATGTCCCAAAGAGCTGCTAATCTTGCTTCAAGACTCGCCATTGGTGCCGGTGTAGCTTTCACTCTAGGTGAAGCTTCTATATACGATGTCGAAGGTGGGAAACGTGCAGTTATATTCGATCGTTTGAAAGGGGTTCAACCACAAGTTATCGGCGAAGGTACCCATTTCTTATTACCATGGTTTCAAAGAGCAATTATCTATGATGTTAGAACCAAACCAAAAGTGATGGCCACCACTACCGGTTCAAAAGATTTACAAAATGTATCATTAACCTTGAGAGTGTTACATCGTCCAGAAGTTAGAAATTTACCAAAAATTTATCAAACTTTAGGTTTAGATTATGATGAAAGAGTTTTACCAGCAATTGGTAATGAAGTTTTGAAAAGTATTGTTGCCCAATTCGATGCTGCCGAATTAATTACTCAAAGAGAAGTGGTAAGTGCAAGAATTAGACAAGAATTAAGTAAAAGATCCGATGAATTTAACATTAAATTAGAAGATGTTTCAATTACCCACATGACTTTTGGTAAAGAATTTACTAAAGCCGTCGAACAAAAACAAATTGCTCAACAAGATGCTGAAAGAGCTAAATTTTTGGTGGAAAGAGCTGAACAGGAACGTAGAGCTAATGTTATTAGAGCCGAAGGTGAGGCTGAATCTGCCGAAACCGTTTCAAAAGCTTTAGCCAAGGCTGGTGATGGTTTATTAATGATTAGAAGATTAGAAGCTTCAAAAGATATTGCTGGTTTATTAGCTAACTCTCCAAATGTTTCTTATTTACCAGCTGGTGGTAAACAAGGTAATGGCGATGGTAATAACTTACTCTTAAACGTTGGCCGTTAATCCCCCATTTCAATAAGTCATGTACATAGTTATTTAGTTTCGAAAAATTATACAAAAAAAAAAAAAAACCTAAAAATGTAATCTCTATATACAAAATTATATATTTAATTCAACTAATTCATCATAAGCTCCAGGAGTAGTTACTTTTCCTGACCTGATTAAACTTTCAATATCTTCAACTTCTTTAACACATCCACTAGTTAAATTTAAAATATCTTTACTGTATTTCCCAACAACTATATCATCTTCAACTCTAACACCAATTCCTTGATATGCTTTTGGCCATTTATCATCCTTTGGTACATACACCCCTGGTTCTATTGTTACCACATTACCAGCCTTCAATTTTTGATATCTTGAAACTGAAGGAATGTCATGTAAATCTAAGCCTAAATGATGGCCAATATAATGTGGATACAAATATCTGCTAACGTCACCAGAATTAATTAATCCAAATCCTGGTAAATTTTTCAATTCTTGAGTTAAAACTTTAACTGAAACTTCATGAATATCATTCAATGATACTTGATTACTTTCAAAACATTGATCAATACAAACTTTATTTGCATTTAATACAACTTGATATATATCTTTTTGTTCGGGTGTGAATCCTTTAGGTGAATTTGGCCATGTTCTTGAAATATCAGCACAATAACCCCCTAATTTTCCTCCAGCATCAACGAAAACCATCTCATCTTTATATAATAAGTCATCATTTCTAGTATAATGAATAATTAATGCGTTTGATCCACTGGCAACCACTGGAATATATGCTTGTCTATCACAACCTCCTTTAACAAATTGGTAATCCAAGTACTTCGACAAAGTCTTTTCAGTATGTATTGGATCGTCACTCCCAACTTTGGCAATGGCCTTGTTAATAGCTCTTGATGATATTTGGCCGGCTTTATGCATTACTTTGATTTCAGCCGGGGATTTGATTGATCTTTGTTTTGCAATGGTAGGTTTAATCGATCTGATTAAACAATTTCTGGAATTTTTCAAAGTTTCATTAATTGTATTAGGAATCTTATGAACGGAAAAATTATTGAAAAAAGTTTGAAACTTTGATGAATTATTAACCCCTGATTTTGATTTATTCTTATCATCCCAATATACATATTCATTCTTCTTCAATAAACCATCCAAATATCTATCAATCTTATTAATATCCTCAACATAATCGGCATTGAAAAAATCATAAGCTCCTTGCATTCCCGATCTTTCCCCTTCCCATAATTCAACCGCTGGATTCTTGGTGGGCACCAACATATGCAACGCAATATCTTCGTCGCTACCTGTATTCAGCGTTTTTTCAATTATGGCAACGGAGTCCGGTTCTAGCCATCCAGTCAAATAATACAAATCATTATCCTGTTGGAACTCATGAAATACACTACCACTGCTGAACTGCACTTGATTACCAACCAATATAACTATGGACTTGGCTGGTAACTGGGCCATAAGCTCGGCCCTTCTATCATAATACTCCAATGCACTGATCCCAGGAGTCAAATATCCTGGCTCTGGTAAATAATGTCTTCTTGTTTCATGGGTTGGTTGTCCAGTACTAAACAATTCCGCAGGTCGGGTTTCAATTTGTAAGCATCTCTTACTTCCGTAGACATTTCCAGCCCTAATCGACCGCATCCCCCACGACCGAGCCTGTCTTATGGCTCCTAGCCTCAACGGGAGTAGACTTATCATCACGAACTTGAAAGGCTGCAAAATTTCAACAATTGCAAAATTGTTAAAAAAAAAAAAAAAAAAATAGCAATTTTTCAAAAATACTCGAGGAAACCAATGATTTTTTTTTGTTCTTTTGCTCCAAGGGAAAAAGCATGTCATGAGTTTTTTTAGTAAGATCGCACACCTTATCGAAGACATAAATCTTGCTTGAATCGTCTTCTTAGATATATATACCAAGCGGACCAAGATCATAGAACAGCGTAATGGGCAGCTTATACTTTGATGCTAACCGAGGATTTTGTTTAAATCATGACGTTGACCTGGAACGTCACCACCATAATCCATTGAGAAGACTTTCCAGATCCAATAATAAGACAATTAGGACCAATGGGTTTGATTTGCTACCATTGGATGAAGATGAAAGTGGGAGTAGTAATAATGATACTGATGGGTATTTATCACCGGGACTGGGTACAGGAAGGAAGAATTCTACCGTTTCCGACACCAGTGGAACCTCAGAGTCTCTGGGGAAGAGCAAGAAGAAGTCAAAGGAGGACCGTAAGGAGAAACGTAGACAGAAAAAACACAATTCATATATGAAGAAACTTAATAAGCTTTCGGATGACATTAAGCATAAAAGTTTACTTGATACTTTCAAGAATGAGGAGGAAGAATATAATCCGTATTATACCAAGCATCAATTAACGACATCATATAGTAAGATATTACAATTATTCAATAGGAATAACAAAGAAGATTTCAAGTTATTTCAATTCAATTCAATTGCATTTTATAAAACCGATTTGGACTACTTGTTACCGGAAGAATGGTTGAATGATAATAATATATCATTTATCTATGAATGGTTGATCAATACGTTTGTGAATCCAAATCCATTCAATTTCGAAGTTCAATTATTATTCCCATCATTAGTTCAATTGCTTTTGCACTCATCAATGGAAGGCAATTTAGAAGAAATGTTACCTATGAAGGAATTGATGAAACTGAAATTTATTTTCATGCCATTCAATCAATTAGAAGAAGATGAAGTTAACTTAGAAAAAGCCAATAACGGAGATCATTGGATATTATGTTTGCTTTGTCGTATAAATAACAAACTTTATATATATGATTCAATGGCTTTTGAAGACGAAACTGATGAAAGACAAGATCAATTATTGGAACAATTGGTGGATAGATTACAATCCTGTAAATCTTTATTTAAAAATAATTCCAAGATTGAAATTGTCAAGATGACTTGTGATCAACAAGATAATTCAGATGATTGTGGAGTTCATGTCATTATGAATACTTGTATATTGATTAAACGATTATTTTATGGTGATAAAAGTGATGAAGAGGCCGTGGACGATGAAACTAATTCAAACAATGATAATGATAATGATGATGATGATGCATTTAATCCAAGTGATTATAAAGTTAATTTAGATTTAAGCGAACTTAAATTGAATGCTTTAGATGCTAGATTATATATGATGACTTTGATTCATAAACTATCTCAAGAAGAAGTTGAAAAAATAGAAGATTAACTAAAAAATCTCTCAGTAAGTATACCTCTCATTAGACTAGCGAATGAATCAGATTCAAGATCACTTGATAATGTATTTAATTCCTTTTGTAATTTCAAAATCCTTAAATTTTCATCTTGTTGATTTATATCATTGAAGAAATAATCTAATTTTGAATTATATCCAATTTGTTGTTCACCAAGATTTAGAATCGACATTAGTGCTAATAAATCATTAGATATTTCTTCCGACTGTGACTCTTTATAACCTAATTTTTTCAACATTGTAAGCCTTGGAATTTTAGAAGATACCGATAAAATTAATAGAAAATTTTTGAAATCAATGATTAAATTAAGATAATAAATGAATTTTTTAGCATTTGAAAAGTTATTTATAAATCTTTCATTCGATGAGGGTAATAAATAACCGAGTTTTGAATAAATTTTTAAAATGAATTGATCATTAAGCAATTTAGCTTTCGTTTCCCAAGTGTTCAATTCAGAAATATTTAATAACAATTGATAAATACTAGATTCGAGCCCATCATTAGATACGATCAAATCAATAAGTTGTTGATCAATGAAATTCCTTGGATCTTTATTGGTAGTATTACCAAAGTCATTCATAAGAGTTAATTCTTTAAAAGGTCTTGTGAAAATTGAAGCCAAACAAATAGCTGAAAGTAATTCTGACTTGAATTCAAAATCATTAAAAATTATTTCAAGGGTTGTTATATTTGGAATATTACTATTAGATAGTAATATTTCATAGCAATTTTCCAAAAAATGATTCATATCATTTTCTTCAAACATAAGAATTACATTTAACCATTTAATTAACCAAAAAAATTTCAATTCTCTGACAAGGCCCTTTTTAGTCAAATCCGATAATTTTGAAATGGTATTATCATCATTAGACTGATTTTTCAATGAATTGAAAAGTATTTCATTTTTAGCATAATAAAAATTGATTTTCTTCAATAAATTATCATAATTTTTAATTTTACTGGATATAGCACCTAAGTTATTATTACCAATTGGGTTTGAATAACTTGAAGTCGGTTCATTTTCAAACAGTTCATCAATTGGTATTTTCTCCTTATCTTCAGAAGTTGGGCCCAACTGAAAAGATGCACGAGTAGTAGTAGTAGTCTCATTATTATTAGGAAACCAAAGTTGACTATAAATTTGTAATATGAATTGATAAAAAAAGAATTCAACGTACCTATTATCAACCAATTGATTGTGATTATGAGCTTGAGATTGGAACTGAATAAACGAACTGAATAGATTAATGAAGTAGGATGCTTGTTGATAATCATTCTTTATCATAAAGTGAATATAAACTTTTTTAAATTCATCAAATTTAAATGATTTATCATCTTGGTTCAAATCATCATTTTCGAGCAGTTTTCTAAATGCTTTTAAATTCAATAAACCTTCTTCCTGTTCAATAGAAGAAATCCATTCTCCACTATACTTATGAGACACCGAATGGCTATTCAAGTGGTCAATCATCGCTTGATAACTTGGATGAAGCGTTTTATATTGATCCATCAATTCCAAGCATGATTGAGCGGCTAATGTTAAATCATCAAATTCACCAGCGGCCAACTGGGACGAATTGATTAAGGTATCAAATTGATTAGCCAACCTTGGGATCCTAAGAAAGGATACGTTCAACTGATCTGGAGCTTGTGAAGTCATTGTTGAGCGATGGTTAAAGTAACTGATAACTAGGTTGATTTTTTCCTTCTCATATTTTGAACTTATAATTACAATTTTACAACTAAATACCTCTAAATACATAAATACACCTATTAATCTATAAAATCAGAGAACTTGTACGGTAAGAATTACAAATGTTAAATAGAATCAGAGCAATACCCCACGAAAGCGGGATCCAACAACTCATCGGCAAAGAACCAGCTTTGTAGATGGCCAGCAACATGACTCCAACCACGGCTCCACTGACGAAACCCTGAATCGAGCCTGATAGCACGTAGATCACAATCACCAAGAGACTATTGAGGATCCCCAGTTTTGAATATGGCAGTAGTTGTTTTGTTTTTTCATTATATTCATTAGATTTATCAGGTTTAGGCTTATCTTTACCATACTGGGAGAACCGATAAGGATTCATGCTAATATTGAGTGCAGCAATGCATCCCACTAGCAAGTAGATGGCTCCAAAGAGTATGAGCGACCAATAAACCGTGAATTTCCAAATATCTATCGAGTAGTATAAAAACAGTTGTTGATATTCAGATTGCGTGGCCCCCAACGGCCAGTACAACGCCGGGAACCGAGGCGTGGTGTATCCGATGGGGATATTCAACGAACTGACAAACACCTTCATTATCAAATTGGAATAGCAGACCAAAGGCCGTCAAGTTGAAGTAATAAAGTGTTGATGTTAGCGGGTCGTGCACAACTGTCGGGAATTTTTGATTCTTTTTCTTTAGAAAAATCGCCACTGGTGAAAAGAAATAGTTAGTTTTTAAACCAGGTTAGACTAGCCAGACAGAAGCAAAAGCAATTGATAGGATATAGTAGAGTCATAACAGATTAATAAGTACACAGATTGATAAGAACATATAGAATAGAGTTACGATGTCCAGAAGATACGATTCCAGAACCACCATATTTTCACCAGAAGGTAGATTATATCAAGTTGAATATGCACAAGAAGCCATATCCAATGCTGGGACAGCCATTGGGATTTTATCAGAAGAAGGGGTTGTATTGGCTTGTGAGAAGAAGTTTACTTCCAAGTTATTAGATGATGAAGGGTCTACTGAAAAATTATATATTTTAAATGATAATATGATATGTGCAGTTGCTGGTATGAATGCTGATGCTTCTATATTAGTTAATCGTGCTAGAGTTACTGCTCAACAATATTTGAAGACTTATAATGAAGAAATGCCTTGTGAAATGTTGATTAAACGAGTTTGTGATGTTAAACAAGGTTATACTCAACATGGTGGGTTAAGACCATTTGGGGTTAGTTTCTTATATGCTGGTTACGATGACAGATATCAATTCCAATTATTTACTTCTAATCCATCTGGTAATTATAGTGGTTGGAAAGCAACTTCAATTGGTGCTAATAATTCTGCTGCTCAAACTTTATTAAAAAAGGATTATAAAAATGACTTAAGTTTAAAAGATGCTTGTGATTTAGCTATAAAAGTTTTATCTAAGACTATGGATAGTTCAAATATGAATAGTGAAAAATTAGAATTTGCTACTTTAAGTTTATCAAAGCAACATGAAGGTAAAGTAATTCAAAAAATTTGGAAAGATCTGGAAATTGATGCTTTAATTAAAGATACCGGGGTTTTAGATGAAAAAAATCAAGATGATGATTAGTTGCATATATAATTAATAAACTGTAAAATATACTGGATTTGTAGATGGAGTTTAGGGTTCTGGTTTAGCGTTGAAAATCTCAGACCGCAACTAAATAAGTTGTAAAAAAAAAAAAATAACGGAAAAAGATCTAATAGAATAAACTACATCTTACCAATTGAACATGGATATGATTAACGTTGGTATAGGAGATACCAATTCCCGTAAGAATCAGAAGCTTCTTTCGGAAATTAATAGCAATAATACCATATCAATTAAGTTAACTAAACATTTAAATGAACTCAATGCTTTCACCAAAGAGTTTCTCAGCCAACAAGCACCGATATTAATGAACTATTCTAATACTGCAAATGAAGAAATTGATCAATTGCAAAATGTCTTCCAAGAAGTGTACTCTTTGTATCAAGTGGATAAGTCTAAGGTTAAGAAATTACCGAGTTTAGCCCAATTAAAATCACTCAGAACCAATTTAGGAGATTTCCAAACCAATAAGGTGGATCCACTTAGTATTAGTTTGACTAATTTCATTAATTATTATACTCTAATTGGAATTAATCAAGAGTTATCAACCACACTCATATATCGAACCATTGTGAACTATAATCAAATCAATTATTGGACCGACCTTCAAGAATCAAATTTACTGAAATTGGTGTATGGTATTCAAATCTTACCAATTGAAATATGGAACTTGAGTCAAGGAATCTTATTACAGTCAAAGGAAAAACTCAAGCTCAGTAATTACGATGTCCATGGAAGTTTTACCGAAGAAGATAATATAGTTTATCACAACATTGAATTATTTAAGAGATTTTTAGCAATTGCTAAAAGCAGTTTTGTTGATTTTGTTAAAGATTCAGTAAGACTTACTAACCCTATAAATTTTTTGCAGAAAAAGGAATCAATGAGAGAAGTGATTGGTAGAATCATTTACTCACCTGTTCAAATGATTAACAAGCGAATTACAGCCAAGATTGAACTAATCAATAAACAACTCGAAATCAATTATGAGCAATTGGGATTGTTAATGAAAAACTTGCCAATTGATATATTACAAAATGAGAAATTTACCAAGGAAATTGAATTTGAAAGTAATTTAAAAATTTTGGAAAAAATTAGTGATTTAGAATTACTGATCAGTTCTAATTCGATCAATCAACGTATCAACACTTTGACTGATCGTATCAATAAAATGAGTCAGTATCATGAACATTTATTGGCAACTCAAAAACCAGGGATTCTCATTAGATACTGGCCAATGTTATTAATTCTCATCAAATACGGACCACTGCAATCAATTAACTTATTTCAAAATCGAAAACTTATCTGTCAATGGATCCAACATAACTTGATTGATACCATAATTGGTTTCTGGACTAATTGGGTAATCACCCCATTAACTAATATGTTTGGAATTTTAAGAAATGATGAAATGAATGAATTAAGTATTACCAGTAAAGAATCTTTGAAAAGTGATTTAGATTCTTTAGAAAGAATGGTGATTGATTATGCCGTGGATTATAATAAAACTGATGAGAGTGATGAATTGAAACTACAAATCCATAACGCCGTCAATCAAGGTGATTTAACTATTTTAATGTCAAATTACGAACAAGATTTGAAAAATCCAATTAAATCTTTAGTGAAAGGTTCTTTGGTCCGAGCTTTATTAATCCAAATCCAGAAAACCAAAGTAGATGGTGGTTTGGCCATCAACGGTATTGATAAATTATTAAAGTCCCAACAATTGGTCTTTGGGGTGGTTTCAATTAGTCCTTCAATCTTTATTATTTATCAACTTTACAATCAATTGATCAGTAAGCGCAATGAAAGAGGCTTGATCATCAACGGAGAAAACGTCAAATTCATTTGTCTCAAATCATTAAACAATATCGAAAAGCTAATCATTAAAAAGGATGATAACTTGATCGATGACGGCAAGATATTCATTGAAATCATCAACTTGATCATTCAATCCGAAAAAGTCATTCCCAAACAATTGAAATCAGAATGGATCAGTGACTTGAATGCCTTGAATGAAGACGCCACCTCCACCGACGATAAGTTGAAAAATATCAACCGTATCTGGAACTTATACGGAGCCTACTTTAGATAAATATACGGAGCCTACTTTAGATAAATATACGTTTTGCAGTCATTAAAAAAGCCTGTACACCAGAAGCCCGTCACATGACCACCCCCAATAACCTCCCCCCTCCAGCAACCGCACTAAACGCCATGTGAATAAAGGAACATCGACCGAAGCTGCGAACGGTAAACGTCATTTCGCGCCCCGGGACACGACCCCGGTCTTTTTGGGGGTCTCGGGCACGACTCTTACCAAAGGAGTGTCGAAGGTCCTACTGGCATTTGTGGGGGGAGAACAAGATATGACTGTAATTTGTAGAGACGGTACAACCAGCGTAGCGGGTAAGGACAGAGCGTAGCAAATAGGGAATGCTAGCGTTTCATGGGGAGTTTAGCTGATTAAATTAGACATTCAAAATAATTAGAAAGAATAGACAAACCTGCTTCCCCACCCCCACAAAACGAACAAACATAAAAAATTGAAAGATCCTTTATTGAGAATTTTTTATAAAAGCATTTGTTATACTTTCTTTTATAGCTATTGATAAAGTTCTTTATGGCTTTGCCAAATACACTGGAAGGAATAAAATGAATTCGGCTACAGTTAGTGCCACTACCCCAGGCACAACTAACACTAGTGATACCACCGGGACCACTAATACCACTGGTGCAACTGGTTCAACTCCGACAAAGAAATCAGCTACCGCTAAATATGGATCCAAGACCCCATCGGGGAATGCTCGAATCTTTAATTGTAAACAGTGTAATCGAGCATTTACTAGAGAAGAACACTTAACTAGACATACTTTATCGACTCACAATAAATTAAAACCATTTATATGTGGAATATGCTCACGACCTTTTTCAAGAAGAGATCTTTTATTAAGACATGCTAAAAACTTACATCAGGGTAGTGAATTGGCAGTAAGCAGATTAAGAAGATCTTATAAGAAAAATAAAGATGGTGAAGAAATTGAAATTGATGAAGATGCCGAAGCTGATGAAGAGGTGGATTCTGCATCGACTTCTTCTCCTACTTCTTCTAACTCGGAGGTTGATGATAACATAAGCTCTGCCACTAGCTCGACCACCACTACATCAGCAAATGATTCCAAACCAAAATCAGATACTCATCCAGAAAGTCATAAACTGGATCAATATGAAACCCCAGAGAAAAAACGATTGAAAATGTCAGTCAATATGCTAGTTAGTTAGCTTTCTATCCTCATTCCTCTTCAATTCTTCGTATTCAATTCTTCCTGCATTATATTTTGTTATTTATTAAAATTATCGATGGTTCGTTTGGTAATCCTTTGATGTAGATTATGATCCCCTCTAACGGTATTTAATGAGTTCCGACCCCAAACGTCACGTGAAGAGAACGAGATACCGGTTCTCATACACTTTTTTTTTTTGTTTTGTTTGGTTTGGTAGTAAATTTTGGTTATCATTGCAAAATGATAGAAATTGGTACGCCGGTATTTCAATCGTTGATAAGGTATAATGATTCACAGTGGTATGTGATAGTGACCGACAAGGGGAAGCATTTCTATTTCAATAAGGCTTTGAAAAAGTCCTCCTGGTCAATTATCGAATTGGTGAGAGACTATCAAGTGAATAAAGATGAGTTTGTGCATGGGATAAACTTTGACGAAGTAGCGCTTCTTATGGGTAAAGTGAATGGCCTAGCAGTTGATGACGAGAAGAAGGCTGCAGAGGCGGAAGCGAAGGAGGAAAATGAAGTAGAACAAGTGGAAGAGGAAGAGGAAGAGGAAGAGGAAGAGGAAGAGGAAGAGGAAGTAGACAAGCTTGACCTTGTTAAAAATTTGTTGAAAGAAGAAGGTTATATGAACGAAAAGAAAGAAGAACCCAAAGGGTTGAGTCTTGGGTACTCTTCCAGCGAAGAGGAAGAAGATGACGCCAAAGAAGAGTCCCATTCAGATCAAGAAAGCATTAATAAAGGACTCGATTTATCAATTTCAGATGACGAAGATATCAATAAAGAAGAACCAGTTTCAGATGAAGAAGACATTAATAAAGGACTAGATCTCTCAGTGTCTGATGAAGAAGACGGAAATTCATTTTTCCAGCTTCTCGACAAATACAAAGACCAAATCTCATTATCAGATCCCTGGTTCATTGTTCAGGATGAACTAATAACAGAATTTATGAAAAATCCGGAATATTATTCAATAGACGATAACTTGAAAGAATCATTATACGAGAAATGGGTTAGGTCTCAAGAAAACCCTCAATCAACAACATCAGGACCAAAAACATCGGCAAAACCAACATTAATACAGTCATACTATCATTTTTTACAAGACTTCAAAAACGAATTGAAAAACTTATATTTCAACGATTTTAAGCAAAATTTTAAAAATGAATTTAAAAATTTCACCCAAGATAAAGATGAAAGTCAGTCCTTTTACGAAAATCATTATAGATTATTCAAACTTACTATCAATGATCATTCAAATTTAGAAAAATCATTGAAAAAACAGAAAAAATTACCAAAAGACATCAATTTCAAGAAACAAAGGCTAACTGAATTTTTGAATTCAAACTTGTCCCCAAAAGAAACTTCTAATCTTAACCTAGCGTCGTCCAATGACTTCGATCAATGGATACATCTTTGCAATCAACTTCATTTACCCCTTAAAGTAATTCAAGATCCTCTAAACTTTATTGTTGGTGACGAAAAAAGACTACAATGTTACCTTGAAGTTTTAAATATCCCAACCTAATTAAAAGATTATTTAGAGTTATTATTGTAAGCTTATTTTAGAAGGAACACTCACATTGAAAGAAGGTATGTAAGGTTGCAATTACCCGAAAAGCATCTTTCTGATTGTTTTAATTACGATCTTGCAATTTGTACTTTGTTTTTTCCCATAGAAACAATACAAAGCACTACTGAAAAAAAAAAAAATAAAGTAAAAGTAATACAAACACCCGAAAAGCTTATAAAAACTTTAAAATGGTGGCATTTTAGCTTGAGTCTCTAGGTTTTATCTCCTTAAAATATAAATCTTCTTCTTTTCCTTCTATTGCTAAATCGTTGATTCCTAAAGGCTATTTTATCTTGAAAAAATTTTTTTTTTTCAGTACTGGTCTCATAGAATTTAGTTATGTCGTCTGTTCCTTCTGCTGCAAGCAGAGTGGTTGTAACGGGTCTTGGTTTGGTTACCCCTTTAGGTGTTGGTTTGAAACACAATTGGCAAGGAATATTAGACAGTAGTTGTGGTATTATTTCAACAACTAGCTTCCCTGATTATGAAACTGCCGGTTGGGATAAGATCCCAGCCAAAGTTTATGGGAAAGTTCCTAGAGGCTCTCTTAAAGATGGTAAATGGGATCCATTAGATTATTTTGAATTAGCCGAATCAAGAAGATTGGGTATTTTCTCTCAATTTGCAATTGCAGCTGCCGATGAAGCTATTAAAGACTCAAAACTCGACCTTAATAACCTTGATCGTGAAAGAATTGGTATCACTGTTGGAAGTGGAGTTGGTTCTTTTGATGATATTTGTGAAGGCACAACAACTTATGATGCTAAGGGTTATAAAAGAATGAATCCTTTATTTGTACCTAAATTATTAATTAATATGGCTGCTGGTAATATTTCAATTAGACATGGTATTAAAGGTCCTTTACATACCGCTTCAACTGCTTGTGCTACTGGTTTACATTCAATTGGTGATGCTTATAATTTTATTAAAAATGATTATGCTGATGTGATGGTTGCTGGGGCTTCAGAATCAGTTAACCATCCACTAGGTTTATCAGGTTTTGCCAGAGCAAGATCTTTAGTTACTGACTTTAATGATGATCCCTCAAAAGCTTCAAGGCCTTTCGATGCTTCAAGATCGGGATTCGTGTTAGGTGAAGGTAGTGGGGTCTTAATTTTAGAAAGACTTTCAAATGTTCTTGAAAGAGGTGCTCAAGATCAAATTTATGGTGAAGTTCTTGGTTATGGATTGAGTGGTGATGCTCATCATATTACTGCCCCAGCAACCACCGGTGATGGTGCCTATAGAGCAATGGTAAATACATTGAAAAGAGCCAAGTTAAATCCAAATGATATTGATTATATAAATGCACATGCAACCTCAACTGTTTTAGGTGATAGAGCTGAAAATAATGCAATTAATAATTTATTTGGAGATCATAAGAATTTATCAATCTCATCAACAAAATCGGCTATTGGGCATTTATTGGGTGCTGCAGGTTCAGTTGAAGCAATTTATGCCATTAAAGGTTTGAAAGAAAATATTTTACCCCCAACTATTAATTTGGAAAAAGTTGGTGGACATCCTGATGATGATCCAGAGAAATTCAATAAATTTGACTATGTTCCAAATGTTGCTAGATCAAAAGAAATCAACTATGCATTATGTAATTCATTTGGTTTTGGTGGTGTTAACGCTTCAATTGTATTTGGTAAATATAATTCATAAACTACATAATATCTAGAATAAAACAAAAAGAAACGTTATTAATTATTACATAAAATTTAACATTTGTGAACTAACTTATTTTTTGGAAATTTATATCCAGCATCTTCCCAACTAGTTAAGTTAACATTTTGATAAGCGTTAGCATGATTTTCAATATAATCAGAGGTTGGATGATCTTCTGGATCACAAGTAACGTTAATTTCATCTTCTGGTTGATATATTCTAACATGATCAACACTCATAGTAGCAGGAAATTGTAAAGCATTCCAATCAATATAAGCCCAATTATTTGAAATACCCATATTCATAACAATTGACATTGGTTCTTTTGATAATCTTCTCCAACCAACATTACCATTTGGAGCTAATGCCTGAGCTTGAACAGTAAGGGTTGGTTCACCAACATACCAAGTTAAATAACCATCTTTATCATGTGACAACCATTCGAACCCATATTGTTGAAAATAACCTTCACCTTCATACCATTTAGTATTTAAAGTAGTGGTACCAGAAACAGCTTGTTGATTTGGACCACCAGTATAAGTATTCATAGTAGTAATATCAGGATCATAAATTTCAACAAAATTATAATCTGGATAATACCAAATATCCATTGGAGCAATTTGATAAGATTGAGATGCAATACCTTGATATTTAGTAGTATCAATTTCACCTTCTAAAATATCAATTTCTGGAGCACCACGTCCAGTCCCTTGATTTGGATGATCTTCACCTGGACAAGTACATTTATTTAATCTTTGACCTGGTAAATAACTAATACCATCAGGCGAAGATTGATTTGCAGTGATACCTGCATCACATTCTTCATAAGTATAAGGCCAAACCCCTTCAGTAGTAGCCATATAACCTGGTCTACCCAAGTTACCCATAGTCCATAAACCAGGCCATAACCCAGATATATTACCGTAGAAAGGTAATTGAGCTGAAACTAAAATTAAACCTTGGGAGAAACATAATTTATTCCAAGAATGAAGCATACCTGATCTGTAGAATAAATCATGATTTTTAATAGCATCCATTCTTAATTTCAAAGTACCATTTTTAGTAGTAACAGCATCAGGGTCATACCATTCCAAATCTTGAGTTGCAGCATAATGAAAGTCAGGAGCGTAAAAGAATTGGTCATCACCTTCGTAAAAAGTTCTACCTTCGACATTAAATTCATCACTGAAAACCAATTTCCATTCTTTACCTTTTGAATTTTTAATTTTTCTAGCTTCATCTGGAGTATCAGGATCAACTAAACTAGTTCTAATTGAAGAAACCAAGGGATACGAATATGGAGATAATTTTTCGTAAGATTCTGGTTTATAAGGAGAAGTAACCCCAGAATAGGTCAAAACTGGTAAGATAACAAAAATAACAATTGCCACGATTGCTAAGGATAAAATCCCACAAATCCCACCAAAAGATCTTTTATCGATTCTTTTAAGATCATAAAGGAAACGATGTTTATCATAATGGGCGTCAGCAATTGGATCTGGATTATGCAAATAATCATCAGGTTCTTTTTCGTCTATATGTAAAGGAAACAGTTGAGCAGGATAACCACCAAAAGGGCTAAAATCTGAACTATGTAAAAATGGATCAGTTAAAGATTCATCATCTTTTGAATATGCGAGTCCAGCTGCTGCAGCACCAGCACCAGCACCAGCAGCACCAATGCCGGAATTATTTTGATTATTAAGAGAGTTGAGGGAAGTACTTGATACCACTCTTGAATTAGCCATCGAAGGATACCTATCGTAAGCAGGAGGAGCATTAATATTATTTGAATCTGGCATTAACGTGTTACTAGTTTGACTAAGGGCATTATAACGATAACCATTAGAAGTAGTATGGTTTCTAGCATTGGCAAAAATGTTTTCTTCGTTTGAAGAATGTTGGGATGATAATAAGTTTGAAGTTGTACCATTTTGACTATAATACCCATTATAAGGTCTACCGTAAGTATCTTCGTCCGATTGACTATAAGATTGGCCATCAAATGAAGAAGCAGTCTCTTCTTCTTCAGTAGGGTTGACAAAAGGATTTTGATTATGAAGCTCACTAGAAGGTCTTCTTGAGTCTTCACTCAAGACATTTACTTGAGGAGTATTAAAAGTTAAATCTCGTTGGGCCATGATTGCAAAAAAAAAACTTTTCTCGAATCAACAGCTGAATAAATAAATAAGTAACCGATCAAAATGAACAAGACCCAAAGAGATCTATAACGAAATGAATAATGCAAATATGAATAAGAACGAGTGAATCGACGATTTGAAAGCCAACTGATCAACGAAAGGCGCAAAAATTTCTAGTAAAGAGCTCAGTTATTTGAAGCTCAATCTTCTTGCAACAAAAAAAAAACTGGATACAAGTCAAACACAAGTTTACTAGAACAAACAAACAAGATTAGTAGAAAGAGAAAAGAAGAAGTAACAACTTCAAGAGATCGAAAATCAAAAAGAAAAAAAAAAAAAAAACTAAAATCAAATAAAATAAAATAAAAAGAAAGACCAGTTATAAGCCTAAAAACAAAAAATAGAAAATAAAGAGTACAACATGTTAGCAACACTCAAATGGGGCTATTAAACAAAGCTTTTAAGGTACGTTTTCCTTTACTGTACCAATACATAATACTGTTTATAATTTTATATTAGACAAAATCGGTTTAGGGCCCTTAACAGATTTATTATGGCTATGTCCCTCTACTGTATATACTGCAATCCCTATACAGTATTTCCCAGCTGACATCTGTCAACCTATTCCAGTCCAACCTTCTTTCATCCTTGGTCCACCCTCGAGGCCGGGTCTGTCCTTCCACGGTCTGGTCCACCATCCCACGGCCTGTTCCCCAGCCTGCTTCCAAACGTTATGTAGCAAGTATAACTGAGTATTGTGCTCCTTGTGCTGAATTAATGAGGGAAGATTGGGTTGCAATGTTTGTGTCACCTGCTTTTGTTCCCTTTTTTTTTTTTTTTTTTTTTTTTTTTTTTTTTTTTTTTTTTTTTTTTGTTGCAATTTTTTGACTTTGATTGAAATTGGAATCCCGTACACGACCTCCCAATTCTTCCGGAAGATTGACGTATTTGGTACGCGGACGTCATCCTTTCCTGGTGTATGGATGTTTACACACCCATACACCATTGATCATTCACACCCATACACCAGAAAGTAAGGTCGCTGAGCGGTTCCTGGCAGCAAATAGCTACTTCTAAGCGCCCTCTTATCGAAGTTGATGATAGTTTCGATTTCTTCTTCAATTGGTATCCATGTCTCGCTTCAAATCAGAAGATGATAATCTAAATAACTCGTCGGCGAACAATCACAGTGATACGTTTTTATCGAGAGTTTTTGGACTTCACTCTATCTATAATCAGTTGCAAGAGAATTATCAGTATTATGATTCGGAAATTGACTCATTAAACTATAATAATAACTCAATTCATTCATCTGTAGATGAGAATGACTCTCCGTTGCTTAAGCCAGTGGCCGAATCTTCGAAAAATGTGTTGAACTCGGAGTCTGATCTGGATCTATCGTCCGATTCAGACCAGGATAAACCCCATAATATTGCTCCATCTCCCCCAATAGTTGAATCAAATTACCGCCAAAGAAATACTACAAGCACTCCAAGCCAGCAGGACCAAGCACCATATGCTAACGAAGAAGAAAAATCGCCTCCTCATAAGATTAAGTTTGAAACTCCTAATATAAAAAAAGCTAAGAAGATGATATTCGGTTCAAATAAAGATGATTCGACTCCACTACCAATCTACAATAAACCTCAACAGTTTCGTAAACAGTCACCCCAAAATGGAGTTTCTGAACATACTTCCTATCAAGCGAAAACTCATCGAAATCGTCGTTTGGTTATCCCACCTCGTGAAAGAGCATTATATCTATGGGCTAACATTGTCAATATGGATGAGTTTTTAATTGATTTATATTATTATTATCGTGGCAAAGGATTGACCAATATTGTCTTGAGTAGAATAGTTAATTTGATAATCTTGATCTTCATATTGGGATTCACGGTTTTCCTAAAATATGGAATTGATTATAATTTCTTCTTTAATGAATGGAATTCAAATTTGAACCAACCAATCACTTTAGGTGATTTGATAATACCAAATTTTTTTTGGAACAATATTCCATTTTCAATAAAATTTCTATTATTTGGGTTCTCTTGCTATTTGGTTCTTCGAGTAATTCAATTATACTTTGATTATAAATTTAAATTAACAGAAATAAAAAATTTCTATACTCAATTAATTGGCATTTCAAATGATGATGAACTTATGACTATTTCATGGATTACTATAGTGGAAAGATTAATGCTTTTAAAAGAATTCAATACGCTAACTTCAAATAACGATAATTTACCTCCTCATTATTTAAATGATTTAAATTCAAAAATTAGATTAAATGCTCATGATATTGCTAATAGAATAATGAGAAAAGAAAATTATATGATTGCTTTAATCAATAAAGAAATCCTCGACTTATCGATCCCATTAACTTCAAATATCCCTTTATTGAAAAACTTCTTCAATACAAGATCGGTTTTAACCAAAACTTTAGAATGGAATTTAAAATTATGTATAAATAATTTTGTTTTCAATAATAATGGTCAAATCAATTCAAAAATCTTAAAAGAAGCAAATCGTTACCAATTATCAAGAGAATTACAATCAAGATTTAAAATGGCTGCAATTATAAATTTATTGCTTTGCCCATTTATCGTGATTTATTTCGTGTTATTATATTTTTTCAGATATTTTAATGAATATAAATCAAATCCTTCTTCGATTATTGGCTTGAGACAATATACTCCATGGGCAGAATGGAAATTAAGAGAATTCAATGAATTGCCTCATTTTTTCATTAAAAGATTACATTTATCAATCGGACCAGCAAATACTTATATTAATCAATTTCCGGGTGGATTTTTAATCATTAATTTAATGACTTTACTAAATTTCATTTCTGGTGCTATTACTGCTGTGTTGGTTATTATGGGTATTTGGTTTGAAGATGAAGATCATAGATTTTGGTCTTTTGAAATAACTTCTAATAAAAGTACTTTATTCTATATTAGTTTGTTTGGTACTTTATGGGCTGTTACTTCAAATTCATTGCAAAATTCAACAATTTCAAATAGTTCAGAAAATTTGAATAATCAATCTCTGTCATTTTTTTATGATCCTGAAGCAAGCTTAAGATATGTTTCACAATTTACTCATTACTTGCCAAGTTCTTGGAATGGTAAATTACATACAGTCGAAGTTAAAAATGAATTTTGTGAATTATATAGTTTAAAAATTTTAATCATTATTAATGAAATTATTAGTTTGATTTTAACTCCATTCATATTATGGTTTAAAGTTTCAAATTGTTCAGGTTCAATTGTGGATTTTTTCAGAGACTATTCAATACATGTTGACGGCTTAGGATACGTGTGTTCTTTTGCAATGTTCAATTTCGAAGAAAAAGATAAGAATATGATGTATGACTTTAATAAACGTCGTCAACTGAAAAAATTACGTCAAAAACAGAAAAAATTCCAAAAAAGAAAAATGGCAAACGACAATATCGAATTAGAGAATATCAAACCAAAGCATACTCATTCAGATTCCAATTCTGATACTGAATCCGACGAATCAAGCTTCAATGATGATTACCACGATGATAAAATGATTAAATCTTATATGTACTTTCTTGAAAGCTATGCAGGTCAAAAAGAAAAACCTTCTAAAAGCCTTGCAAACAATAATATCAAAAGCCAACCTAGAGAAGCAGGTCCTTCTCCTTCCATCATGATTCAAAGACAAAAACAAAAGAATGGCTTCAATTCTAATTCTCCAAATCTCAGCTTGAGTGAATCTGCTTACAATGTTAACTATAAATTAGCCCCCGATGATGAATTATCGGATGACGGCATAGAAACAAAAGGTGCCAGAGGTAAAAAAGGGGTATTGGGGATGTTAAACCAATTCTATAAACAAGATAGTAGTAGATAAACCTCTTGATTGTATATATTTTGCATCTATTTCACGCGTAGACAAGATCTATAGTAGTAAAGTCTCACTAACAAAACAAAAATAAAAAAGAACAAAAATTCGATGAGACGCAGACTTTTTTAAAGCTCATCTTGAAAAAAAAAAAAAGAGCCATCAAGTTTGGAGTTTACAGCTTAGTTACCAAAGACAACGATGGCCGGTTCACAGTTAAAGCAGTTGAAAGAGGCTCTTAAGAACAACGGGTTGGTTGGGCAAACCAACGTGAAGAGAAAGAATAAAAAATCCAAAACTCCTCATGAAACAAGAAGAGCGAACGATGATTCTAAAAAAATTTTGAATGGTATAAGGAGCCAATTTAACCAATTTGATAGTAGGATTAACAGAAACAAGCATGATTTCTCTATTATTCAAGGAGGTAAGTTTGTTAAAGCTGGTTCAATTCAGCACAATCAAGCTTCTAAGAGCAAATCAAACGTTGAAAAGAATTTGAAGTTAGAGTATGAAGCATCCAAAAAGCAAAAGGGAAGAACCGGTGGAATGAGAGATAGAAGATTTGGTGAAAATGATAAGAATATGAGTGCTGAAGAAAAAATGTTGGCAAGATTCACCAAGGAAAGACAATCCGGTTCTAAGAAAAATGTATTCTCTTTGGGAAGTGATGATGATTATAGTGATGATGACGATGATGCTGGATTTACTCTTACTCATTCTGGGAAAACGTTAAATTTCGATGATGAAGAAGGATTGGGGGATACATCTAAGAAATATGTTGATGAAGATCAGTTAATGCCAAATGAAGAAGAACCAAATAGAAAGAAAAGTAAGAATGAAGTAATGAAAGAGATCATTGCTAAATCCAAATTTCATAAACATCAAAGACAAATGGAATTTGAACAAGCACAAGAGAATATTATGGAATTAGATGATGAATTTGGGGATGTCATGAGTGAATTGAATCAAACTGTTAGTAAAACCACCAGCAAACCTCAATTTCTGACTAAAACACCAGAAGAAATTGAATATGATCGTAAAATGAGAGAATTAGTTTATGATAGAAGATCCGTTCCGGCAGACAGAACCAAGACCGAAGAAGAAATCAAAAAAGAATATGAAGACAAGAGGAAGAAGTTGGAAGAAGATAGATTACGTAGAATGAATGGTCTTGATGAAGAAAGAGACGTTGCCGGTGATGACTTAGATGATGACTTTTGGGCTGGTGATGACGACGAAGGAGAGGGAGTTGCTATTGAAAATTCAGAGGACGAAGAAGTAGAAGATGAAGGATCGGAAGAATCAGAAGAGGAAGAAGAAGGCAAAAGATTTGGTCGTACATTACCTAGAACACCAACTGTATCCATGCCAGCTAATGAAGAAGAATTGGGTGAAATTTTGAATAAGTTAGAAGAATCTAAGCAAGTGAATCATATTAAAAAGATTGTTGAAACTTATAAACCTAATTTAGCCGAAGGAAATAAAGACAAAATGAATCAATTTGTTGGGATATTATTCAAATATATCTTAGACAAAAGTGAAAAATCTACAGGAAAAGACCAATCTTTGATTGAACAATTCATTAAATTATTAAAGAAATTAGCAGAAACATTCAATGAATCTTTGGTTGAAGTAGTCAGACAAGAGATCAATTTAATTCAAGAAAGAGTCTTGAGTAGTTCACTTTTGAAAAAAGATCTAATTAGTTTTATTATAATGGGATACTTATTTTCAACATCTGATCACTATCATTTAATTATCACTCCAGCATTAATAGTTATGAACGAATATTTGACTCAACACGTACTTTATAATAAGTCAAATCCAAGCATTTCAGAAATTGGACAAGGTCTATTTATTATCGATGTATTATTAAATTATGAATCATTTTCCAAGAGATACATACCCGAAATCAGCAATTTCTTAGAGAGAGTATTATTGGTGTTAGTTCCCGAGCCACATAAGATTTCAAATGGGAATGGTTTAATAAGTACTAATAAGCTTTATAATAAGGGTAGTAATTTAAAGGCCACCGAAAAGTTTGCAGCATTCAAAGAAACCAACATAACATTATCAGTGAGTGAAATATTTAGTATAGACACAGAAGAGCATAAGTTTAATTTAGTAATCAAAACCATTTACTTAATTGATAGACTAGTTAATTTATGGAGAGAAAAAAGTGGATTGATTGAAATTTTACAACCATTGAGTATAGTGTTGAAGCATATGCTCAAGTATTATGCCAATGTATTACCTAATTTAATTACATTATCCAATAAGATTAATAAGATTCTTGTTAATATAATTAGTGAAAGAAGACCATTAACTTTACAATATCATAAAGCTTTAGCCATTCCAACATATGCACCTAAATTCGAAGAGAATTTCAATCCCGATAAGAAATCTTATGATAATAATGTTGAAAGACAAGAAGTTAATAAGATGAAGAGTCAATTGAAGAAAGAAAAGAAATCATTGATTAAAGATTTCAGAAAACAAACCAAATTCAATGCCAGAGAACAAATTAAGGAAAAGAAACAAATGTATCAAGAATATCATAAGAAGATGTCTGATATTGTTAATACTATTCAATCACTGGAAGGTGCAGAACGGAATAAATACGAACGAGAAAGAAAAAGAAGATAATTACATAGTTAATATATATATCATAGTAAATTAAAATTTATATTAGAGAAAAAAAAAAACTAAAGACTAAAACAAAAATCAGAGGTATACATTAGAAGTAAAAGGTATACAGTAGAAATGAAGTAAAATTACAAGCTTTAAACTTGAGAAACTGAAGGAACACCAACTCTTGGAGCAGATTTGGAGGAACTTCCGAATAAACCCCCTTTCAAAACTGTAAGGGTGGAAAAGATAAAGGAAGCCAAAAAGATGAAAAAGGAAAAGTAAAGAAAAGCAACCGACCCTTGAGCTTTTCTACAACGGCCAGAAGAACCTTGGGTAACGGTATTATCTTTAACGTAATCTTCATTGGAACAAGAATGGACTCTAATGGCAGCCGCAATGGCAGTGGCAGCAGCAAAAGTGAAAACCATATTCAAGAATTCAAAAACCGCCAAAATAAATGGCCAGGCAAAAGCAGCAAACAAGTAAGCGAAAACCCCATAGATTGAACTAGTTAACAAGGCAAAAGCAGCAGCGAAAACCCCAAAATTAACTTGAGGATTGGAATGTTTAGAAGTGGTTGCGGCCAATGAACCAGTCAACCCTAAAGCAATAACCAAAAAGAAAAAGTTAATAAAACGTAATATAGAATCTCCAATAGCCAACATCTTCAATTGGTGTATTTAATTAATTGGGTAATGAGTAATGAGAAATGAGTAATGAGTAGATGAGCAGAAATGAGTAGATGTTCTCTTTTTTCTTAAACGAAAAGATGCTGTGAGAATACTCTGCTTAAACAATTAACAAAAGGCTACTAACAAATAGTGATGAATTTTGAAAATTTCCAGCCTTGTTCAATTAAACTGAGAAATTAAACTTTATATATATATATAGATGAAATGTTGCAATGACATCCCTACAGAATTTTCTTACAATAACAATATATGTACCCAATTACAAAATTTCATCAATCCGTTTTACCCTTTATTATATTTGCTTATTCAATGACCCTTGAATTACTTTATTGGTTAAGTAAATAAATATTATCTTATGTTGTTTGGTCAAATGAAATGGCTCAACCTTTTTTGATGTATTTTTGTTTCGGCCCTTTTCGGATTTACTTTTTTGTCTTTAATTTTTTGTTGTTTTTTCCCGTTTGGTCATTTTTTTATTTAATTCAATTACTATTCCCATTTGGGCCAGGCCAATGACAGCGCACCGGGGGCAACGCCGGGGGCAGGGACGAGGGCAGGGACGAGGCCCCGGCGCTAGATACCGGCCAGTTTTTGGAAGTAATGCAGCACCGACTCATCTACCGCTACTTGTTGGGCGGTTAGTCCATCGTTGTTCTGGATCAGAGGGTCTGCTCCCAATTCAACAAGCTTGACAGCAGCGTCTCCATGGCCTTCGGCCATGGCGTGGTGGAGCGAGGTCCAGCCGTCGGAGTCCTGGGCATTCACATTGACGTGGGCCTGGTCAACCAATAACAGGATGATGGGGATGCTTCCAATACAACTGGCCCGGTGTAATGGAGTCATGGACTTGGAGTCTCGGATTCTACCCAGACACTTATAAATTTCAATTAGCTCTTTCACCATTTCATTTCTTTGTTTACTAATTGATAAATGCAACGCCGTGGTTCCCTGATTGGTTTTCAAGTTGATATCGGGGGTTGGGTCCAATTTCATCAACTTATTCAAGATTCCAACGTTGCCAATCGAACTGGTTATATGGACGGGAGTCCACCCACTGGCATCAACCAATTCATCCAAATCGGTGTTCTGGGGCAAATACTTGAGGATTAGATCCACCATTGGCTCGTCGTTGATGGAACACGCCCAGTGGAGCGGCGTCCGCTGGTCTTCATCCTGGAGCACCGACAACCGAGGCTTCTCTAGGAGTAGGTTCTCGACTAGCAAGTGCTTCTTCGCAAGCACCGATTCGTGGACCAAGTACTTGTCTGACATGCTGTTTCACTGAATGAGTAACAAGTAGATGATAAACGACTACCCTCGTAAATTCGTCTTTCTCTTTAAACTTTACCCTTTTCCGGCGCACGTGACCGCCACCCTCCCGGTTCTCCTCCTCCATCCCTTTCCCCAGAGCAAGCTCGTAAATTTACTAGGCTAATCTGCTACATCTATGAATCATTAATCATAACTCGTTAACTCATATATAAATCATCTATATCTAATCGAATCTTAGCTTTCGTCACTCTCACTATCACTATCTGAAGGTGGAGAACTGAAAAATGGGGTTGCAATAATGGTCATATTCTTGGTCTCATTATTAGCATTGGTATTAGCATTGGTATTAGCCTTGGAATCAGTGGGGTGATTTTGATCCCTCATTACCAAGTCATACTTCAAGTTAAGTTGCTCTAGGTCGTACTCGGATAAATTTTGCTGAGGCTGATTCTTTATATTAAAATCTCGTATTATTGACGTAGATGTTTGGGAAGTATCCGGGTGATTATGAGAGTCACTCGTTTCTTTTTGTAGACTATTGAGATATCTTTGATAATCATTCATTGAAGAATTGGTTCTTATGGACGAGGATGACGAAGCCGAAGATCCCGAAGAGGACGAAAAAGATGGCTGCAAATTATCATGGAATGGAATTAGATTGACCGGTTGCGACTGGGGTTGCAGTTTTCCAATCAAGTTTGAATTATTAACTGCAGCAGTAATTGATTCTTGGGTAGGAGGCGTATTTGAACCAGATACTCTATTTACCAATTTCCCCGATTTGAATTTTGTTGATACTCTTGAGTTTGCACAATTTTGATACATATAATCGACTTCCTCTAATTTTAAACCTTTTGTTTCATAAACCATGAAATAAACAAATATAACCCCTAGAGTGTTTAGTCCACCCCAAATGAAAAAAATTCGATTACCTAAAGCTGCAGTATGTTTACCAGTATCAATTAAATATGGAGTGATATAAGCGAAAACAAAGTTAACTAACCAATTAGTAGCAGCAGTTATTGCAATTGCCTTTTGTCTAATACTTATACCGTAAATATCCGAAGCAATTGCCCAAACTGCACCACCCCAAGAAGATGCAAAACAAGCAATAAATCCACAACTAAAACTAATTGAAATAATTGAATTAATTTCATTATGTTTGACTGTAACACCAATAATTGCAATAATAAAATTACAAAAAGCCATACCAATACCACCACCAATTAATAACTTTCTTCTTCCAATTATATCAACTAAAATTAAACCGGGAATTGTAAATACAGTATTTACAAGATATGTTACAAAACTCATCAAATAAAAATTTTTCATCCCAGAACTTGCAAAAAAATTAACTCCATAATAAAAGATAAAATTAATCCCAGAACATTGTTGGAATGCATGGACTCCGATCCCAGTTATAATTCTCAAAGTTTGCTTATGTCTAGCACCACCCGATCTAAAACAATCTAATATTGTAGTTTTACCAAAACTTAATTCATAATCGTAATTGGCTTTAATTTCAACTAATTCTTCAATCAAATCAGTATCATCATGAGGTAATCTTCTTAATTTAGTTAAACTATCTAAAGCTTTTTGAATATCATTTTTTTGAACATAGAATCGAGGGCTTTCTGGTAGGAAAAACATCCCAATACATAAACATAATGACCAAACAAATTGTAAACCAATCGGAACTCTATATGAACCACTATTAGTTAATTTTCTTGTTCCTTGACAAATCGCACTGGCAATTAATAACCCCCAAGTAATGGCCCACTGATAAGTATAAACAATTGAACCTCTAACCCATTTGGGGGATGCTTCAGCTTGATAAAGTGGAACAATCGCCGATAATATTCCAACCGATAATCCACTCACGGCTCTGCCAATACACATTAGATTAACCTCCGATGCTGAAACTTGTAAAATATTACCGATATTGAAAATTATCGCTGATGATAAAACTATTGAAAATTTTCTTCCATATCTATCAGATAATATTGGTGCTACTAATGCACCAACAAATGTTCCTAAACTCAACACTGCGGTTAATAATGCTCTTTCATGGACATTGAAATTAATCCCATTACTTGAAATATTTTTCTCAACGTAAGTCATTTCAAGTAAATCATTAATTAATCCAGTATCGTATCCATATAAAAACCCACCAACTGCAGCAACCAAACCAACAGTAATAGCAGATCCCGACGAGGACTTCTGTCTTATCTTACGATAATGTTCTTCTTCAATCGTATTATCGTATAAAAGACCTTCTAAAGTTTTTTTTAGTCGAACAAACATAATCTAGTCATATAAAAAACATCAGGAAACAACTGGACAAGTTGGGCAATAAGGTATAAATAGAAAAGAATAGATCAAAGAAGAATATTTAAACTAAATACCGTTCTCGTTTTAATAAAGGGACTCTTTTAACAGCTTTAATAAAGTCTGGAGTTATGGAGTAAATATTGGAGTAATTATTGAGAATAAAAGCCTTTCTAAGCTTTATTCACAAAAATCGATTACTGGAAACTGCACTCAAAAGAAAAAACCCGCCAGATAGCTAAACAAGGGAAATACTTATTAAACTTTTGTGTATTACTTAAACTTGTAGCGGACTCAGAGAATAAAACAAGACCTTGGTTGTTGAACTGACGAACAAAGTATTAGACAGATGAAAAGTTTCGGTAGTTCCTTTATTAATTTTTCTCCTTTAAGCAGGTTACATTTACTTAATAAACCCATCAAACCCACCAACACCAGACCAGTAAGCCTTGTATTGTGAGGACTACAATGCAATGACTCGACGATGGTGACTCGAGACGCTCCAGCTACTGGAAATGGCTCAAGGCGAGATCTAGATCGTGCTATTGTATCTCACCGTCGCCTTACTGGTGTCCGGGTGTATCATAAGTGGAAGAACCATTAATAAGAAAGTAGGTACAAGTAAGAGCAGGTAGGTTATGACAAGTAGGTAATAGCAGGTGGTAATAGCAGGTGATAAGAGAAGGTGGGAGAAGGTGGTAATAGCAGGTGATAAGAGAAGGTGGGAGAAGGTGGTAAGAGCAGGCCAGCAAGTATGAAGTAGAGAAAGGAGGATGGTTTCAACTAAAGAGCATGATAGTAGCAAACGATTGGTTCCATATTCCTAATATATTAGGATAAGCATCGGTTGGACGCAGCCACGGCGTTACATCTGATGCAGTAAGCTTTGCCTCCAATAAGCCCACGAAGATAGTTGAATTGAAGGTCTCTTTGTAGGCAAACATTTGATATTAAGGTTTAAAGAGCTTCAAAGCTTTAATAAAGAGCTTCAAAGCTTTAATAAAGAGCTTCATTAAAAAGTTTTTAATGAGGAAAGCTTCAGTAAAGCCAATAGAACCGTCATTAGAGATTTTCAATAAGGAGAGCTTCATTAGTCCTTTAGTAAAGCTTCATCCTTCAGTAAGATCAAACTCCGTCAAAACAATAAAGATCAAGCATATAAAGATCAAGCATATAAAGATCTTGCTTATCAAGATCACGCTTAGGTAGTCACCTTTCAAGGCTGACTTAAATCAAGATACAGCATGCTTCACTAGTATCCAGCTTCGAAGGAATGCCAGTGCTTTAAGAAAATCAATTTTTTGCAACTGGATGTACGGAGGTTGGTTTTTGAGCGGTTAAAACACCACATCTGAGCTATCACATCCATCTACTACTCTTCATTCAGTGATGACAGTATCTAGGAGTAGCCTGGTAGGCAGTACCGCTGGCAAAGGCGTGGAAGCATACAGATACAAGCACCAAGGAATGATGCAAAGCACCCGGGCCATAATTGAAAATGTGTGGAATCAACCAAGTCAAATAAGTCAAGGAATGGTATCGATTATCCAATTTTATATTAGTCATTCAATTTTACTAGCATTGTTCTTTATTATATCGATTTATTCCAATATCCAATATATCTATCATCGAATATTTATCAAATTTTTATCGCTAGCTTATTATCCCAATAAAACACCACAAATCATTCGAGATGATGTCAATAAATTAAACAAGATCCCCAAAAGAGTAGCGACTATACTTGATCTTAAAGATGACGATGATGAAAACGGAGGTGTTGACGGGTTAATCAATGATATAAGTGAGTTAATTGCATGGAATTTAAGTAGTGGTATTCCACAATTAATTATTTACGAATATAATGGGATTATTAATAATCATTTACAAGAATTACAACGTTATATAAACAAAAATCTTTCAATTTATTTTGGCACTGATTCCAAACCAAATTACTTGATCAAGATCCCCCATTCCAATAAAAGTATCATTAATCAACTTGGGGATTCAATTGATTTAGAAATCACTCTATTACTGAAAAATGATGGTAAACAAACCATTGTCGAATTAACTAAAACCATGGGTGATTTGGCTTCAAATAATGAATTATCAATCAAAGATATCACCATTGATCTAATTAATGAAGAATTAATCGAATTGGTTGGTTTAGAACCAGATTTATTGATTAGTTTTGGCCCCAATTTAGATTTACAAAATTATCCTCCCTGGCACATCCGATTACTGGAAATCTATTGGGAGTCAGATAACATCAACGTCAATTACGCCGTCTTCATTAGAGCTTTACAGAAGTATTCCCATTGTAAGATCAATATTGGTAAGTGAAAAAACTCACAAAGTAAAACGCGTTACGTGGCACAACTGAACTCCGTACACCGGAGGAAGGAAGGGAGGGAGTCCTTTAATATATGTTCTATTTAACCATCCGGTCCGGCCACTGTCCTTGTGGTCTGACCCGCTGAAGGCCAGTCTTCTCTACGAGTATAAGGTGATATCCAGAGTATATAAATCTGTATTGAATATAAAGATATATGCACGGATTGATGTAGGCGTTGAATGACAAATAGTGTGAGGCCAAAAATGAGTGCTTCGTTGTCGTTGATTTTTCTGAGAAAAAAAACGCTGGAAGGAAAACAACTAATACTCTCTTCTTCTTTTCAAATCATAAACACAATTCTATAAGAATCAATCTATTAGCTGGAAGCAGTTAAAACGAAGAAGAATAGGAATTGTCAGTTTTTATAGTCGGGGAAAGTTTAGTGTTTGGAATAGATCATTATCTTTCTTTTCGTTTATTATCATTTAATCATTTTTATTTTTAATTCCATTCCATTTTTTTTTTAAATTGTTTAATTATTAGTTTCATTTAATTTTGTTTTAATCTTTCAATTCAAATTGTATATTTAATCATAGATTGTTTTAATTTTATTTTATCTCAAGTTATCATTTCAAATCAAATCATATAATCATGGGTTTATCATTTTCAAAATTATTTAGTAACCTTTTTGGTAATAAAGAAATGAGAATTTTAATGGTTGGTTTAGATGCCGCTGGTAAAACCACCATTTTATATAAATTGAAATTAGGTGAAATTGTTACCACCATTCCAACCATTGGTTTCAATGTTGAAACTGTTGAATATAAAAATATCTCCTTTACCGTTTGGGATGTTGGTGGACAAGATAAAATTAGACCTTTATGGAGATACTACTTCCAAAACACTCAAGGGATCATTTTCGTAGTTGATTCTAATGATAGAGATCGTATTGCTGAAGCTAGAGAAGAATTACAACAAATGTTAAATGAAGATGAATTAAGAGATGCTTTATTATTGGTTTTCGCCAATAAACAAGATTTACCAAATGCTATGAATGCCGCTGAAATAACTGAAAAATTGGGATTGCATTCCATCCGTCAAAGACCTTGGTACATCCAATCTACTTGTGCTACTACCGGTGATGGTTTATACGAAGGTTTGGAATGGTTATCTACTAACTTGAAAAACTCCTCCTAATCAATTGAATCCCGTTAGTTATTCTTTTTTTTTTTATTATTATTCCTCTCTATGTCGTTTTTACTCTGATCGTTTTACCTATTTGAATTGATTTTTGTATTTGGTAATCTATTTATCAATACTCTTTTTTTTTTTAACCTTTTCCCTGTTTTGTTCCTAATAAATATCATTTTATATTTCTATTTCTGTCTTTAAGTAGATTGCCTTTATCTCAGTACTTTTATTCATACACTCCAGTACATGATCTTATCTTATCATAATGTATTTGTGTAGAAAGTGAATAATTTGAAAAGTTTATTCTTTTGTTTGGGTTCGAATCATTTAGGGCTCCAGCCCTGGACTTTTGTTAGCGCCTCGAAATAAAGTCATGTGACTACCCCAACCCGCAACCCGCAATTCTCAAACTGCAAACTGTGGCCATCAAACCTGCACACAAACAATGACAGCCAAAACAAAAAAAAAAGCTGAAAAAAAAAAATCTCTGCTCGTTTTGCTTAGGGAAAAAACTGAAGAAGAAAAAAATTCATTAGTGAAAATTTTAATACATTAACATTTAGTGGTTTTTATATCATACGCAATAGATTCATCAAAAATGGTATGTGACGATGAAAGAATGACGTGGGAAACAGCATGTCTCTCCGTGCTAGCTCGCAGTGCTTGCTGGCCGTACTGTTGTACCAGATGAATGGAGACTGGAGGGAATGAAGAAACATGATGGACCTGAATAATGAGTTAAGGAAGAACAGGAGAACGAAGTACCGAGTGAAGGAGGACACTAATGGCCCACGTACATTGATATAATAGAATATAATACTAACGATTTTAGGCCGGTATCAAAACTTTTGAATTAAGAACCAAATCTAAGGATCAATTAGACTCTCAATTAGTTGAATTAAAACAAGAATTAGCTAACTTGAAAGTTCAAAAATTACAAAGACCTTCTTTACCAAGAATCCACACTGTCAGAAAAAACATTGCTCGTGTTTTAACTGTTATTAACGCTAACCAAAGAGAAAATGTTCGTAACTTCTACAGTGGTAAAAAATACCAACCAAAAGATTTAAGAGCTAAAAAGACCAGAGCTATTAGAAGACAATTAACTAAAAATGAAGCTAAAAAAATCACCTTAAAAGCTAGAAAACAAAGAATTGCTTTCCCTCAAAGAAAGTATGCTATTAAAGCTTAAAAAAGATTCATTTAAATAATTATCATGTCTTTAATACATATTTAGTTTCCGTATCTTTTAATGTAATTTTATTAATAATTTATTATTTTATGTAAATGTTATTTAATCCTTCATTTCAATATCTTCAACTGGGGCTTTTTTACTTAATTTCCATTGATTAATTTTTTCTTTCAAATCAGTATCTTCAATAACATCTTCTAATTTCAATGGAACTCTATTAAATGGATCAGTTGAATCACTCAATAAATGGGCTTTGATGGTGGATCTATCAATACTCATTTTTGAATTTGGTAATATAACTGGATCTTCCATTAATGTAAACATTAATGGATCTAAAAATTCATCAGGAATTTCTCCTAATTCAACTTCTTCATCTTCATCATTTTGGCGTTGTATTTCTGCTTCTTGTCCAAATTTTAAAAATTTATCAAGAATAGTAGCATTAATAAATGTCTTCTTCATTAAAATATCATGAGCTTTAATGAAATATTTCAAGTTAAATGATCTTCCATCTCTGGCAATTGAAACTAAAAACTTACTTTCATTTGATAAATTATAATATATTTCACATAAATCTCCCAAGATTTTCTTTGGTTCGAAATCATATTTTTCGGGATTGCTAACTTTTAAATTTGAACATTTGGGTCCAACCATTATTGATAAATTATAATTTAACATACCAGATAATCTATCGACAATTTCTGGTAATACAAAGCCTGATGGTACTTGTTTAGTAAATAATTTAAATAATTCCATCGTTTTATTACTTAATCCCATATATGATTTGGCTTTACGTTCAGAACTTGATAAATTCCCGCTTAATTCTTCATCAGTTCCGTACTCTTCAGTATCTCCAGCTATTCCATTTGATCTTCTGGTTAATTCTCCTTGATAATTATGAATTGAATTCAATTCATTGAATGTTTCATCCAATAAATAAGTTGTGTCATTCAACATTCTTGCAATAAATCTAACGAAAAAATCAACATTATTATGGGAATAATCAGTTAATTGATTTCTATATATATCGTTGGTCCACAAAGTTTCTAATATGACTGAAATATAAAAACGACTATTAAACTTATCATAAAATTGGGATGATGCTCCAGTTTTTTCAACCATAACATAAAAGTCAAGTAATGAATATAATATATTATCAACAACTAATTTATTATCATTGAAAATTGATGTCATAAATCCTGGGTCTCCATTACTTAAAGGTAATGATCCAAAAAATAAAACCTCAATCAAATTAGCTTTCATATGTGGATTACCAATTAATTCTGGACATCTTAATAAAATTATTGCAAATTCAACAAAACTTGATAATTTTTCATTATTAAATATTAATGGGTTTTCAGGAAACTTGGTCATGAATTTACAATAATTGATTATTCCTTCTAAAACATATTCTGGATAATATTTCCATGGTTTTGGGGTTTTGGTCTTTAAAAAATCATGATCATCCAATTCGGAAACTTTACTAATCTTGAAAATTGGAATTGATAACTTCTTGGTAGGATATTCGTGACTTGGATCAATTAATTTGGTAATAAATGTGGTGGATCCAATTATAAAATCAAATATTTCGAGATTCATCGATTTGAAATTGAAAATCGCTTGAATTGCATTCTTTAATACCCTTAAAGAGTTCAATCCCGACTTGAATCTTGGTAACTGCCCTCTTAACATATGTGCCATCATTGGTTCTCTTGAGTTTGTTTCTTGTTCAATTTGTTGTATTCTCTCTTCATATTGTTTGATTTGTTGCTTTAAACGATCATAATTGATAAATATACCCCCGATACCATAATGAAGATAAGTCAAAGTTAAATAAAAACATTCACTAATAAAATTAGGATCTGATAAATTTGAATGTTCTTTAACATATTCATCAGCTTCCTTGATAGAAGAATTAACTCTTGACTCTTCGCTTATATCCAAAAGTTTGTTTTTAGTAAAATAATCGAAATCAATTTTATCAAGTTTTGAATATGTTGGATATTCCAAAAATGGTAAACTTAATTTAATTAAAATAATTGAAATATTATACATGAATCCATGCGAGGCTAACTTTGAAAAATCAGCATGACTACCTCTTCTCAAATGACTAGCATTGACTAAACCAGCAAGCCATTTTAATAAGTCTTGACGAGTTTCTGTTGAACCTCTTACTAATTTATCAATAATGAAAAACAATCTATCAATAACAACTTTGTATTCATTTTGAATTGATTGATAGATTGAGTTTAGCTGAACTCTGGAGATGGACTGAACATCATTTGAAAAGTAGTAAGTACCAACGGAATCAATCAATGGTGACAATCTTAATAAGGGGCCCAAAAGAGTTTTGTTTTCATAATCGAGACCATCTTTTGAATTAGGAGGTTGAAATCCGTCAATTTTGGAAAATACTGCAGCAACTGGCTTAATCAGTACTAGACTCTCAAAAAGGGATAAGTAATTTGAGTAGGCTGAGTCATTTAAATTAATTTGATATAATTTTGCACTAAGACTTGGTAATATAATGTTTAATAACTCGACTAAAGCTTCTTGATTAATTGCTTGTTTGACTATATCAACCAAAAATGGACTCATCGAATCTTGTCTATTGACAAATAAGTCAATTGAGCCTCTCAAGTCATTATCAGCAAACATATCAGGAACTTGAAAACTTATAAGACTATATGAACAAGAAAAATTGATAATATCATTGAGTACCGAATTTTTCAAATCGTAAGTTGCATCTTTCTTTGGTAATATTCTTTTCAATTGAAAACTTCTAGTATATATGTGAAATAAGTATTCAATTGAAGATGAAAATTTGCTTGGTATACCCAATTCTGTTAAAATTTCCATAAATAAACTTTCTAAATTAGCAGACGTCAATAAGCCCTTTTGATCCGACTCAACTTCACTGGCCAATGAAGGCAAGTATACCAACCCTGTCTTATGGGTTTCAATTGTAGCAACGAATATATCTTCAATTTCATATTTGAGCCAATTCGACACTTCCACTTCGGGCGATAAGCTTTCAGAAACTTTTTTAGGTTTTGAAGTTTCAATTGCACTTGAATCGGCCGACTTACGTTTGGATGGTGTCTCACTTGCTACCTCCATGTCTTTGGGCCCTGAACGGTCAATTGGTGCTGGTGTAGGTGCTGGTGTAGGTGTAGGCGTAGGTGTAGTTTTGGACTTCGGAATCGACGAATTGCTGCTGTTAGCATTCAAATTCACACTACTGCCACTGTTATTATTACTGTTACTACCGCTGTTACTACCGCCTCCTAGTGCTGCTAATCTAGCGAGTCTCTTAGCTCTAATCTGTACATTCAAGTTAGTATCTAGCTCCATCAATGATTGCCACCATGTATACATACGTCGTCCGAACCACTCATTCTAGGTAATTCCTTCTTTCACTGGCTTGATGACACGTCGAAAAAGATGCTGATTATATGCTGACCTGGCGATTCAGTGTTCGATCAGTATATAAGACAATCTTCGAAAAGTATCGTTGACCTTTCCGCCAACTAAATAAACTTGGATTTTTTTTATTCCGAATTATCAACAGATCCGTACATCAGTACAAATCTTTTTGATCCAGCTTACCAGTTCTACTTGAGGACACCTTGAACTACAGGTGAATGCGCTTGAAATTGAGACGGTGTTTGTCTGTTATGATAGAGGTAGCTCAAGTAAAAGAGAGCTACTGTTTGTCTTTGAAATACCTCTCAAAGGAGCTAGGAAATAGAAAGAGTAATAGCATCTACTGAAAAATCAGTAAAAGAAGAGAAAAAAACTTCACTGAAAAAAAAAAAAAAAAAAAAAAAAAAAAAAAAAGAGAATAGACATCAACTGTCAAAAAGATATAAAAAGCTGATTAAAACCGCCAAGATAGGTTGTCGACCCTTAAGAGGAGGTAATTACGATGTCAGAGATTCCATCATCGATCAAGACGGCAGTTTTGAAGCTGCAGGAGCGGTTGTTCCTTTTGCATTTAGAGAAAGATTTAATATCTTTTATGAAAAAAACTGTTTTAAGCATGAAAAGATATCAACAACAACAGAAACAAAAAACCCTGAATGGAGAATTAGGTCAGATGGATAATGGTACTGGCAAGGCCGAATACGTTATTCAAGCAGTTTATTTAAAGAACTCATATTTCAGGTTATTAAGTCACCAATTATGCCAGTATTATCAATTAGAACACTGGAATAACACTTCGAATGAAATAGTAGCAAGTTTCCTGCCAGAAGTTAATTATGGGGCATTTTTGAAGAAATTGGATGGTAAGATTAAGGATGACGAAGGTGAGTTTGTAAAAATATCTGAGTATGTTCAACTGAATCCAATTTCACAAGGGAACTCTGTAAATAAAGTGGGTGAGGTGAATCAAAGTATTCCAGTTAAACCAAAAATGTTGATGAAGAAAAGGTCAACATCTGCCTCCCCATCACCATCGGTTCAAGGACAAGCATCAAATTCCACATCAGCATCAGCATCAGTTTCTGAATTAGCATCAGAATCTTCTATCTCAGCATCTAATACTACCTCTGAATCCATACAGGATGGTTCGGTAAAAGAGAATGACTCAGAACCATCGGTGGACCAGGGGGTTACGTCTCCGTTATCTGCTGAAGATTCATCCAATATAGAATCTGAAAGAGCTCTGAAAGAAGCATTATACATGAAAATTCGTGAACAAATATTTCAAAATGAAAAGGAAAATAACCAAAGTAATGAAGATGATGAAAGGGAAGATGAAGACGACAATGGCTCAAATACTGATGCTACCACGGAAAGTGGCAGCGAAGGAACGTCTGAATCAAGTATTGACACTTCTGACTATTATAGATTCAATCCCAATAATACTGGTGCGAATCCACCAGTTGCACCACCAATATATGGTAACTTTCAAGTGGAAATACCAGCCTCTCCTGTGCAAGGTCTACCAGCCGGATTACCAATGATGCCAATTGGGTTCCCACCAATACCACCGATGGCCAATGGCCCATATGGTCAGTATAGTCCAGCAGTGCACTCTGGATTAGCGCCTCAATTACCACCCCATCATCCTCATTACCAGCAGTACATGCAACAACAATTTGCAGCCGCAGCCGCAGCATCGGCAGCAGGTCCTCCACCACCACCTCCTCCTCCTCCGGCACCAATGATTCCATATATCATGCCGGCTGGACAGAGTTTCTATCAAACCCCACCAATGATACCATCAGCACTCAATAATCAATATGCCAAATCAAGTCCAAACACAAGACACGGGTCTATCGTAAGAGGTGCTAACAATAAAAACAGTCACAATAACCACAGGTATCAAGGACTGGCTGGTCATTATCGTCATAATCAAAATCATCAAAACCATCAAAATCACCAAAACCATCAAAATCATCAAAATCATCAAAATCATCAAAATCATCAAAATCATCAAAATCATCAAAATCATCAAAATCACCAGAACCACCACCATCGGAACTACAACAATTACGGAGGGTCCCCATATGATCAGGAAACTGAAAGAAAACTCCTTAATAACCCATACATCATCCTTCCAGAGAAAAATAACTCGCTGTCCTATAAGAACTACAACTCACAATCCAAGTACAACAAGAGATCATACGTGAACAACCATAAGAATCGGTACAACAACAACTACAACTACAGACATGCAACAGATGATTCTTCTCACGACACCAACCAATCCAACCCATGAAAACACTTCATGTTTTCATTGTATATAAAATATATTTCTTTCTTGACATCTTTTTCCACTCTTACTTGTAGATCACCGAATCTTTTTCAGGGTATACAAGCGTAAAACAAATGACGTTGGATAGACGAAAATAACCCTTTCATTTATGACTTAATGATCGTTAACTTAGATTGTTGGCGTCCAATAAACGATCGTGTTTCTCGTCTAATTGTTTTGTCATTTTGCCTTCATTTTTGAGCTTTTTGTTTTACATACTGACTTGCCATGGCATAGTCATCCTCTGAAAGCTTGCTTTCCAGCATGCTTTCCAGCCTGTCTATCTTCAGCCCTTACATTCAATAGTTGGATACAATACAACTATCAATGAAATGATCCCAAAGGTTGTAAAGGCAGCATAATTTTGTGCAAAATCAAATAACAAAAATAAAAAAGAGAGAGAAAACGGCGTGTGAAGAAAAAAATATAGACGTGTAGACTTAGTGTGTTTTCAATTACGAAAGAATATTCTCTTCTTTCTTCTTATTGATCATCATAATATTGAACAAAAAGAACAAGATCATCACTATTTGAATCAATTGATCGAAATATAACTAACGTTCAACTTCGTTTCCTTTTGAAATAAAAACCGTTACTATTTTTTTGTCTTTTTTTTTTTCTATTTGATCTACTAAAAGTTAATTCTATATAATTTAAGATGTCTTCTAATAATCCAACCGCTCACCATGATGATGATTTGGTTCCTGAAGCCGTTGAAGGGTATACCGTTGGTGAAAAGAAAACTATTGCCGAATATACCAAATTAGATGCTGAAGATGAAAGTTTGGCTAAATGGAAAGCTTCACTTGGGTTAAGTGACGACGCTAATGCTTATCCAGTGAAAGCTGGTGATTCACGTAAGGTTGTTATTGTGGAGATGGCTTTACATTTCCCAGATCAAAACTTGGATCCAGTTGTTATTAATTTGGAAGATGCTAATGGTAATACAATTGCCGGTAAAGAAATTAAATTTGATATTAAAGAAAAATCTATTTATCAATTATCAGTTAAGTTTAGAGTTCAACACGAAATCATAACTGGTTTGAAATATTTGCATTCAGTTAAGAAATCTGGTATTAGAGTTGAAAAATTAGAAGAACCTCTTGGATCTTATGCTCCAAATACTAAGGATAAACCTTACTATGAAAGAACTTTCACTGAAGTTGAAGCTCCTTCTGGTCTTTTAGCTAGAGGTAACTTTAGTGCAGTCACTAAATTCGTCGATGATGATAAAAACGTTCATTTATCGTTCCCATGGAGTTTCAACATTACTAAATAAGTGTTGTTTCAGTGAACCTTTTTTTTTTAAAAAAAAAAAAAAAAATTTAAAGCTGTGTGTTTTTCTTATTCAATTCTTCTTTTTTATCCTTGTTTCATCTTCCTATTCATCTATTGGGCTTTTGCTGGAAGTCTTTTCTTAGCTTGAAAGGGGAAGATGAACTAATCTAAGGATCAAATAAACCTAAAAATGTGTATAAAAAGAGATTATTTCCCTTTTCACTTCTCCCTACTTTTCATCTTTATATAAGTTGGTTTTTTTACCAATTTCACTAATGAAACCATTTTTTTATCATCTTTATTGTAGGCCATTAAACGTCTTGTTCGAAACTGAGTTGAGTCAAATCATTTAAGAGGTTGCCTCTTAATTTACGAACTCTGGTGAGATCCAAAACCTTGTCGTTTTTATGACGAATAGCCAATTTTTTCAGACACGGAGAGAATAATTTATCAGTTGGTGATGCTATTATTATTCTAGTCGATTTTTTCGTTTTAGGGGTCTTGGTTATATGATTTTTACATGGTTGATGATGTTTTTGTGAATTAGGCGATGATCTAGAAACCGTTTTGTCTTTATTTTTAGTATTATCACTAAATACGGTAAATTTTGGTGAGCTTGACTTAGAATAAACCATTTTAGAATTATATTGAATTACAGGTTCAAGCAACGTCATTCGTTTCGTTGGGGGCTCCAAGCATTATATAATTTTTAATACTTGCAATAGGTGAATACCAGCTGGCTTGCCTTTGAAATAGAATGATCTAATTCTATAAAAAATAATAAGAGAACTTATTGATTCATGCAAGAGATAACATTTCACGCTGTTTATTAGATGCACCATGACTTCTTTAACCAGTTTAAAGCAAGAGAAGAATTCCTCTGGAAATTACAATAAAGGAAAACAATATAATGCAACATTGGATCAAACGCCATATTCTTATGTTTCTTCCATTCATTTCCCAATATAGTTTTAAGTACAGAGCTTCCAGAACTTCTACTCTTTGTTTCCCTGATTCTTATTGCTCACTAGCCACCTTTGGCTTGCTCTCTCAAATGCTTTCTGTCTTTCTAGTATAGTAGATGTAGCTTTCTTGCTCTCTGCTCCTACCCCATGAAGACATGGCCAAATATTTTTTTTGAAAATTTGCGGTAATTAATCCTTCGCTCATTCACTACGAATAACACACCTTACCCACATCACATTTTTGTAATACTTGCAGCAGGAAGCTCGTCTCTTGTTAATAGTCTTCTGTGCCGTTAGTTTCTTTTGATGAAACTATGATAATTATGTTTGCATCTTGTCCTAAACAAGCGTGGTTACCGTCTTTTGTTTATTTTGATTTTTTTGTTTTTCAGTAGTTCTGACAAAGACACGACAAACGAGTGATTTTTTGCAGCATCTTTTGCCTTACTATCGAATTTCATCTAATGAAGTTCTACGAGAATACGTTGAAGAGATGGCCCCGAAAGCTTATTTGACACTCTCAAGCCGGTAAATGAAACGTCCAGGCTTTGTTGGACTACGAGCCACCCCCGGTAAGGTTGAGACGGGATAGAAGCCGAAGAGATACGGTCAATGCAAAGAGTTGGTGACAGAAGCTCTTTGAAAAATATTCCAAACAGGGTCTTGGAAAGGGAGTAGGTATCTACATTGGCCAAAATTGTGATGAATCGAGTATATTGGTGCTAACCACGATTACGCCGAGGAATATAAGCTGGGGCACGTCTAACAGGAATATATGGTGGTGCTTTATTTTTAGTGGAAGCTGTCGAACCGGTGGTGCAAGTGGATGGCTTCACTTGAGTCCTATGGGGTATGTAGGCAGGTGCTTTACGTGAGGGTATGTAGGGTGGGGCTTTATTTGATGCAGTGGATGAGCTTTTCGTCATACTGACTGGGGCCGTACTAGTTTTTCTGATGAATGAATCTATGTTTGGCGTGGGTCTATGTCTCTTGAATTTGTTGCTAGGACCTTTTCCTTCAGTGCTGTTTAGAGTGTCTTCTTCTTTTTTAGTTTTGGCAGATGTAAAACCTGCTGTAGCTGGTTGCTGTGTCTCTGTAATGTCTTCTTGAGGTTCGGTTTCCTCGATTGAATCAATCAATTTTTCAAATTTTCGGTTTAAAGTAGCCACGTCGAACAGAGGTAAGTCTTTCTTCATGATAGAATAAAGGTCGACTAAAGGGGTTTTCTTGAATATGCTTATGGCGTTGGGCTTGAAGTTTTCTTTCCCAGTGAAGTCCTTGATAAACCGTGAAACTTCTGACACTGGTTTCCGGCCCCATTTACCGAATTCTTCACAATATGAAGAAAGAAGTAGTAAACTTTTAGCTCTCGAAGTGGCTACATAGAAACATCTTCTTTCCTCATTTATTGAGTCTTCGTCTTCTGGTCCCATGGCAAAACTGGCAGGCAAGATACCTTCTGATAAACCAGGAACAAACACAATCGGCCATTCTAAACCTTTGGCCCCATGAATTGTAGATAAGATAACTTTTCCTTTATCAGTTTCAGCACTCTCCTCATTTTGCAATCCGGTTTGATTATCGCTTTCGAATAATCCTATTGCTTCAATGAATTGTGATAAGATATTTTCATCGTTCTTAGTCTTCTCTTCTTCATTACCACCAATATATGTGGACAATTCATTTTCTTTTGAGGGAGGTTCAAAATCAAGAAATTGCCTTTTCACCTCCATAATGTTCAACTCTCGGTCCTCTTCCATCCCGAACTCAGCTTTAAGACCCGACTTTTCGTAGATTTTATCAAATAAGTCGCCAACCAGCCTTTTCGTTGCGGCATCATTATTATTGGAAGTTTTATTGAGCGATTCCAACATAGATCTGCAATTTTCTATGAAGTCCAAATGCTTATTAACAACCAGCTGGAGCTTAGAGCTTAGAGTAGAGGCTACCGTTTTCAAAAATAAATGAATCGTTGGCCTGGGTGCATTTGGAAGCTGATGCTGAGTGAGGAGGTCATTTGTAATTAGCTTTTCGAGTTTTTCATTGATGATTTCAATCGACTTCTCCCCTAGACTCTTTTTGGGGAATACAAGTGTTCTTAAGTATGCCATTCTATCATTAGGACTTGCAACGACTCTTAAATAATCAAGAATCGCAGCTACTTCTTTACGCTCCCAGAACGCCTTACCTTTAAGCATCATATACGGAATACCATTTTTAACAAACTCATTTTCAATTACTCTAGTTTGGTAGGCTGCTCTTACCAAAACAGAAATATCATTGTATTTGAAAATTGAATTTGGTAAAGCCATGAAATACTTGATTTGACAACTTATCCACTTAGCTTGATTCTCTGGAGAGCTCATATTAGAATGAATGATTGGGAAATGGGCTTTCATCTGTGATTGTAAATTCTTAACGACTCTTTTATTTTGTTGTCTCATAATCGATTCTGATAAATTCAAAATTTCAGAAGTTGATCGATAATTCTCTATCAACGAGATGGTCTTGCAGTCTTTATAAGTAGATTTCATTTTTTCAAAGTTAACAGCTTGAGCATCTCGAAACCCATAAATACTTTGATCTGGATCTCCAACTATAGTTACATTATTTTGACAGTTTTTTATAGTAGGGTGACCACGAGCAAATTCATACATTAATTGGAGTTGGATCTCGTTAGTATCCTGAAATTCATCGACCAACACATGTTCAACAAAATTAAGGACAGGAAACTTGGAGATTATAGAATGACAGCATAATAAGCAATCGTCGAAGTCTAACAAACGATTTTGGTTCATTCGAACCTCATATTCTGTGTAAATGCATGAAAGAAATAAATTACAGTCTGGACTGCCACTATAAGATTTGGAGATTATCCCATGGGCCTTCAATTTGGATATATGCTTTTTGATTTTCTTCACATCGTAACCGTGATGCTTTTTCTCTTCTCTACTTGATTTGAAGATATCAACATCTTTATCGGGAAGTCTCGAAAACATTTCTAAGTCTCTACTATTGAGGTTTTGAAGCACTTCCAGAAGAATTGAGTTGCTATCCCTTTCGTCTGCAATCGAGTAGTCTTCCTTTTGGATCTTCAGCCCGTATGTTTTGATAATCCTAAAGCATATACTATGAAATGTCCCAATGATGAGATCAGACGCGTTTATCCCAGTTCCTCGAAGAAGTTCAGATAGCCTTTCTATCATTTCATTAGCCGCTTTTTTAGTAAATGTGGTCACCACTATCTTTTTTGCAGATATTCCTTCGTAAAGCAAAAGATATGCAACTCTAGATATAAGCACAGTTGTCTTTCCAGTACCAGGACCAGCGATAATTTGCAACCTCCCACTAGCAGGAGCAGTCACCGCCTTCTTTTGCTGAGCGTTCAACCCGCATAGCATTCGCTCCACTGACTCCCTAGTGTGTTCAAGAGAGCAGGACATAACAGTAGCTTTTACTTGGAAAGGTCTTCGAACTTGGCTCCACGAAGCGGATGTATAATTCTTCGAACTTGAGATCAAAACAAAACGAATAAACATTTTTTTGACTTCATCTCACTAAAAAAATACAATTTAGCCAGTGAATGAATACCCAAACAAACCTGGAGAGATCATGAAATGGAAATGAGGGCTATAATCCTTATGAGAAAGCTTCTTCTACTAGCTTTAATTGCATTTAATATTCCGTATGCCGAAGCTGATTGGCTTCTCTCAGATCAACAGGAGATTGCGGTTCGATCTCAAAGAGATATTTCTAGGCCAATACCAATAGATCAGTTGACTACATTCGGAGTATCATTGAATCGGTTAGTTTTTGAGAACGAAGGATATAATCATGAGGCATTATCGCTGGTATTGATGTTGTTGAGTCTGAGTATACAAACAATAATGGTGGATTTATATTGGAATGAGTTTGTTGAAAAATGGCAACTATGTCCAGCACCATTCCCATCAAATGTTACTAACAACTTGCTGGACACAGTTGATGTAATATGGAAGGGTGGAAAATACAAATGCCAGCCGGGTTTGACGACACAACATTTGATGAATGTCATTGAAGATTATTTGTCTCGTACAAATACTAATATGGATGTTAATATTATTCAAGTTTTATTTAATTTGAAATCCATTTCTTATGAAGATATTGCAAAGCCTAAAGGGAATTCTTCCAAGAAGACAGGTCCAGATAGCTCTATTTATACATCTCAACCTTCGGATTATCTTTCACTAGGGAATTCCTCTTTGAATGATACTATCAGTCCTTTAAGTACTTACTTGTACACTCCTACTAATTTGAAGGATTTTGAAAACACTGCTTCCCAAAGCGAGGATGAAAATGATAGTGGTGATAGCAATTTCTATAACTCAACTGACGGTACCTTTCCTACACTAGAAAATTTCCTATTCTCTAATTATAAACGTACTTTAGCAATTGTGATGAATAATGAGTTGGAAAAGACTAACAGAACTTATAATATTTCAAGTAATGACCGGAAAAATATTTTCTTTCGTGATGGAAAGGATATATCTGATTTCAGCTCGGTATTTGTGTCTACTCAAAATCAAAGTGTTTCCGATTTTTGTGATAGCATAATGACAGACTATGCATCTCTTGATGAGTTTGATGACTTGGCTCTCAATCAGCATTCCAGATTCATCGTTGATGATAATGACCATGAATTTACCAATGATAGTTTTGCAGATTATGTCAGATGTGGACTTTCGCCAATATTAAATTCCACCAAGTATGATTTGTCTAATACCCCAGGTAATTATACTTCGAAATTAGCCAGAACAATTGATACTTTTTCCGACTTAGTCTTTTGGTCGTGGGCTGTTGATCAACCACGACAACCAACGGACAGCAGTGACTACGATAGTGACGAAGAAAATGACGATAAACTTTATGGTTATAGTGATGATGGCAACAGCAGCATTGCTTCGAATGATACCGACAACACTAATGACCCCAGCGATCCAAGACAAAGAGCTTATAAATGCGTGGCAGTATTCCCTGATGGTTGGAAACTAGCTAATTGTTACGGTTCTTATAATTATGCTTGCAAACACAAAAGCTCTCCCAATGATTGGTTCATAAATGCAGACAGGCACAAGGAGTATTTTGAAGCTTATAAAAAGGGTACCTGCCCTGAAGAGTACAGTTTTGGTGTTCCCAGACTGAGTATAGAGATGCTATCATTACTACATTACATCGATCAGAAGAATATTAGTTATCCGGTGTGGATTGATGTTAATGACGTGACCGTCACCGACTGTTTCGTTTCTGGTGGTCCCTACGCTGAATGTCCTTACCAAAAAACAATCACGAGGCTGACTTTGGCTAAGCTTGTTGCCCCAAGTTTTATCGTTGCCGTTTTCATTCTATCTTTATGGTTTCTTGAGAAATTCCTTAGGGTTAATCCAGTACAGACCAACCGTAAAAGGCACTGGAAGCGCGTGATTAACGAATACTATAAAGACCATGACTATGAAGGTGTTCCGTCGTGATATTTATATAGATTTGTATAGCTTAATGGATATTTAATTTTTGCAGTAAGAATGTCGCGTGGTACGCTGCGCGACATTTCTGTTGTTTTAGGGAGGCAAACGACTTTTTTTTTTTTTTTCAAACTTAACTCAGTTGAAAGTCATAATAAGTACCCCAACGATAATTGTTGAAGTGATTCTTATCCAAGAGCCATAATGAGTGATCAACAGTGGAAACAGCTAGCAGAACAATTGAGACGCAGAGCACAACAAGCCCCAAGACCAGCTGGAGGACCATCGCCAGGAGGGATTTTTGCTGGGTTTGGTGGGTTAATTGCCTTAGGAGGTTTGGCCCTTTTTGCTCAAAATACTTTATTTAATGTTGATGGTGGTCAAAGAGCCATTATATATTCACGTTTTAACGGGGTTCAGCCAACCATATATAATGAAGGGACACATTTTCTTGTTCCGTGGTTCCAAAGACCAATTGTATTTGATGTACGTGCTAAACCTAGAAATGTTGCTTCATTAACTGGTACTAAAGATTTACAAATGGTTAATATTACTTGTCGTGTTTTATTTAAACCAAATATTTTCCAATTACCATCCATTTACCGTACTTTAGGTGCTGATTATGATGAAAAAGTTTTACCATCCATTGTTAATGAAGTTTTAAAATCAGTTATTGCACAATTTAATGCATCCCAATTAATTACTCAAAGAGAAAAAGTTTCTAGATTAGTTAAAGATAATTTGATTCGTCGTGCAGCTAAATTCAATATCGAATTAGATGATGTTTCATTAACTTATATGACATTTTCTCCAGAATTTAGCGCAGCAGTTGAAGCAAAACAAATTGCTCAACAAGATGCTCAAAGAGCTGCCTTTGTTGTTGATAAAGCTATACAAGAAAAACAACAATTGGTTGTTAAAGCTGCTGGTGAAGCCAAGTCCGCAGAGTTGGTTGGTGAAGCCATCAAGAAGTCTAAAGATTATGTTGAATTGAAAAGATTGGATACTGCCAGAGAAATTGCTTCCATCTTAGCAAGATCTCCAAATAGAATCTTATTGGATAACGACACTTTATTGTTGAACACCGTTGCTGATGGTCGTAAGTGAGGATTACAGTGAACAGTTACTCTGGTTTATATATTTTAATATTATAATGTTGTACATAGTTAAATGAATATTATTCTTTAGGAAACAAGAGGAAAGTAGAAAAAAAAAAAAAACAGTCAAACGCTTTCAGCTATTGAAGAAATGAAACAGATTTTAAAAAATGGAATTGACAAGATCCCCACCAAGAGTGGCACCAGCCCCGAAAATGGCAGCGTTACCAAACTTACCACCAACTTTTCTCATGGTAGATTGTTCTTGAGGTTGTTCAACAACAGTTTGTTGTGGAGCGGGTTGAGGCAGAGGTTGATACTGCTGTGGTGGAGGTTGTTGGTAATAGTTAGTAGATGGAGGAGGGTATTGAGCGTATCCGCCATACAGAGGTTGTGGTTGAAGTGCTTGAGGGGGAGGTTGGTATTGGTCATATTGAGGTGGCGGTGGAGGTGCAGAATAAGCCGTTGGCGAATAAGTAGCCTTTTCATTGATTTGAGGAGGTGGAGGTGGAACTGAGCGGGTTGAAACGCTTGATTCAAACTCTTGCTGAGAAATCACATTAACATAATTCGATGGGAAAACACCAGCTCTATTTGGGCCTTCATTTTGCTTGAAACCTTTCCACCAATCTTCTGATAAATGTTCGAGAACCGCCAATTTTTCATCCTTCTTAAAACTCAAATCATCGGCTTCGTGGGCCTGGTAATCAAATAAAGCTTTGCAGTAGCCCAATGGCTTTGCTTCCTGGGAACGTGGTGGTTGTGGTGGGGCACCTGGTGGTGCTCCGATTGTAGTATTTGATAAGTCTTGAGTTAATTTGCCAACATTTGATTGTTGGGGTGCTGGGGGTGGTGCAGATCTAGCATCGTACGATGGAGTCGAAACACCAGCTGCCGGGGTTGCTGGTGTTGCCGGAGTGCTTCCTCCTAACTTATCAACATCATAAGCTTCCATACCAGCAATATATTTGGGTGGAAGTGCCCCCATTAACTTATCGTAAAGAGCATCCGTGATAACCTGGGAGTCATTCAAGAACTCAAGCTCGGTCTTGATCGTGGCAAGAGAATGTTTGATCGTTGCAGCAGACATCTTGGAGTTGAACCTTGGGTATCAGATCAATTTGTAAGACAACTGATTGAAAAAGAGCTAAACGATCGGAAAAGAAGGAGCATTTATAAATCATTCCCGGTTTTAAACTTTTTTTTTTTTTTTAGTCTGTAATTCTATTATTACTCTTTAATTTTTTTTTTTTTTTACTTTTGTTAGTGCTTTTTATGCTGCATTTTATTTTTGTAGTTTTTGCTGCGACCATTTTTGCACTTTTCCCCAGGGCGAAGCTTTGGCAGAGATGACATGGGGCCAAAAGCCATCTTGAGCGGGCCAGAGCTGGTGAAAGTCTGGTGGAAGAATAGTGGAACACTAGTGGAACACTAGTGGAATTAGTTCAGCTGGGTGTTTTCTTGGGACGGTTTGTCAAGACGACTTAGGGCTGAACAATAATTATTCATCGACACAAAAAAAGGTTCTTAACATTCTTAGAAGGCAACAATGCTTCGAATCGTTCTGTAATACGGTCGGAAGACTAAGGTGAAGCTTCGTGGGGTTCAGATGGAGAGCTGTGTATTAAGCTGAGAGTTATTAAGCTATGTAATTATCAGATTAGCTAGCTTTACCTTATGGTATCACCAGTATGGCCCATTCCTTCGTGTAGATCAATTAAGCTGCTTCCATAGATGCCCGAGCCCAACCCAATAGGATTTGAGATTAGCTCGTGGCTCAGGTTCCAAAGCTTATACATCCGGACTGTAGAGTCGTTTGTTGCAACACAGATTGAATCATTATTTGGAGAAGTGGAAGCACTTAGTATTCTTAAGCTGGGGGAGGCGGGAACTATAAGTAATGGAGCCATATTGGGATACGAATATTTTGCTAATATCAAGGGAGAGTCACTATCACCAAACCCATAGGTAGCCACGATTTCTTTTCGGAAAATCGACCAATGAAGTGAGGTGACCTGGCCCTTTGTATAATGGCTGCTTAATAGTGTTCCGGAAGAGGTATGCCAAAAACGAATATTTCTATCCTTTGTACCACCTCCAGTGACTAATAATGATTTGGTCCATGGACAATAGGCCATTGCTTTAACTGCCGCTGAATGGGGGAGAATAAACTTTAAGCTGGGCTTGAATTTATCAGTGATATCCCACACTGTACAGCAATTGTCATTGGCGCCAATGGCTACTTCTGTATTATTCATATTGAGTTGAATTCCTATTTCAATGTTAGTAAATAGATGTGAGGTTCAATCATCTGGGTATTATATACCGCAAATTTGTTGTCTATGGCATTCTAGTTTACTGATCTTTGATAACGATGATATTATACCAGGTTTTGATTCGTTTATATCAAAATAAGTTACTACTCCTAATTCATCCCCAAGTAAAAACAGATTGGCCCCCGGTACCCATTGAACAACATAAACACAACTATTATGACTGAAGACTTTCAATACTTTATTTGTAACCTGGCTTATTATAAATATATTACCATTTGCTGTCGTAACTATCGAATATATCCCTTGAGAACTAGATACGCAAACAGTGACACAGTGGGGAGAGTACTCAATCTTAGCAACAGAGTTATCGGTCGACCATACATAAGCACTAGAGCCCAAACCCACCAAGACTTTGTTGGTTCGAGGAGACCACGAAACGAGATTGGAGTAGAAATCATTCCTCAATCCTGGTGCTTGTAGTATATTAGAAGCCATTAACACCTCCACATCTTTCAACTGCTCGGAGGAGTTGACTGACGATTTTTCTCCATTCTTCATGGCTTTGCTAGATACTAGTGGGGTTAATGAATGTTGATTCAATATATTAACGATATTCGAGCCTTCTAAACATCCAGAGCTAATTGATGATGACGACCCGTTCTTCGCTCTTTTATGTGAGGTAAACTTAAGAACTCTACCCATCTGCTCGTATCCAAGTGCTTGGGCAATCGCTTGATGGTGAGGACTGGTTGGCGAAGTGCCACTTGATTTCTTAGAAACCGATCCTTCTCTACCACCTGAACTAATAGACAAGAGAGAGTCGCTTGTTCCATCATTCAACGTAGACGACGGTGAATCACTTTGTACAAACATCATATCTTCACGTAAGCTTAGATCAACAACTGAGTCGGAAATGGGAGAACCACTTGTACCAACGGAGTCAGTGCTGTGTTTATATGTCAGCGGAGAAGATGAAAAAGGAATGAAACGACTACTGGACACCGGAGAGCCAGTTAACTGTGTTTGGAAAGATTTCTTCATTTTGTTGAGTTGTATTGAATCTAACTATGACCTTTTAAACGCCAAAGTAGCTTTTCATTCAAAATTGTTAAAAAACCACCATAAATTCCAAAAAAAATCAGGACTACCGATATATAATGGCTTTGGTCAAGTACTCTCTTCTTAATACAAGGCAAGACTTAATAGCAAGGCGTTGGTGATATAGAAAGAAGTATTAGGAAATGGTGGTTTTATTTGTGTTTTAAGTAATTTGCAACTATTAAAAAATTAGTGTGAGCAGCAAAATGAGAGTTGTTGATGATTTTTCATGTTTTTTCCTACACGTTTTCCATTTGATCTAGCTTTGACCATAGAATTTGCTCCATTGAATCAGAAGCCTAGCTGTGGAAGGTATTAGGGTGGTGCTTCTGGAAAATGGGTAATCTCCAATACATCTTAGTGTCGTTTTTGATACTAACCAGTGCTATTATATATCGATTAGTTGCACTTCGAGTTACGGAACCATTTATCGATGAAATTTTCCATTTACGCCAGTGTCAAACTTACTGTGACTATAGATTTGACGAATGGGATAATAAGATCACAACTCCTCCAGGGTTATATTTGTTAGGGTTTGCTTATACCAACTTGATACGGGTGATTGGGATGAATTCTTCCAGCTTGGATGCTATATGTGCAGATAAGAACATATTGAGATCTTTGAACTTGGTTGGGGGACTTGTTGCTTTCCCCTTCTTTCTTTGGTTATTGAAGAAAAACAGTAATTATAGTTTTTGGATCTTGAATGTTATAACGATTCCCTTGATATTCCCTTACTACTTTCTTTTCTATACTGACGTATGGGCAAGCATTCTTATATTGGCATCATTAGTACTTGGAGTTACTCCAGTATTTAAGGACTTGCACGTTAATATTGCATTAAGTGGAATACTTGCGTTCGTTAGTTTATGGTTCAGACAAACTAACATTATTTGGATTGCGTTTGTAATGTCACTTGTTATTGGAGAACGCTCTAAAACGGACGGCTCAATTGTTGGCAATTTTGTTAGTTTTGTTAAGCAATTCTTCAATGATTGGTATTTAACGCTTCCATATTTTGCAAATATTGTGTTATTTGCTATATTCATTAAGAAGAATGGTGGGGTAGCTTTTGGAGATAAAGATAACCATACTATTGGGTTACATCTAGTTCAAGTATTTTACTGTTTTACTTTTATAATTGGGTTGTCTTTGCCGCTTTGGTTGTCAGTAAACCATTTGAAGAAATACGCAAGATTTACAGTTCTTGGTAATTACGGATTGAATCTTGTTATTACAGTCATTTCGTTTACTTTGATCAAATACATTATTGATAACTATACCATTGTTCATCCATTTTTGTTGGCTGATAACAGACATTATACATTTTACATCTATAGAAAGGTGTTGAAACATCCCATGAGTTTTATTGTTACTGTACCGTTATATCATTTTTCATTATGGAGTATAGTTGAGATTTTAAATTCCAGTGGTCTCTTAAATCCTATGAATATAATCACGTTTGTCGCCGGTACAATCCTTACAATTATTCCTTCACCATTATTCGAACCGAGATATTACATTGTGCCATTTATATTTTTCCGTATTTTTAGTAAGCCTCAACAAGACTCAAGCCAGTTATTTGAATTTTATTGGAACATGCTTATTAACTCGATTTTGTTTTTTGTCTTCTTTAGCTACGAGTTCAAGTGGGCAAGTGAAGGAGATCTTATACAAAGAATTATTTGGTAAACTTTACATTATTGTATAGATATTTATGAATAACTTTTGTAAGAGCCAATAAAAAAAAAAAAGAAAAAAAAGAAAAAGATAAAAGGATAGACAACTTTAATAGATTGAATTTCATATTCTTGTCAGGTATTTCTTAGAGTCACGATCGTTATCTAACTCATCATGTAGTTCATTACCCGAGTCTTCATCTTCTATGATATTATCTAGTAAATTATTATCTAAATTAGTTTCTTTATTGACGACTTCATTTGATAAAGGACTTTTGACGGAAGGAACACTCAGTTTTCTTGAATGATTTTTTAAAGGCAATTCTGATTTGTTTAAGTCGTCGATATTAGTCAAGTTACTATTTATATAATCATCGATTGAGTTTAAATTGATCGAGTCTAAATCATTTAAGTTATTCAGATTACTTTTCAAATCTTTAATTAAAATTTTTATATCATCATTTTGTTTTGAATCATCATTCAATTTATTAAGCCAATTTTTAATTGATCTATTTTTCAAAACTTCTAAATAGGATAATTCCTCTCCATTACCATTACTTTTATGATTATTATTATCATTTATCACTTTATTTATGAAAATCAATTCACCCTCTGAACCAAACATATCATCACCATCATTTTCATTCCATTTTTTAATTGACCAATTGCCCATTTCTAAATCATTAGCAAAAATTAATAAGAAATCACCAAAATTATCAGCAATAAGATATTTAGTATCAAAATCTCTACCAAATAATATAACTTGACCCCATTTCCCATTACCAGTAGTAGGAGGGCTCAAATCAAGACCGATACAATTACCAGTTTGATCAGTTATTATTGGAATCCACATTGGATGGGCGTAAGTTGAATGAATACAATCCGGAGGTATTGAACGCTGTTGAGGAATATGATTTGATGCAGAGGAAGAGGAAGGAGAATGTTTCAAGTTAGGAAAGTTTGAATTATTTGAATCGATGGAAGATCTAATATGATTCACATTATGATTTTCTGAATGATTCGTTAAAAGAGAAGAACGATGGCCCAAATCAAGAGACGAAGCAGAAGAAGTTGGACCAGAGTACGGATGAGAACCGAGAGGCGAAATCGGAGTTGGAGGAGATTTATTCTCGGAAGTGGATTGATTTAATTGATTTTGATTATGACTTAATTGTAATTTTTTCAATTCTTGCAATTTATTATTCAGTTTAATTTGGGATAATTCATTATTCAAATTTTTAGCAACTTTCCTCCAGTTCTCTGTCATTACTACAATTTCATCAATTGACATTAATTTTAATCCAAATATCAAGCCTCCACTACCATTATCATTAAAATTAGATTGTCCATCGGTTAATTTGAAAAATTCAATCAAACAATTTGGTACTTTAACTCCTAAATCTTTTTGAAAATCATTCAAATCGGATACTGTGCAAGGACTTGATAATGAACTATTCAAATCGGGCGAGTATTTAGTTAACCAATTCTTAATATGTCTCCAAGCTAATCTAACTTCATGAACGCCATCAATTTGTTGACTAAATTGATGTTCATTTTCAAGACCAAAAGAACCACCTCCGAATCCAGTTACGCTTTGATTGTGATGGGAATATAGAAGGTTTTCTTCACTTTCAGGTTTATTTATTCTATTAAACGATTTTCTAGAATCAAATTCAGAATATTTATCATTGGTACTTATTGAATAAATAAATTCCTGGAACTTTTTGGATAGCTTCATCTTACTCTCTGGAAACTTATACTTTTAACAAAGTCCTACTTTCAATAAGACTTATAACAAATATTTATAATAAGTTGAAACAGTTTCCATACATTAAACCGGCATTTAAAACCTCCCAGAAACAAAACATACCCGTTTTAGTGATAAACCGAAAAAAACGAGAATCACGTATTTTTGAATTTAAACTCGCGTCTCCAGCAAAAATGCTTCACGATAACAAGGCTCGAGGCTACAACTACAGCAGTATAAAGGTTACATTTACGGGTGGGAATATAACCCGGGCATGAAGTGCTAATTTTATGGGGGAAAAGAAACACGATAAACCGGGTTTTGTTGATCTGGGAAAACCCCATTAAAACAAACAATGCTTCAAAAACCATAAAAAGTATAAACAAAATATATGGGGGAACAATCCTACCGATAGAAAGTAAGCTTTAAAGAATACCTTTAAAGAATACCCGGTAGTATCTGGAAAAAAGAAAGGGGGTCATTGAAAGTAGTCTATTTCATTTGTTTGAAAGTGATCAGAACGATTACCAACAATATAACGAAACTGTGTAAACACATGGCGACTAAAATCAACTAGGTTTTATTTGATTTTAAGGGCATTATCCGTGGTAACTAAATTAAAGAAGAAAGTAGAAGTAGGGAAAATGGTGATGGGATTGCAGAGTTTTTATATTGAGCAGATGAGCTGCGGGTAACCTTTGAAAAAAAAATAGTTAACTACAATAACTATAACTAGAATAAGTTAACTTTTTAATGAATATAAGATTAAATATTAATAGATTATATGATTTTTTTTTATATTAAAACTAAAACCTAAACTATAGTAACATAAAGACAGCTGAACTGACCTAAGGAGAGTTTTTTTTTTCTTTTTTAACGATAAAACGGGGGTTTAATATATATTATAGAAGGAAAAGCAGGATATATACTTTAATGATTTAAATATATAACTTACCAGTTAGAAGCAGCAGCTTCTTCACCAGCAGGAGTGACACCAGAATCAGCCCAATCTTCAACATTAGTTTCAGCAGTGTCCCATTCAGCTTCAGCTTCAGCAACTGGAGCTTCAGTAGATTCTTCAGCATCACCAGCTCTGGCTTCTTCAGCAGTAGCTTGTTCAACTTCTTCAGGATCTCTGTAGAAATATAAATCTGGCATGACAGACCATTCAGTAGTTCTATCTGGGATAACACCTCTTAATCTTAAAACTTCTCTAGCTAATAACCACCAGATTAAACCAATGGAGTGTTTACCTTTATTATTACAAGGAATAGCAACATCAACGTATTCAGTTGGAGAATCAACATCGGTTAAAGCAATAACTGGAATGTTAACGTAAGAAGATTCTTTGATAGCTTGAGCATCAGTTCTTGGATCAGTAACAACAACTAATCTTGGTTCTTTGAAAGATCTAGTGATATAATTGGTGAAGTTACCTGGGGTGAATCTACCAGCAATTGGAGTAGAACCGGTGTGAGCAGCAAATTTTAAAACAGCTCTTTGACCAAAAGTTCTTGATGAACAAACAGCAACATCAGAAGCATTTGGAATAGCAGCAATAATTCTAGCAGCTAAAACAATTTTTTCCCAAGTTTTACCAACGTTAATAACGTTAACACCATCTGGTCTGGTTTTATAAACATATGGTTTGTTGTGAACCTAAAAATATTGTTAGTATATCATCTTATCATTTGAAACGTCGAAATAAGGACCGTTCTTTCGTTTTCTTCTCTTCTCATCATTCATCACTCATTCATTCTTCAGTTCCCCCTTCATTCTTTACCAGTCCTTAAACTTTTCAAAATTTTTCAAATCGGTACATACTTGAACATTCTTGGAACCCAAGTGAACGTTGGCAGCTAATAATAATTTAGCATCTTCTGGAGTTAAATCGAAGGAAGCAGGTAAGGACATCTTTGACGGTGATTCTATATTATATGCTAAAGGATCGAATACTATCTTCTTAACTGTTACTATAAAAGTACCTCCTTTAGGTGGTTTTTTTTTTTCAGAGAAAGGAAAAAATTTCTTACTGGGTTTTGGGTTCCAATGAGAAAATCTGATGAAAAATTTTGTTACTAGGACTGTGTACAGGTTGAAACCGCCAGAAAGTTAGCGATGCGGGCACGTGACCGCGCTTTTGGCTCCCTTTAACTAGACCCACACCGCGCGGTGCACGGGCGCCCCTTCGGACGGCCTCGAGTGACGGCACGTGCGAGGAAGGGCGCCAGCCCTAGGTCGCAGAAAATCGGCCTTTTTTGACACTCCGCACAACAAGCGACACACCTGCCGAATGGAGCAAGCTGTAATTCGCGGGAGCCGTCCGGGTGTACGGTGGAATTATTCCGCTGTCGGTGATAACCCGGGACCAGGTTATCACCGACCCGTATATCTTTCTACATTGGAATATATATATAGACAGATATTTATAGATAGTTACTTATATATATATATATATACATATATATATACATATAGGGAAACCTTGGGAAAACTTCGTTGCTACTGTTAGTTGGTCATATACTTTAATATGGATTCAGATAACGAGGCAGCCCCTTTGATTCCGCATAACCCAAGGGTGCTGGCATCAAACCCCGATAACGATGTCTTATTAGAAACTGCAATCAACGATGCTCTCCAGTCGTTTCAGGACCCAGAGCTGGGAGAAGAAGAAGATGAGGATGTTATTTGGCTCAGAGAACAACGGGAGTTGAATAAAAGTTTGCACTGGGCGAAAAGACCATCAGCTTTGCAGATTGGAGGAATTTTATTTTTTGCAGGACTCATTTCTAATTTCCTTCAGCCAAGTTTAGAGAGTATCTATAATAAACTAGCTTGCAATTCGTTAATTGAAGAAGGACGTGATGGTACCTGTGATCCTGCAGAGGTGCAAGTATTTCTTTCAAGTTTTAATTCAATAGTATTAATTTTATCACTGATTGTTTCAATTATAACTGCTACTCAATACGGTAGATTATCTGATATATACGGGCGTAAACCATTTATAATATTTGCTTTTGTCACTATATCATTATCGACTTTATTGAGTTTCTACCTTATCAGTCATTATTCAACATTTAAATTTGGTTGGTTGGTTTTTTCAAATGTTATAGCCACCATTGGTGGTAGTATTCCTACGTTATTGGCAATTTGTAAAGCTTATATTAGTGATGTTTCTGAACCTCATGAATTGGTTTATAGTTTTGGGTTGATTGTAAGTGCTACTTCGCTTGGATTCTCCATTGCTCCTCTTATAACTAGTTTAATTTTCAGAATTCATGATTACTTTCCGAATCCAGGATCCTCATCTACTTTACAGCAAATTGATAATTTTGAATTTATTCCAATTAAAATCGGTGCTATTTTAATGTTATTACTCACTCTATATACAATTATCCTACTCCCTGAATCAAGAGGAACCAAGGCCAAAGCCAAGTCAAGAAGCTTACTGATTTCAAATTCCCCAGAAAGTCAATCATTACTTTCGCATTTGAAATTTTGGCATTATTTGAAAATAATGGTTTTACCTTCTGATTCGGTCAAATCTTCTATCCCCCAGAAATCTTTAACAAAGGCGAGGTTTTTATTTCTTTCTATCAATTTTATAAATACAATTAATCTGAGTATCCATATGGGACTTGCTACCTTGCTTGATCAATACGGTATCTTCAAGTTTAATTGGACTACTCCAGATATCGCTGGTGTAAGTTTTTTGACTTCAATTGCAAGGATTATCGTTTTAGCAGTTATAAGTCCTTTCCTCTATAATTTTTTATTCCTTAAAGTATTCAAATTGAAAACAAAAGATGATAAACTAGATAAAGTTGATTTCAATATGATTTTCATTGCTTTGTTTTTCCAAATCATTGGTCTTTTCTTCCTTCCTTTTGCCTCCTCTAGCTCTCAAATGGTCTTTTGGTATACTTTGTCTCTGATTTGTTATATTTTGGATCCTACTCTCAGCTCGACAAGCTTGAAATATCTCTCTGAACAAAAAGCTGGTGAGTACTTTGGTGGAGTGTCGACTTTTGGTAACATCGGTACCTTGATTATCCCTCCGGTTGTTTTCGTGGTTTATTCCTTCGGGGTTCGTTGCAACTTTGCCGGAATTGTGTTTTGGCTTTGCTCGTTGTTTTCCATCTTAGCCTTGATCGTGGTCAGTATCGGTGAATTCATGATCAAAGACCAAGAATATGGCACAGTTGAAATCAATCCACTTGAAAATCACCATTCTGAGTCCGAAGCAGACAATCGAAAAATTGCTGCAAATGTCTTAGTCTCAGCTGCCTGAGCCTGCCACGTTCATTTCTCTTTCTCCCCTGTTTTACTACACTTTTACTACATTTAGTGCTTCACTTCTATATGTCTATATACATAGTTATGCTTTAATTATACACTAATCTATTAATCTTATTGCTAATAGCAATTTCTAAATAAGGCACCACCAAAATTTTTTTTTCCATCGGAATTTCAATTACTCCTTGCGAAAAATCAACAAACATTTATCTTATACTCCAAATTAGTAATTATTGATAAGGATACTGTTGCTATTCAACCCTATTGCCCTCTAAAAGCCTATTGATCCTTCGGCGAGATCCAACTGACTGATCTGGATATTTATAAGTGGAATACACTGGTGGTGTTCTTTGTTAAACTGTGGAAATTTACAGATTGAAAATTTGAGCTTTATCAACATGTCAAATCATAGTATTAGCTCGGAAATCGACCCCCTAATTCCCGAATCCCATTCTAATTATGATTCAGTAGATGATGGTCAACCTTTCCATACCAAAGACCGTGATGTTGCACAGCTAAATCCAGATTATGCAGCCAATATTGGGCATGCTGCTACCGATTTCTATGAAGCGGTGATCGAAGAGGAACATCAGGATTCAAATATAGAACAAGATGAAGATGTGGTTTGGCTCCAAGAACAACGGAGTATGAATAAGACAATGCATTGGTTCAAAAGACCATCAATATTTATGGTGGGAGTATTAGTGTTCTCTGCTGCGTTTGCAAGCGGGAGCGGTGAATCAACAAGACAAATGTTGTCGTTGAAATTGGCTTGTAATTATTTGGCTCGTTCAAACCCAAATGGACACTGTGATCCGAGAAATGCACAAGTTTTGGTTTCAAATTTACAAATGTTCTATAGTATATTTGGTGGGTTAACAATGATGTTTGCCTCTGGTAAAATCTCACCTCTTTCTGATATATACGGTCGAAGATTGTTTTTAAGACTATCAATACTTGCATTACTTCTTGCTAGGTTTTCAAGATTTCTCTTAATGTTCAACTTTCCTTATTTGAGGTTTAATTTGATGGTTTTGACAGAAGTTTTGGGGAATTTATGCGGAGGGTTGATCACTTTGATCTCAATTACAAATTGTTATATTAGTGATGTTGTCGAACCCCATCAGAGAATTTACTGTTTAGGTTTGAATATTGCGTTTTTATTCATTGGCTACTCAACTGGACCATTAGTTGGAAATTTCTTGCTCAAACTTGCTGATTTATATCGTCCGGGGAAACAGCATCAAGGCTCAACCCAATCTTTGTTTGAAACTGATCTTTCAATCAATAGAAATGAGTTTGTCCCATTACAATTCGAAATATTTATATTTGTATTAGCTGCTTTATTCACATTATTCATATTACCAGAATCAAGATCTTCTAAAGCGAGAAGAAAGTCAAGAACTTTATCAAGATCACTGTCAAGATCGCTGATCAATGCTTCTGCTTCCCAAGAATCAAATTCAATGGGTACTTACCTTTGGTCATTCTTGAACACCATCAACTTTTTAAAACCTATCCGTCTACTTTTCTACCCTTCAGGAGTTGTCAATCCTAGTAACTACCATCGTATTAACCGAGACCGCACAGTCGTGATTATTCTCTCATTCTGCGAGTGTTTTCTAACCGGCCTTGGTATAACATTACAGGAAATTAATATACTATATGGTGTTTATGTATTTGGCTGGACTTCCAAAGACATTGGCCACTTATTGGCAATCGCATGTGCAACAAGGGCTTTCACTTTGATGATATTATCTCCAATAATCACCCGTCGCTTCTTACAAGGATATATGGGATTTAGAACTCTCAAAAATCAATTTGATATGATCGATTTCACGATGGCATTCTGCGCTTTCATTTTGGAAGCTATCGGCTTGACTTGCATGGCCATGGCCCCACAGACCAGGTTCTTCTTTGGCTCTCTACTTTTCACAAGTTTTGGTGCATTGGCAAGCCCGGCCTTGAACTCCTCAACCATCAAGTTCTATCCAGAATCAAAAATTGGTGAGGTTTTTGGAGGTTTATCTTTACTCAAGAATGTGTTTGCTCTTCTAGGCCCCACTGTATTTTTAACCATCTACAAGAAATCGGTTCTCAGTTGGAATATCCCCTATGTTTCCTTCTTGGTTGGTGCAAGTCTAATGACACTAATGGCAATTCTTCTAGTCTTTGCTAAACGATTACTTCGTCTAGACAAGAACCTGGACCCAATGATATTGACAAGAAGTAACTCTGTGGCTTCTTTACAATCCCTCATGGACGGCAGTCCAACAACTCAAAGCAATGATACCAATAGACCCAAAATAAAAGGATCACGATCCGGTTCTTTCTCAAAGTCTCCAGCTAATAATACTGCTCATGCGAAATCCGTCCGCAGATCGAGCAGTTTCAACCAAACCGGATTCAGTCGATAGTCTTAACTTTGTAAGCTTAAGTTTTATTCTATAAAATCAATACTTCTATTAAGTATTTCATATACTGTAGATTTGGCAGCTTTTGGCAGCCGTTGTCAGCTTTTGGCAGTTTTGACAGTCCACGACATCAATAGAATGTTGACGCGGTGGAATTAGAATTTCGAAAGCTTGTTATTCCATCACATAAGCTTATTCAACAGACCATTCAATCGTTTTAGCTTCACCGAGTTTATGAATAAGAGGTTGAAGAATGATTTAGCTGTTTGTTAACAGGAGAAAATTCAATCATAAAGGCCTTATGTCACTAAATGCAGAAGTTATCACAAATAGTTTTCAGAAAATTGCATGTTCAACATATCTTCAAATCATATCAATTGTTTATTCAGAGAGTCTTAGCATTAGGCTAATTAATTCATTAATTTTAATTTTAAGCATTTTTTGGGGAGTATATTTTGCAGTTAACCAAATATTCATTGATAAATATCCTTTAATCCACGTTGAAGCAAGTTTGCAACCCGAGGAATTAGTTAAGCCGGTTACCAAGCATTACATTAGGGAAGATATAGGAAGTGACTTAGAAGATAATATAGTCAGTGAAATAGAGGAGTCAAGTATTGTCAAAGAAGAAGACTTTGCCTTTTTACAAAACCATTATACAAATACTACCAAGAAGAAATTTGTTCTTAGACTAAGTCCCCTGCCAGGACCAGCAGCAGACTCCGAATCACCTTACGATAGCGATACTAATATCAATAACGAGTCGAAGGATATACTTACACTTTTGGATCACAAACAGTTCTATAAAAATTTGAATAACAGCTCTCAGTATTTAAGACGGGATAGTTTTTCAAAATAAAGATAGACATGACGATGAACTATCACATTTATTTCCCACAAGACTTATTGAATAAGAAATCGAGATCCAAATCGCTTTACTTATTAGGATTTCATTTCAAAAACATTTTTATTATAATCCAAGTAATCAACTCTCCTAGGATTCCTCAATTAAATTTTCCATTATCAAAAGGTCTAGAAGTGCTTGGGACTTTGAACAAAGCAAATGAAGGCTCATTGTCATTGAAGTATGATAATACAACTAATTATCCGGTGGTAGATACCTCGTTCAAGGATGAAACATATACGGTAATCGTTTTCGATCCACCAAACTTCAAGAATTTGGAATACTTCTCCATTAACCCAATTCTATTGCAATCCACCGGGTTTGAGAAAAATACCAATTATGGATTGACTTCAAAGCTAAACCACTATGAACCTCTAAAATCGAAAAGTGAGTACTATTCTATAAGTGATGAGATTGTTCTTGATAAGTTGAATCAATGTTTGAGAATTAGATACAACTTTGACCGGATGGGATCAAAACCATCTAGAGGAATTGTTTCAACGAACAAAGTATCCCATTACATTTTCGATTCACTAAAGTATATCGCTATGATATTTCAAATTCTTACCATCTGGTTGATTAAGGTAATCAATTATAAATTTTTCGAAAAATCAAGTTTAACTGATGTGCTGGAAACTTTCAAGCAACTAGATTTAAGGTTGCGACAGGTCAATTACTTCCCTATCCAGTTTTTATGTTATTATGACAAATCGATTCTATATAATAAGGATTCTGAATTTTTGAAAAACATTGAGATTCCCTTTTTAAACTCAGACCTAAATATAAATAACTCAAACTACATCAATTTATATAATTCTCTTTGGTTGATAGTAAATGACGTTTTGATTGGTATGACTTTTTACAGGATAATAATTGAAAATTATGATTTTTTGAATAGTTTCATAAATGAGGTTATAATCAAAAAGCTCTTATTTCAAGAGTTTTACGATACGATTGAATGGGTCTCTTTTGACCACCCAGCAGGGTTTAAATTGAATAATGAATTAGGTCAATTTATGGGAGATTTATTTCTATGGACTTTAAAGTTTTGGAAAATGATATTCACTGATGGCTTGATGATAAATATGAAAGACTCAAAAATATTATTATCAGTTGGTAAAGATTATGACAAAGTCATATTCAGTATAATTAGGTTTCATTTGAAGATCTTATGTTATGGTGGGTTGACTTTTTTATTGAGTGCAATAGTTGATTATATTAAAATCATAACTTTTCACCTTCATTGTTTCTATTATACATCCACAAGAATATATAATAGGCAAATAGAAACTATTAAGTCGCTATTTCAATTGTTTCGAGGGAAAAAGTATAATTTATTAAGAAACAGAATTGATTCTCTAGAGTTGAGTGAAAGATTTGAAATAGATCAATTGTTATTAGGGACCTTACTATTTATGGTCTTGATCTATTTACTACCTACAGTTTTTGCATTTTATCTTATGTTTTTCATAATAAGAATTATTATATTGACCTTGAATAATTTTATCGAATCGGTTATAACATTTATAAATTTCATACCTTTATTCATCATATTGCTTAAATTTAAGAATTCAAATCGTTTACAAGGTGGAATAACCATAAACTTTTTATCCAATGTTGGTGATGTCAATTATCTTTGTTTGAGTAACAAATCATTAACTTATAATGAAATATTAAGGAATTTTTATAAATTATTCAAGATCATTAACTTCAAATCGAATATCTTGAAAGATTTTTTCCTTGGTAATTTAATTTTCCTAAATGATTTGAAAACCTTAAAGTTCAATTACTTAATGATACCCAAGAATTACGATAAAACCATTGAAGTTTGGAATCATTTCAAAACTAAATAGCTTCTAATAAAAATGAATTTTATACTTGGTGTACGGGTGTAGTCTTTGCAACGAAGAAAAATCAATTGAAATGAAAAACTATCAACAGATTATTACTTCATAGCGATGAACCCGAAAAGCATGTCAGAAACAAAAGAACAACATTCCACGATATATATAAATAATTTGAATGATAAGGTGAAGATCGATAGACTAAAGGAGACGCTTTATAAGAAATTCCGCAAGTATGGAAACATAATACAACTCAGTGCCCATAAGAATCTTAAGATGAAAGGGCAGTGTTTTATAACGTATGATAACGCCAAATCAGCAGAAGAAGCAATCAAGGGATTGGCTGGAGAGAAATTGTATAAGAAGGAGCTTCAAATAACGCATTCTAAGGAACCACTGGATGAATACTACATAAAAGTTCTAGAAGATGGCGATAAAGTTGAGCAGCGGAAAGAATTAAAGAGACAAAGAAATAAAGAAGAAGAGAAAGAGAATAAAGGGAAAGAAAAGAGAACTGACCAACAGCCTAATAAGAGAGCTGGTAATGCTAACTATTGGCAATCATTACCACCAAATCACACTTTGTTAATACAAAATTTGAAGGAAGGAGTGCTAAAGGAAGACTTAGAAGATTTATTTGAAGAGTATGATGGATTTAATAATCTTAGATTTGTTAAAGTGAGAAATTTAGCGTTCATCGATTTTGATAATGAGATACTATCGAAAACCTGTCTTGAGTCTATAAGCCTAGAAGAGTTAAAGCAAAAATTTGGCAATGAGCTTATACTAAGCTTTGCAAAAAAATAATTACATAGAAATATAAGGTTTAATATTATGTATTTTGTATATAAAAAAAGCACAACAAGAACTGAAAACGTTTTTTTTTTTTTTTTTTTAATTTTTGATCTAAAACAATTGATGGGATTTCTGAAGGGACAAACAAATATATAAAAAGCAAAAGTTTAATAGTCAACACCGTTCATAGATAATAATTCTCTCAATCTAATAACTTCATTTTCCAAGCTAGTTTTATCATTTAATAAATCTTCAACCTTCTTTTCTAATTGAGACATTCTTTCCATTTTTCTTGCTCTTGATCTTCTGGCGGCTTCAGTGTTTTTAGCACGTTTTAAAGCAGCTGGATCAGAAGAGTCAATTGCAATTGGGTCCAAATCTTGGGCTTTTTGTTTTTTAGCAAAAGCAGTTACACCCAAGTGGTCAACCTTCTTCTTAGGTTTGGAAATACGATTAGATTTGATAGAAGAAGCTTTAGTAGATTGAGAAACATCATCCATTATAGGAGTTGAATCAAAAGATTCTGGGGAACTCTGGGTGGTGGTGGTTTGAGGAGGCTCCATGAAAAGCACTTCATCCAAATCTTCATCTTTAACAATGGTAGAAGATAAATCTTCACCATTATTTTGATGATCACCAAAAAGAGAAACCCAGTCATCTTTTGAGTTAACTTTTGACCCATCAATAATAAAGTCCAATTCATCAAACATAGGCGTGTGATCCTGGAATTGGTCCCTATCCTCCAATGAAGTTGAAAACACAGAATCCAACACATCGGAATGGATATTGAACGGAGAAGTTGCGCCTTGTTTAGGAGCATCATCACCAGCAGGCAAGTGAGAGGACAATTCACTCACCGCTTGATCTTTAGAGTACTGACGAGCAGGCAAAGCTTCAACAGCTTGATGTTCCCCAACATCTTGATTTGGGTGAGGAGCAGCAAATAAATCGGCAGATTCAAACATTGAATCTCCAGATAATATCATTGGGTTTGAAGCAGATTGTGACATCTTGATAGTAGTAATAATAGTAGATAGAGTAGATAGAGTAATAATTAGTAATATAAGTTAGTAAACTGGATATTTTTTGATCTTTTTTTTCAAGTATAGACTTTTTTTCAAGCAACAGATAGAAACGTCATAATGGACGGGTATAATTTAGTATCACGATAACATATTGAAAGAGGGGTTTGATAACAACAACTTTATTTAATATCAATAGATTAAATAAACTTTTTTAATTTAATTTTTTATTTATATATAATAATAAAATAAAAACTTTTAACTTTTAGAGGGGGGGTTAAAAATTTAAGCACACATTTTAACACAAAGTACTTTTAAACAATCAGGGGAAGGAATAATAATAATATAGTATGAGAAATAATAGTAGTAGAAGTATTAGTTTTTGTTGTTGTTGTTGTTGTTGTTGTTGTTGTTATATAAAGAAGAAAAAAGTGAAATTTTTTTCTAAAGCGAGTGGGAAATGCGTGGATTAAATACAAAAAATTTTTTTTCACTCAAATCAAGCTAAGCGCGGTGTGAAAATTTTTCATTCGAAAAGGGGATCCAGACCGTGCTGAGGTTTACGCCCAGCCGTGGCCCGGCTCTCCCCAAGGACAATGCGTCCTTGGTAAATCTGGGACCCGTCTTTTCGGATGAGTCATCAGAGCTTACTGATACGGACGATACGAGAGGTTTGATGGAGGCCCCGTCTATTGCACTGGAGACCCAGGGGATGGGGGAGCTTCGTAGGTGGCCAGTGGAGGGCCAGTAGGTAAATCGTATCCTGTTGGACCAGGCCAATCCCCGGTTTAATTACCGGTACCGGCGAGTGGTTAAATTAGTCGGACGTGATCATGTGACGCGCGCACGTGACACCGGCGGCCGGTCGGCGGCGATAAGCGGGGATAACGGTTTGTGGTGTACCGGTGTATACTTTACGGTTGGTCAGATATTTTGCAGCAATTGCTAGACATGGACGATTGTTATTCGGTTACTATTTTACTGTGATATGTGTATTCACTGTGATATGTGTATTCACTGTGATATGTGTATTCACTGTGATATGTGTATTCACTGTGATATGTGTATTCACTGTGATATGTGTATTCACTGTGATATGTGTATTGTGGTTGATGAGGTATGTTTATTTACTTGTTATGCGAGCATCTATTTAACTCTAAACCACTTTGGAAGCTTATTACCTTTTGCATCTTTCTTGACTTGATTGGTGATCTTGTTTGGATTGCCGGTGGGAGGAGGAGTCTCGGCTTCGTCGTCCAAGTTGGCGCGGTTGTTTTCAAGAACCATTTCGGGAAGATGGGAGCTGTCGGAGATGGTCAATTGGTCTTCTTTTAGAAACTGGGCGGATGAGTCGATTGGCTGATTGTACTCCCAAATCAAGGTTATTTGTGAGTTGATTTGGAAGTCGCTCATATCGTGAAGTTTCGTGCTGTTGTCCTTGAAGGTTTGTCCCAATTTGGTGAAGGGAGGGTAACCTAGTTTCAAAGTGTAATTGTTGATGAACTTGCTTAATAGTAATTCATCGATTTTTTTCAAGATTTGGCCGAATTTAATGGTTTCGCCATTTTCGAAATGGAATTGCAAAATCGATTGGTTGGGGAACTTGACCCTGATGGTGTATGCTTCGGGTAAGCTTTTGATTTGTTTGGTCTTTTTGGGTTTGGCGCTGTTGGCGATTATTTGCTGATATTTCTGTGCTTGGCCGATAGTCATTTCGTAGTCTTCGTCCGGGTTTTCGTAAGTTTTTGATCGACTTGACGCTTTGAACAATTGGGGAGTGGTCGATACAGCATTGGCTTCTCTTGGAGCAATTACTGGTCTGACAGAATCTTTCGGGGTAGCTTTTCTTTCTTCTCTTTCAGCTTTTTCTTTTCTTTCTCTTCCAAATTTTTCTTTTCTGTCAGCTTCTCCTTCAACTTTTTCTTTTCTTTCTCCTTCAACTTTTTCTTTTCTTTCTCCTTCAACTTTTTCTTTTCTTTCTCCTTCAACTTTTTCGTTTCTGTCAGCTTCTTCTTCAACCCGTTTGTTATCTCTTTCAGCTTGTGCAGCCTTTCGCTCAACTTCTCTCTGGGCGTCTCGTTCGGCTTCCAAGGCTTGTCTCTTTCTTTGCTGCTCCAATTGCATCCCGACTATTTTCTGCTGCTCTTTGACCAAATCACTGTTGTCCCTCTGCGCAAATCCAATTCTCACCACCAAACTAGATACGTCTCCCAAAAGACTATTCAACTTAACTCCCAACTCATTCTTGGATTGACTCAACTTATAATCCATCACCACAACCACCAAATCATATACACCAGCGTCATACTCCAATAACCCAGCATCCAACTCATTCACCAAATCAAGCACCGTCTTACCATTGTCTATCTTAATAATCTTAGTACTGGAACCACCATTGGTCTCATTGATTATACATTTCAATGAGATAACCTTGGGTGTTCCAGCCGAATCTCCCTTGGGACCAGTCTCCAACTTCAACTTGGAGTTATTGATCAAATTAGTTAATCTAATTGGTAGCAAATTATCGATCTTCTTCCCATTTGAATAAACCATTGCCTTTGGGTATTCGCCGGCATCCAAACCAAACTTCTTTAATGCCTCTTGCACCAACTGGTTCACAGTCGTCGACTTGGTCACAGACACCTTCTTACCCACATTGTTCAAACTCACATTCAATACTATTGACGACATGGTGGTTTAATGATGGCAAATGCTAAATATACCCTTCACCTTGAATTTATTCATTTAAAAAAGAACCCAGACCAACCTGCAAAATGCACCTACGCATAAACCTGCAAATGGGTCACTCCATCAAAATAAAAAAAATATAAAAGGGTTTTCGAATCCTGCTAAAACATCTATAATTCACTAGAAAACAACGAAGGAATGTGCTGTTGTGAGTGTTTATCAGACATCTGTTTGATCATAGTGTCGGTGTTGTTCCCTCCATTACCGGTGTGGATACGTAGAGGAATCTGTTCGTGTGATTCTTTGATCAATTTGCTTTTATGTTTTCTCGGGTATTTCCCTGGATTAATTCATTCGTGGTACATCATTGCCAAATACCCTCCATATCTTTCAAATGATCGTATAATATACATAAGAGGCTCTGACTTGGAAAACCAGGTCCACCACCACCACCACCATCACAATAGTAACCGTGGAGATGGGTTTTATCCCGACCTAATCAATCAACCTCCTCAACCTCCCCAGTCTCCTCAACCTCCTAGGGCTAACTACGGCTCAATAAACGATGGTCTACCACCGGCATACGCAGAGATTGATGAGGGCAACCGTAAGTCTGTCTAGATATGCTACGGCTTTTTCTTATTGCATTCGTTAGATTTTTCTTTATGTTACTGTTTAGTAACGATTCGGTTTTTTTTTTTTTCTTTTTAATACCCTTTTGATACCCTTTCACTTCCCAATTAATACTCTTTTGTTGATATCTCACGTAATAATGATTAAATATACCTATATTAGATACATTACCATGTAGTCTTTAGTCTCTGTAACATCTAATTATCAGACGATGTTCCTCTTTGGGTCTAATTTGGGTCGGTTTAAGGCGAATAAAATAAACCCCCGTACATATGTCATCTTATAACCATTCATCTTCCCCCTACAAACGCCTTAACCAAGGTTTTTTGGGTGCTATAGGTATGTAGAGTAATGGTAATGGACGTGGTTCTCCGAAGGTCTATGGAAAAGGCGTGAACGCCTTATGAGTATCGTAAAGCTGCACACTTAGCTGCAAATATGCTAATGTCAGAAATCCCCCAACAGGTTGGGAACCAACTAAGAAGACCTTCCCCAGTGTATCGGGATGGCTGCAATGAATGTATTTGGTAACACAAACTTCGGGGTTCGTAATCTCTGATATATACTTTTGGGCTAGCTGGACCAATTATCGTAATCAAGAAATCAAATAAAATATGTAAAGAATTCGACAGATCGTAGTTGTACTGACTTGGTATATCTTGCTACTTCATTGGAGTTGGCAAAAGCTATACTACGGTGATAGGTCGGGTCGTAATAACGTGGATACTCTCAGTTGTCTACGTCATTATATCAAATATTGTTTCTTTACAATCAACAATTGTTACATTCTCCCAGCATGACACCGATAATGAGCTACGGTTTGTCTATTGGAGAAACTAGCACCGGTTTCTTTGCTAGTGGCGAGCAGTCACTGGGTCTATGAATCTTTTCAGTCTTTCAAATGGACATGCCCCGGTTCTCATTTGGAAGTCCGAGATCAACCCATAATTGCTAGATCAACCCATAATTGCTACCACTAGAGTATCACACTACCTCTAACCAAAATGCCCTTCTGGTATTACTGATACTGACAATTATTTTCATTAAGCCTACATCAGAAGGTGAATGGTTGTGTTTTTCACAGCCATTCAAAACGCTATAAAAAAGTGTGAGATAAGAAGTTCACTTCAAAAGAGGAAAAAAACCTGGGAAGCTCTGATAAAGCACGTTACTCAACTTTACTCTTTCCAAGCTTGCAAACAATGACCAGCTTAATCTCAAATTCGATCCAGGTAATGGGTGATCCGAACTCAAAGAATGATGTCGAATCTATCCAGTCAAATGCTTCAAAATTAGGTGGCAACAGAAAACAAACTTCAATATCAGTGGGTCTGTCAATTAAGGATTGGTGGAAATCCTCTACTCATCTTATGTACGCTACTTCAGATGACTCCCATAGGCAAGATAGACTACATCAGGCCCGGCTAAAGCATATTAAGATCGAACACGATTTGTATCGGGCCATTTTGTCCGATGATATCAAACTCATATTTCCAGATCGTTCTCCTAATTTCATCGATCCAAAAAATCATTTACAAAACGATTTGGATAATGCAGCTATTTGGGGCCAGTTCGTTGATGTCCAGATAGATGATTGCTCTTTGATCCATGAATTTTACTTGGAGAATCGATCAGATTTATCCTTGCCTCATAAAGATGTTGTCATCATTCATGGGTACATGGCAGCCCTGGGATACTTTGTCAAGAATTTTGAAGAATTAATCAAGTCTTATCCCAACCTATCGATTCACATTCTTGATTTACCTGGTTTTGGGAACTCGTCACGTCCTCCATTTCCTAAAAAACTTTTGAAGTCACCTTCACCTCCCTCAATTGAAAATCAGATATATCAAATTTTAGAAATTGAAAATTGGTTCATAGATAAACTTGAAATTTGGAGAAAGTTTTGGAACTTACGTCATTTCAAATTGATTGGTCATTCAATGGGCGGCTACCTTTCTTGTTGCTATATCATGAAATATAATGATCAATACTTAAATGTTGATAATGGTGGACGTATAGTACAAGAGTTTATGAATGTAAGTCCAATGGGTACCGAATCAAGCTATGTGAGTTTAATCAATGACAAAAAATATCAATTCAACCATCACGAGTCGGGTGGTGATCCGTTTAAGGAACTTTTTATGAAACAACCAATCCATGACGAAAACACTTCTGAAACCACCCGCTCATTGGATAAGTCAAATCCATTAGGCAAAAATGAAACCATTGTTAATGATCCAGAATTGATTTCATTATGGGAAAAACTAGGACGCCCAAGATTTCCTAAAAATTTGATCTTGCAAAAATTATGGCAGTGGAACAAGTCTCCTTTTCAATTGCTCCAATTATTTGGACCTCTTTACTCTAAATTGTTGTCCTATTGGTCTTTTCAGAGATTTAGAAATTTGAAAGCTAATGATGACAACGAAGATGAGGATGTTGAAAACAAGGATGAACCACTGTCAAACGTTGACCTAATTTTGAAACTTCACGATTATTCATTTTCAATTTTTAATCAATTTCAAGGTTCAGGTGAATTGGCAATTACTAAACTAATCAATCATGAAATATTGGCTCGCTTACCACTTTGTGATCGTGGATTTATCGAATATATTGATAAAGCTAATATAAGGACATTATGGATGTATGGGGATAAAGACTGGATGAACTTCCAAGGTGGTAAATATTGCGTTGATAAACTATTGGGTTTAGGCAATAAAGTCACCGATTTTAAAATTATTCAAGATGCTGGACATCATATTTACTTAGACAACCCAAAGTCTTTTAATCAATCCTGTATTGATTTTTTCAATCTTAAAAGTTATTAACTCGAATTACGTTTTATGAAATTATACTTATTGACTAGAGTTTAATTCCAAGTATAATCGTTTATTATTTATTACAATTTATTTAATCTCGATAATTCTATTAACTTATCTGTAATGTAGTTTTCATCAACTTCATTCTTCTTTATCATTTGAATTAATTTACAAAATTCTAATGAAAACTTATTGATATTCTCCATTTCAACTATCGATTTCAATCTTTCACTAACTTCATAAGCTTGCTGGATAACATCGGTTGGAATCCCAGCCAATTTTGCAACATTCAACCCATACAGATTACTTACGACCCCTTTCACCAATGTATATAAAAATACAATTTCAGGCCATTCCTTTTCATTCTTGACCCCCTTTTCCATGAAATTCATATGATAATTCCCAACTACTTGCGGATAATCATTTTCTAATGTGTGTAATGACGGGTAATGGGTGATGAAAAGTGTTAAAGGCTTCTTAGGGTCTTCTATTAAATATTTCAAAATTGAATAAGCTATTGCAATACCATCGTTTGTTCCAGTACCCCTTCCAATTTCATCTAATATAATTAATGATTTATCGGTGAAGTTTGAAATTATATTTGCCAGTTCTAACATTTCGATCATGAAGGTTGATTTTCCTTTTAATATATTATCGGATGCACCCATTCTTATAAATATAGAATCAAATATTCCAACTTCGGCTGATTCACATGGTATAAAACACCCGATTTGACACATTATCGTTAGCAATGCAACTTGCTTAACGTATGATGATTTCCCACCCATATTTGGTCCTGTAATGATAATCACCCTTTCTTTCAGATACGATATATTGATATCGTTTGCAACGTAATTAGAATAACTATGAGGTAAGTTTTCAATAATTGGATTTCTACTTTTCTTTATTTCAATCCTTTGTTCGTCTGGTAAAATCTTAGGACGGACATAATTGGAGTTCATTAGGGATGATGCAGTAAATGATAATAGACAATCAAAAATCGATAATTGTTTAACAGCCTGGTTGAAAAATCTGTAATGGTTATCTATCATTCCTAAAAATTTATTGAATGCAATATCACAATTTTTCAATAGAAGTTCATTATGATATTGAAGTCTTTTATGTAATTCAATTATCGTCGGATTACGAAACCTTGATACAGACTTCGTTCCACTGATTTTTATCCAGTCTTTAGGTAATGAATCGACCTGCTTACCATTTCGAACTTCAATCAAATGCGATTCTTTTAAATTTGTAACGTAGCTTAAATTGGGACGTTTCAAAAACTTTCTTATTTCTTGTAACTCGGTATTTAAGTCTTGTTCTACTTTTGATATTTCCTCTAGTTCTTTGCTAATATCATCAGTCATCGGATCCTGGCCTAAATGAAAGAATCCAATTTTTTGATCAGTCACATTTCGGTCATTTAATGCCTCACTCGGGTTGATCAACTTCAAGAATTTAGTAAGATTACCATCTTTGGATAAATCATAAAGTTCTTCAAATATTCCTTTTAAAAGATCAGACTTGACAGAAGCTTTCAATTCCAATAAAGGCTTTTCCCCGAAATTTTTAATCATTCTAAATACTTCATCGAAACATTTCAACATCAAATATAAATCTTTTCTTGTAATTCTTTCCATGTTGTATGTGGATGAATAGTGAACTTTTATTAGTAGTTTCTCCAAGTCCGATCCTGCTTTACCAATTGAATTTAACTGGTTCTTCAATGCATCTATTAAATGATTAAAATCAGATGTAAGATCATCTATAGCATCTAATCTAGAGTTTATGGCATCAATATTGATTAAAGGCATACTTATCCATTTTTTTAATAATCTTTGACCCATTTTAGTCCTCGTATGGTTTAATAACCAAGCCAATGTACCTTGTTCCGAGCTTGGGTCAGTCTCATTCCTGAATATTTCTAATGCTTGCAAAGTATGACTAGGTAATAGCATGAATTTACGAGAATTGACAAAGTTATTAACATTAGAAGTTATTGTGAAAACATTTGCCAATTTAAACTGTTCCAAATACTTTATCAATTCACAGACGCAAGATAGGACTGAGGCAGAAAAGTTTACCTGATAATATTGAGATAATTGAATCAAATCATTATCATCAGTAGTTATCTTTTCAAAAGACTTGACAAATTCTTCTTCCAAATCGGAAGGACATTTGACATGCATAATGTTCATCGTTCCTTTATTGAGAGATTTGATACATTTTAAAGTTTCTTTAGATATACTAGACTGGTTGTTTATAACTAGTATTTCACTTGGTGTGATATACGCAAATCTTGTCTCTAGCTCATCCCTAGTTATATTATCTCGAAATGTATCATGTATTATATCACCCGTTAAAGGCTGGACTGCAACAATACTAATTTGCTGGGGGGCATTCAGTTCGTCAAGGCATAGTATATAGTCGCCCAATTGGCCGTCATCACCACTGTTTTTAACATAGAAGTTTGGATCACCAGTGTTTATCTCATCACCCATATAGGTAGCTTTAGTATACACCCCAGTGATTTTTCTTTCAAAAAGACCGCTTTTATTCGAACTTTCCATGTTCTTAATTGCAGCAGATTCCGTTTGTTTAATTACTGCAACTTTATATCCATAATTTAATAATCTTTGTAAATGGATATGAAGTCTGTTATCAGGAATCGAACAATATGCAAATTTCCCATTTTTAAGATCTTCAAATTTAGTAGTTCCTGGAAGTAGCATAATATTTAGAATTTTAGAAGCTATAGCTGCATCATCTGCAAAAAATTTGAACTTATAACCCACCTGAACAGCTAATAATTTATCTCTATGATTCAGCTTCAAGCTGATAAATTGTGATTCTAATGGTGTCAATTTGGCTTTTGTAGGCTTCTTAGAAGTTCCCTTATTCAAATTGGTGCTTTTGGCCCTTTTTGTTGGGGGCGTGCTACTATCTGATTCTTCATCCTTATGGTTAATCAGCTCTACTTGCATAATCTCAGACTTCGAGCAGTCCTCCGAAGCATCGGGAGAGATTGTTTTCGGCAGGGTTTCGTTTGGCTTGTCATTATGTGAAAATTTTGATAGCTTTGTATTAATTTTAGGAGACGAAGCTTGTTTTTCAATCGTACTTTTGTCATTACTCTTCGAAATCTTTGGTTGGAAAAACCTACTTATACTAGGCTGGGACTTCTGGGAGCTCGATCTTTTCATTTCAACTCAATAGTTCATTGACAAACTACGGCTTTTCTCTATGCCACTAACTTTTATTTGAATCTATATATGAAAAAGATAATAAAAAATCAAGATGAAAAGAGTACGCGTTGACACTGAAAAAAAAAAAAAAAAAAAGGTAACGAATGCAAAAATTCATTGAACTTATTTGAAAGACTATCTCACTCTATTGAAGGATACGCTACTTGCACTTTGAGAAGGAATCAGAGGGAGATGATTCACCAGGTCCGTTGAGCGGTGACGGGAAGATGGCAATGAATTCAACAGAAGAGTTGGGGTTGCGGTTAAGGTATCATCACCAGCCCCATGGTTTTGGATAGTACTTGCAGTCGAGTCATCCGAATCTAAGGTAGAAATCGAGGAAGACCTGCGTAGCAGGCTTTGTCTCTTGAGTTGTTTCTGTGGCTCCAGCAATGGAGAATTGCTGTTTGTTGAAGACGGGGATCTTAATGATGAAGTTCTTGATGAAGTTCTTGATGAAGGTCCTGAAGAAGGTCTTGAAGAAGAGCTCGATGGAGAATTTACAGCTACTTCATTAGTTGACCTTGTCTTTCTGAGTAAAGGGGATCCGCCAGAGCCAGGACTAGGGCTTCCACTACTAAAACGTCTTTGTAATGTGGAAATTTGACCAAGAGAAGGGCGACGCGATGACTGATGATGGTCGGTGGAAGGTGAGCGACTGCTTTGAAATGCAATCCTGGCTGCTTGCGAAGACGCAGAAACTGAGGATCTTCTCGACCCGGTCTTTAAAGGGGTTCCCGGAAGTTCAGGGGTTTTGGTGGTCTTTGCTGGTGGTTGTAAAACGGGTGAACCCGGCAGGGATTGTTTTCTAGGAGGTGGTGCAGGTAACAGCTCTAAATCTTCCAATGGTATAGATTGTAATTGTCTATCTGCTCCTGAATCTGCAATGCTATCTACCTCTTCAACTTTTGGCCAATTATTAATGGTATTTTCGAGAGATTTATGCGAGTTGGAGTTAGAGGTGAAAATATGATTTAATGAAGTATTACTCTTCTTACGTCCCGAAGAAGAAAGAATTGGCGAGTTGACTGATATAGCCGATTGAGGGGAAACATGGGTGTTGACATCTTCCTGTTCATTCAGATCCTTATTTGTCCTAACCAGAGGAGAAATAGTAAAAGACTTTAAAGAAGGAGTCTTAGTTAAAGGAGTTTGTATGCTTGTTGGAGTTTGAGGACTTCTTGGAGAAGTAAATGAGGAATGGGGGAAGATTGTGATAGGACTTGGTCTTTCATAATTGTAAGACGTATTGGCTCTTTTTCTAACATTAATCTTGTCGTTGGATAAATTCTTGATTAATTCTGAATCATCCTGAGATTCTTCATTGCTAGATGAAATATCAGGAAAGGGGGTAGTTGTTGGTAATGATTGAGAATGAGCTCTACCCTTTTTCGTTTTATCAACTTTACTATCAATTTTAACATCATTTATACTCGAGCCATTCGATTGATTAATGGAATTAGAAATACTTGATGATTTTGATAATTTTTTTTGAGGGTTGTGGGATAAACTGCGAGTTAAATTCAGAGTTTGCTGTTGTGTGGATTGAATCACAGGAACAATTGGGCTCGATAGGACTTTATTCTCCAAGATTGAGGTCTGGGATTTGTTAATATTATTCCAGTGATATAAAGATGAAGATGCCGATGAAGATGTAGAAGGATGGCCACTCATGTTAGAAGTTGTCGTACTTGGATCAGTGATATGGTTGGCAATTAAAGAAGAAATGTCAGTGTTTGAAGGAGCGTTTGATAAGTTGGTTATTACTTCTGATTTGAAATTCGAATAATCATTTGATAATTGGAAAGAAGAAGAATAATCAATCGCACACCAGCCATTTGAATTTTTTATTGATTCGAATTTTTCAAAATTTGACACCAAATTATCCTTGTTCAAGTTCTTAACAGACTCGTTGTGATATAAATTGTTCAAGTTATTTGATAGTAAGAATTTTATTATGACTTTTAGACAATCAAAATGACCATATTGGAAGCAAAGATGTAGGCAAGTATTACCGTTTAAATCTTTAATTTTATAATCAGCGCCAAACTCCAATAACAAAGTAACACCTTCTTTGAACCCATAGATACAAGCATAATGTAACGGAGTTTGCTTTAACGTGCCACCGGGATAATTCAACCATAAGTTACCTGGGAATTCCTGTAATAAATAATGTAATGTCTGAGAGTGATGATTAATTAGCGGTAGATGTAAGACGGTCATTTCATCAAAAGTGATCATATCCTTAGTAGCGGAATAAGTTTCGTTTTTCAATCCTCGGATATTTTGATTTATAAAAGATATAAGATGGAAACAAACCAAATAGTTCCCATGGTATGACGCGTAGTGTAAATTACACCAACCTTTATGATTTGGATCCACATTTAGCCAAAGTTCAGGGAATCTTGATAAAAGTCGTTTGGTTATAGGTAGGTTACCTTGTATGACGGCTTTTCTGAGTCTTTCCGGAGGTTCAATCATATTGAAATGGTTGAGTAAAAGAGGATTGGTTGTCTTTTGATGAAGTAACAAAAAGTTGATGATTTCTCCCGCACTTTTCGAAAAAAGACCTAAATATTAGGAACCAAGGGATAATCTTATCAAATCAATTGGGGCCCTCGAAATCAGGTTTTATACACACACGAGTAAAATAGAACAAGGCCGAAATTGTACCGATGCTGGGGAAGGATTCGATGAGGATAGCAGCAATATCAGATGTACAAGGGAACTTCGAAGCAATCCACCAAGTTTATAATGAATCGGTTGAATATATAATTCATACTGGTAATTTTGGATTTTGGGATCAAGAGACAATTGAAGATTATAAGGACTTGAATTACTTAAAGCAGATTGTGTCGTTTTCTAAGAAATTAGATTCCAGGTTAGTGGAAGAATTGAATAATTTATCAACGATTAAATCGAATGCTAATAACAATGATAAGGATTATGAAATATTTACGAATAAATTACGAAATAATCCGATAAGTGATATGGAATTATATTTAAAAGGACACAAAAGTTTGCCATGTCCAGTCTATACAACTTTTGGCCCATTGGATGATCCAAAGATTATCAATAAGTTTCAAATTGGAGAATATCAAATACCTAACTTATATATAATTGATCATTTGAAAATTCATGAGATAATAAACCCTAATAAAAATCAGCCAAGTATCAAGATATACGGAATTAGTGGGAATGTTAAAATACATAATCTATTTGATCATGGGAATCTCAATTATGAATATTTAAGTGGGAAAGTTGGAGATTTATGGATTACTTTAACGCAGATCAGCCAATTATATATGATGATCCAGGAAGAAATGAATGCTAAAGAGAGCATTAATATATTTGTAAGTTATGCTCCCATAATTAAGAGTCCAATTTTGGAACATTTAGCAATTATAACTCACGCAAATTTTACGATAAGTCAAGGATTACATTTTAGATATCCAGTTATGGGGAATGGGATGAGTTTCGTTGATAGTATGGGAGGATCTGCGGGATATATTGAGAATTATCGATCTAAATTTTCAAGATTAAGATTAATTTTAGGAGAGTTATGGGTAGTGGTTAAAAAGCATATTTTAGAAGTTTTAGAACAATATCCCAAAGAAGAATCAACCAATTTGAGACAAACGATTGAGATTGGATTAAAAATATTCGATAAAATTCCCATCTCGATTAATGAGACTAACGATAAGATAATACCATTAACATTTGGAGATGAAGAAGAGGAAGAGGAAGTGGAAGAAAATTATGAGATACAAAAACAAATATTGAAAAAAATCAATGATTACTATTTCAGTGCATATTACAATCTATGGCATTTTAATCTAACCAATTTAATAATGGAAGAAGAAGAAGCAGAAGAAATAGAAGAAGAAGAAAAAGAAAAAGAGCTTAATATGATGATTTTCAAACTAACCAAATATGGGAATTTCAAATTAGAGTACTGTAAAAGTCAAGGATTCAACTTTAATTTTAAAAAACCAAGCTCCCCACAGTCAAGAGAACAAAAACCATCTATTGATGCTATTGAGTATTCTCCAAAGACTGGAATTAAAAGAGAAGTATTCGAAGATAATTTGATTCGTAGTAAACGATTATTAGAACGAGGATCTCGTTCTAATAGAGCTCGAGGTAAATTCAAAACTAGAGCAAAGACTAGATTACAAAAATGAAGTTTGCTTCAAGTAAATAAATAATGTATTAATTTTATATAAATTTAATGATGTTCAAATGGTAATTTTTGACCAAACATTACTGGTCCATCTTCTTTAACCCTATAAAAAATGTAAAACCACATGGTGGCTCCCAAGAACTTGGATGCCCATTTGATTTTGGCATCCACATGAGGATGTGCTACTGGAGCATGACGAATATATCTTGCAATATGACCAGCCATTATACAATAGTGATTGAATAATTTTAGTAGGTATGTATTAATGGCTTTAGATTATAAAACTGCGAGTTTTGGTTGGTCGAAAAGTAGCGTCTGGTGTATGGGCCCGAGAACGAAAGGCTATTGGTAGGTGCACTTCCTCGTTTCTTTGGTGTATGGGTGTTTTATATTTTTTGACCAGCAAACGACTTTTTGTTATTATTTTTTTTATTTTGTTTTGTTTTATTTTTTTACCTTCTTTTTGTCTCTTTTGATATTTTTTTTTTCGTTGTCTTTTGACAAGTTTCCTTCTAATCACGTTGGGAATTGCACCAAAGGCACTAAGTTCATGAAATTAGTCTTTACAGAAACCGTTGGTTGTGTTAGGCTATGTGCAAGCACCTATGAGTAAAATAAAGTTAGACCGGGTTAGTGAAACCTAGTTAGCCAAATTAATTCCATGAGTTAACAAAGAGGATCGACTGCTGATCCAATGCAATTCGTGTACGTAAAAGCTTCGTGTTACTACAATGATTGGCGAAAAGCATTGAGTACTATCCCGATACCTTGATGGTTTACATTACACCGCCAACTCTTTGTCTATTTTCGGAAAAAGAAGCATGTTCAGTACCTTAATACACAGTTTTCGATAGCACTTTTTTGTTCTATTTTTTCTATTTTGTCTTTGGAAAGGGTATTCTGATAGAATTGGTTTGTCGCTGGTTACGGAGGAGGGGAGCAGCGCACGACCGGTGGTGCCCCCGGGCGCTTTGTTCCAGATGGGGAAGTTGCGCGGGCTTGACCCGTGGCTCGGGAAACAAAACAAAGAAAACGAGACAAAAAAAAAAATCGACGATCTTTTTTTTGACAAAACCTTTAACAGCCCTTTTCTTTGCAAGTTTTAGAGGTACAAGTTCAAAAAAAGGGATATGAGTAGTAGAAGATGAGTATTGTTACACATGAAGAAGTTTGTGAAGTTAATGAGTATGAGTACATATGAGTACAAGTACTGATGGTACCATTATGGATTATATCAAGTAATGAATTAAAATGAAAAACATTACATTAGGAAAAATGCAAACATGGGTAATTGTTGATGCAAATGCAAAGGTCTATATTACATGGGAATTATCAAGGTACATTATTGTTTGTATTATTCGATGAAGTATTGAATTTCATGTCTCGTTCGTGAATTCTAGTATGTCTAGTCATATTTGATTTAACACTGAATAATCTTCCACAATCAACCCAAGGACATTTAAATAATTTTTCACCGGTGTGAGAATAAATATGAGTTTGTAAAGAGCTCGGTCTTTTGAATTGTTTTTGACAAATTGGACATCTATTTCTTGCTGCGGTTTCCGGTTTCATATCGTTGATCATTATTTTGGATTTTTTTCTTTTTGGGGTTTGGATTGGCGTTTGCGAAATTTGTGATTGTATTGATTGTTGAACTGGTAGTTGAATAGGTGCTTGTGATGTTATCATATTGAAATTAAAATGATTATCATATTTTATTGGTTGGTAATATAAATCATTATATGACAAGTCTACTTGTGTTGTTTGGCTAGGTACGTTTTGTATCGGATTTGTCTGTGATATTTGAATGCCTGTTTGATTCAGTCCTGGTTGTATTGGTTGAGCTGGTGCTGTATGTACCGGTGGTACTGGTTGGTGTACTGGGTGCACGGTCGGCTCTGGGTTCTGGACCGGTTGATTTTGAGGTGCTTGAGGCATTTGAGGTATTCCCTGAGGTATTTGAGGTAATCCTTGAGGTATTTGAGGTAATCCTTGAGGTGCTTGCCCTGATATTTGACTTTGAATCTGACTACCTTGCATCTGACTACCTTGTAGTTGGCTACCTTGTAGTTGGCTACCTTGTAGTTGGCTACCTTGTAGTTGGCTACCTTGTAGTTGGCTACCTTGTATCTGACTATTTTGTATCTGACTATTTTGTATCTGACTATTTTGTATCTGACTATTCTGTATTGGATTTGTTTTCTGTATAGGCATCTGGTTCATGGTCACTTGACTCATCGGTATCGGAGCCTGGTTCATCGATAGTTGGTGCACCTGGTTGTGTCCTGAAACTTGGTTCATTATTGGTATATTCGGGGCATTCACCGAGTATGATGAATACGGTATCGAGGGTATTTGAACCGGCTGTATGGGGGGAACTTGGTAGTTCTCCGAATATGGGACGGGTCCCGTGACCTCTGGTACTGGCACTGGTACTTGGTCATTTTGTTCAGTTTGGTCTACCTCTTGAAACGGCACTTCATTAATATTGAAAATATTATGCTGGTAATTGGAGTTACTCATTAGTTGTTTCACTAGGTTCACGACTTTTGAAAAACAAGAAACAATCTATCCTATTCTTATACTCATAATAACATTTCTAAATTAAAAGAGAAAAAAAAAAAAAAAAAAAAAATCGAACTTTCAAAAACTTAAAAATAATAGGAAAAATAATACTGAATAATAATCACCAAACAAAAAAAAACAAAAAAAAAATGAAAATCTCCAGCCAAAACAAAAAAAAAAACAAAAAAATAAAATAAAAATAAAAAAATATGTAAATAAAATAAAAAGATCGACACTTTTATGGTCTCTTATTTTTGTTTTATTTTTTGGTTTCAATTCGGTGTTGATGAATTAGTTTTTTTTTTTTTTTCGGCCTTATTTATTTTTCATAAGAATGATTGCCTTTTCTACCTATTCTGCCTTTTCTTTCTTTTTTTTTCCTGGTTACTGGTGCCTCTCCTTGCCGTATTTCTTTTTGCTTTTCAATCTTGATGAGCTCGCCTCTACTTGATTTATTCTTTTTGCTTTTCAATCTTGATGAGCTCGCCTCTACTTGATTTATTCTTTTTGCTTTTCAATCTTGATGAGCTAAATAGCTTTAATCAGAGTTATGCAGATTACATTTTGTAAATCATCTAACGTCAATCCAAATTGCTTTCATGCATACCACGTACAAAAGAGCTTATAACTCAGATATATAGTGGTGTGGAGATACGAACAGCCAAAAGATTTTGTCTGCGATTTGTGCAGGAGCGCATCTTTGCTTTCTTTTAGTGTTTGTTTCGCTAATTCCTGCATGAGTTCTGATTGTTTGAATATTTTTTTTTTTTTTTTCACTGCTTTTCTTATTATCCGATGAAGGCTTATGTAAGCGGAAGGCTTTCTTTTTTCCGACTGCTCTCGCCACGTCACGTGGCACTAGCTGGCTGATGGACGGGTCTTGAGTTTGGCAAGTTCTCCGAAAACGACCCTGCAAATGTCGCATTACTCATCGCTTACACACTTTGGGGGACGCGCGACATTCTTGCTACATGACTAATCTATTAGAGATTTATTCATAATGCATTACTCAAGAGCAGATTAATAATTTTTTACAAAGATCTCAATGTCTAATGGTATATAAGGAGAAAAGGGTCCTTTGAAACGAATTAGATTTGTTTTTTTTTTTCAAAGAATTATCAAAACACAATCTAACTATCAATAATGGTGTCATTACGTACAATTTATAAGAGCATGCTTGCAATTGAGCAATCCGAAGGTGCAGGTGCCAGAGTCCGCCGCTCAATTGGGAATATGAAGATGAGAAATTTCGATCCATTCCTAATGTTGGATCATTTCAATGTTCTGCCAGACGCAGGATTTCCTCATCACCCCCATTTAGGTCAAGAAACAATCACTTATATTACTAAAGGACAAATGGTTCATGAAGATTTTAATAATCATTTGAGTGTATTGAATCCTGGTGATTTACAATTCATGACTGCTGGTAAAGGGATTGTTCATAGTGAAATGCCAGTTAAACAAGAAGATTTATCAAATGTTGTTGGTATGCAATTATGGGTTGATTTACCAAATGACTTGAAAGAATCAACTCCAAGATATAGAGATTTAAGAAATGACGAAATTCCAATTTACCAAGATGATTCAGTTAAAGTTAAAGTCATCAGTGGTAAAGTTGGTAATGTTGAATCACTTAAAGAATTAGCTTATACTCCAATGTTTTATTATCATTACCAAGTTAAATCAGGGGCTAATTTTGAACAATTTGTTGAACCTAATTTCAATACTTTCCTTTATATTTTAGATGGTGACTTAAAAATCAATGATAAAGTTTATCATCAATACGATACTTTATTTTTCAATATGGATGGTGATACTATTAAAGGTGAAGTTCCTTCTGGATCAAAAGAAGCCGATTTTGTTCTTATTGGAGGATTAAAATTAAATCAAAATTCAATTCAACATGGTCCTTTTGTTGCAAATTCAAAAGAACGTATCATGCAAGGCTTCTACGATTATCAATTAGCCCAAGGTCCCTTTTCTCCATTGAGAACATGGGAAACCAAAATCAGTGATGGGGTTGATTCCAAAAAATTAAACAAGTTACTTAACGTAAGAGATGAACTTTAGTCTATTTATTATTTATAACTTCTATTTATTAATTCTATTTATTATTTGTTTCAATCGGATATTTTTTTGTGTTAACCGATCATAATGCTTTATGTAATGTAGGTAATTAACCGGAATTATGTCTAGTCATCGAAGGTGCATTGCAGCTAGGGGTCGGAATTCCTTTTTATTTTTTTTTTTTTCGTTCAATTATTTATCAAGTAGGTTTCTCCATTTGATACCTTGGTATAAACCATTACATCGTACACTTTATCGGCAATAAACCACTCGTCAATGGTGATCTCTTTTGCTATTTGGGGAATTTTCATTTTATTTTGGTATATTTCCCGCATTTCATCGGCCGGAGTTATTTCACCAATGATTTTTCTCATTTGACCTAGTTTTTGTTTAATCCAACCTTCTTTAGATAATAATATATACAAGATTACTATATAATCATAATAATCTTGGTGTTTAGACTCTTCCAAATTTGCAAATTGATAAAAGTTTTCAACCAAACGCGAAAATTCTCCATCATTGGCATATATTTTCTTGAATAAAACTGCCTTACTTTCTTTTAAGCTTGATTTCAATAATCGGTTTAATTCGTCATAAGATTTTTGTATTAACAATCTTTGGCACTTCTTGTATCCTTTAATGGTTTTGATTACGGTTGCATTATTGACTTTTTTGAAATCATCTTTTTGTTTCATTTGATTTAATTTAACTTCGTAGATTGATAGCATTTGTTCGATGGCTTCTAACTTGGTGCGATGAGTTTTAAAACTTATTTCATAATCCAATTTTAAATTAGCTTGCATCATATCGAGAAATACTTCATTGATTGGCTGCTCATGGGAGATTTCGAACGTTTGTAGTGGCTTATCTGGTATGGCAACTCCTAAAGATATTGCTTTGTTAACACTATTCAAATCTAATTGCATCGATATGGTTGTTTTACCATATTTATTATTTTCATCAATGAAACCATAACCGAAAAGTAAAGTTAGATTATCCTTACTACCATAATTATTATAAATTTCTTGTTTGCCACTGGGGAACTTATCAAGAGCATTGAAATCAATAAATTTGGTATGATTTTCAAATTTAGGTATCCATTTAACTTGAGCATCGTTCACATGATTAGTTAAATCCATTATAGGCACCAAGATTAATCTCTCTTCCTTCACTCCCGGTTCAATAAGAATTGATGGGAATCCTCGTGAGCTTAATATACAACTAGCCCAAACATAACTTGGGAAATCTAACCAGTCACCCGAATCGTTCTCTGTCCATTTATACCATTCATCAAGACTAAACTCTTGCTTAGGGTCCCCACCCAATATTCGACTTATTTTCACCCATCCTTCATAAAGCAGAGTTAGACTATTCTGTAAGAAGAATTCTGCATCCGTGTTTTGCAATAATGCAGTTTCTTTCTCTTTCCAGAAAAAAGGTATATTCAAATCTTTAGCACTTGGTAATATCTTGAAAAATGGTTTAAATTTAATTCCAATTTCTTCTTGGGATTCTCCGTCTTTAAATTTACTTAAAAAAAGTTTAAAAAGTTCAACACTACTAACTTTATTAATTAACTTTTTCCCTTCTGCAGTGGTAGCAAAATAGTCTGTCACTAACTTGGGCGTGATCATAATGCTTTCAGGCACACTTATTAATGGTTCTTGTATTACAACCTCACCTCCGCTTTTATTATTGAAGTAGGCTCCAACTCCATTAATCCCAATTTCAAAGTTTACTTCAGAATGGATCTTGGTCCCATTCTCGCATGCCCACTCTAATAAAGTGTCCAATTGCTGACGCGTCGCTGGCATCTTCTATCCCTATGTTTTCCTACAGGATCCAGCTAGTTATTCTTACTTAAAATTTTTTTCTTTAAATACTTCGTCAGTCTGATGCTCTCACCGAAGGAGAAAAAAAAATTGTGCTGCATTTTGCTACCAAATTGAGTAGCAAAACGGGTCGTGTACGGGCTTTTTGGATTGCAAATATTCAATTAAACTATTTGTGATTGAATCTATGTGTCTGACTGGGACTGGGTGTGACTGGGTGTGATTGTGTGTGACTGTGTGTGATTGTGTGTGACTGTGTGTGACTGTTCGTGACTGTTCGTGAACATTACTTATTGTTAGGGTTGTTAGGGCTGTTAGGGTATTCCACTGGTAACTTTGAACGCAAACCATTGTCAATTTGAAAGCAGACATGCCGATATCTATAGTTCCCAGAGGACGAGTTTGTGGATTGGACTCCCTTTCGGTGAACGGGTCTTTGATCTGAGACACCGTCTTGAGCTTATTTCTGTTCTAAGTTTGATGGCCGAATGACAATATGGTTGTAAAAAGAGGCTTTCGGACCCTTAACAAACGGTCCGCTTGCTGGCTAGGTTCAGCCAGTCGCTTGTTTACAGTAACGTTAATCGTAGCTGATCAATAGAACCCAATCCAAGCGGTCTGTTTTGATAACCTATTTTCAAATATTTGTATGGGGAAACAGACTGATGTCAGGTCGTGCGCCGATGTCCCAAAACAAGTTACCAGCCATTAAATTTCATTTTCGCAACAACACAAAAACTGGTGTTTTGGCAGTTGCAAACACAATCCAGCCATGTCAAGTCTAAGAAAATGACATGAAGCTATGTCGGGTTACTATTTATACGACATATGGCCAGCATGGATCATAATATGGATCAAGGGGTTCTCAACCAGTTTGTGCTTGTGACCGCAAGCAAGGTGTATGTTTGTTTTTCTCAGTAGCTTAGTTTCGGTTGCATCTATTGATTTGATTGATCCTAGCCAGCTTTCAGGGTCATGTTTGGGTGATTCGGATAGTTCTATGGTTACGTAGGCTTGAGACTGACCAGCACACTTGATCGTCGTAGATCTGAGGTCAGTGCTAAATTGTATAAATATCGAAGTTGATCTCAAATTATCTTCTTGGATTTTAATAATCATTCAATAATCATTCAATAACTTAATCAATAAACAATAATCACAATGAAATACTCTACCGTTTTTACTGCTTCTGCTTTCGCTGCTACTTCCTTGGCTGCCACTGTTCCTTCTGAACCTTGGACTACTTTAACCCCAACCGGTTCTGCTCCAACTGGTGCTAGCACTGACCACACTCATAAATTCGGTATTTCTATTAAAACCGTTTCTGACGCTTCTGCTTCTGCTTCTTCCGCTCCTGCTAAAAGAGACGGTGTTGTTAACCAAATCGGTGATGGTCAAATTCAACAACAAACTTCTGAAACTTATTCTGCTCCAAAACCAACTACTGCATCTGTCATTAACCAAATTGGTGACGGTCAAATTCAACATCAAACCGCTCAAACTACTGCTTCTGTCATTAACCAAATCGGTGATGGTCAAATCCAACATCAAACCGCACAAACCGCCTCCGTTATTAACCAAATCGGTGATGGTCAAATTCAACACCAAACTGCTGCTACCTCCGCTAACGTTGCTTCTCAAATCGGTGATGGTCAAGTTCAACAATCAACTGAAACTGCTTCTGCTGATGATAAATCTGATGGTAACATCCCTCAAGCTTGTATGGGTTCCAGTGCTTTATCCATGGAATTGAAATCTTCCGTTTTAACTGACTCTAAAGGTAGAATTGGTGCCATTGTTGCTAATAGACAATTCCAATTCGATGGTCCTCCTCCTCAAGAAGGTTCCATCTACGCCGCTGGTTGGTCAGTTACTTCTGAAGGTTTATTAGCCTTAGGTGATCAAACTACCTTCTACCAATGTGCTTCTGGTGATTTCTACAATTTATATGATGAAAACATTGCTGCTCAATGTGCCGCTGTTGAATTAAGTATTATCGATTTGGTTAGCTGTTAAGGATTAAAAAACTAGTGAATTCAAATTAAAAAAAAAATATTTAAAACGACTTATGCCCCCCTTATTCAATTGAATTAACCCTTTCATTGGGTCTTGTATAATATTTATTTGCCTTTCTAATCCGTCTTATGAATTTTCGGTTAGTACTTCATTTCTTTGATCTTTTTTTTCAATAGATACTTTTAATAAAAATTACAATTATAACACATTGTTTGTACTACACTCAAATCATTCTTAACCATTGATTAAAACGAACAGAGAAGAAAGAAAAAAAAAAAAAATATATAAAAACCTTTACAAAACATAAAGTAAAAAAAAAATTTATAAAGTCATGTCACTTCATTACTATATAACATTCATCGCTGGAGAAATCCCTTTTGTTTTCTAGGACTAACTCCATTTTTATTCGTCATTGTATAAGAAACACTAGTATAAATTGCATTATCTGAACTGTATAATACAGATGAATCATTAGCCTCATTCTCGTTATAATTGAGTGTTACCGAACTAAAATTTGCAAATGGATCATCGGGATTACTAGGTTTTACATTCGTGATGTCCTGATCATCATTAGCATTGATTGAATCTGGGGACTTCTTCAAATCTGCATTTTCGTCTGCTTCAAAATTTTTTGGTGATAATTGATTTTGACTCTTGGCCTTGGTCAATACCGGTATCATAGGTGGTTTTTGATTTCTTAATAATGCCCATTGAGTGTTTTTGAAAAAAATGTGATTCTTTATATCCGATGCACCAGTCTTAGATCCTAATCTTTTCGTTTCATCCTTGATCAATAATTTTTTAATTAAACTCTTACAATTTGAAGAAATTGATTGCGAGTCTAAAAATTTAACATCCTTCTTCAAAACATTACCAAAAGTTTTCTTACGATCTTTACCTTTAAATGGAGTTGTTCCATATAACATTTCAAAAATGAAGATACCAAGTGTCCACCAATCAACCGCACTTGTATGACCTTTACCTCTGATAACTTCTGGGGCAATGTACTCTTCGGTACCAACAAATGAATTCGTTCTAAATCCATCAATACATGCTTTGGTATCAAGAGTTGGTCCATTATTTCCATTTGATAAACCGTGAGAATTCTTGCTAAAGAATATTTCTGGATTTTTAGTACTTTCGGATTGTTTTGATAAATCAAAATCACTCAACATAATATGACCCGATTGATGTAATAATATATTTTCCGGTTTTAAGTCACGGTAAATGAACCCCATAAGATGTAAATACTCTAAAGCAGCAGTAACTTCTGCAGCATAAAATTTTGCATCATTCTCACTAATCGATTTTGTCTCCCTAGTTTGTAAAGCTCTGAAAAATTCACCACCCATACAATATTCCATACATAAGTATAAATGATCTCGGGATTGAAATGAATGGTATAAAGTAACAATAAAAGGGTGATTTGAAGTGGCCAAAATCTCTTGTTCGGCCAACGCCCGCTTAATTTTATTTCTTTCAATCATTTCCTTTTTATTTAATACTTTCATTGCATACAATTTTGATGAAACTTTTTCTTTAACAAGATAAACTTTACCCACATCACCTTTTCCTAGAAGTTTGATTTTTTCAAAACATCCTTGATCTACTTGAGCTTCCATAATCTTAGTAGCAGAATGAGAATACATCCGACCTTGAGTGTATGTTCTTGGTCTACTCCTTGGCATATTCAATTCACCGATGTGCTTATTGATATCAAATTCATCATCATTACCAAGATGATGAACAGATGATTCTGAAGCTGGTGGTTTTATGGAATTATCGTTTAATAATCTATGAACTAAAGGAGCTGAAGCCACTCTTCTTAAAGTTCTTTGGAAAGGGGTGGATGGGGTAGGAGGACTTAAAGCTTCTGAATCTAAATTGGAATTTCTTTGATCTGGAGTAGTGGTACTATTTTTTGAGCTACCATAATTCATTGAGGGAGAAGCTGATAAATGATTCAAAGGAGAAGGAGGTAAGGATAATGAATTGTTACGAGAAAACAGAGCATTTTGAATTTCAGCTACTGATTCTTCGCTTGAGGAACCTTGGGAAGAGGAAGAGGTATGAATTTTTGGAGGTTTCAAGATATCTGGAGTAGTTAATAGATCATCTTTGGTATTGGTCGAAGGAGAAATTTTATGATTATTCAATGAAAACACAGAGTCATTGTGTCTGAGAGAAACTGCCACATCACCTTTATTTAAAGCAGACTCCTCTATATTTGATGGATTTAAATTATTGCTCGAATCTAAATGAGGAGGTAATCCTTGATGAGCAAAATATAAATTTGAATTTACTAAGGGACTGTTTGAACTTGGAGGTGCAGTTTCTTTGATTTCAGGTATTTGTATATTATTTAAGCTTGGTTTCGTATTATTTTCCAAACCATTACTGGTGTTACTGCTAACCCTGCTATGATTAGGTGTAGACATTGATCTTTTCCTTCCGAGCATGAAACGTCTCATGACACTTGGACTTTCCTGAGTCTTTGTTGGCGACGTTTCTTTGTCCGGGCTGTCAATAACTGGAGAAATAAACATATCGCCATGAGAGTTAACATTATTTTTAACTGGAGTGCTTACTGTATTGGAGGTATTAGTTGCATTTGAGTTGAGATTTGAATTTGAATTTTTATTGCTGGAATGATTACTTTCATGGGAATGTATGCTTGGAGAAGGTGATGATAATTTGAAAAAATTTTTCAATTTTATAAAACTAGGTTGTTTTTTATCTTCTAAATGGTCATCATCCTTTTCAATAGAGTCATTATGCTGATTCAGAGATGAATAATTTGACTCTGGAGTTTGACTAGTTTCCTTGTTATTAAATAGGAATTTTGTGATTGAAATTGATCTTGATCTATTCAAAGTTTTTGAACCAGTATAATCATTTTGACTTTCTTTACTCAAGCTACTACTGTGACTATCAGAATGGCTGTGACCGTTTCTAGAAGAGCTATAATGGGTGGACTCGTTTGATTCATCATAGTTAGACTTGATCACCGGAGGAGCTTTCAACCCGTATTCAGTTGAGAAATCCTGTCCCAATTGATTGTTTCTGGGTTGATTATTAGAATAAATCGATTTCAAGTTAGTACCTGAACTCATATTTGAATAATTTGACGAATGAGTGACCGGCTGGTGTAAGCTAACCATAATTGGCTAAAAATCAAGGCAATTAAGATATAGATACCTGAAAACCTCCAATTCAAATTCTAGTAACTAATCAATAATTCAATATTATTGGCAAGTCGATAATTAAAAGTCTCTATAGACTTGTTTTGTATTTTGTTTTTTTAGGCAAAATGTACAAAATGAATGAGCTTTAAACAATGATGGATCTTGCCGATAAGCCACGAGAACAAAGACAAGTGACAGGAAGATTGGGGCAAGAGTTTAAAAACGAACGAGTAATTAGAAAACCCTTCAATTTCTTGAAAAAACTAATGTGTTTATCAAAGTAGCAAGATCTGGTGATGGTCTTGAATGACGGTTTGATTATGTGTCAGTAAAAATGCTGGTTTGACACAACCTCTGATGAAAGAAATGGATAACACCAAACTTCTCAAGATCAGAATATGAGAGATGGTAAACCAAAGGTAAACTTCAAAGGATTGAATAGGAACAAGAAGAAAAGCAAGGACTAAGATTGAATCTGGCACTTTCAATGAAATTGGAGATTTCTCCAACAAAAATTCATCACCAAAAAAGAAAAAAAAAAAAGAATTTAAAGGAGAGCCAATTTTGAGCAACGAACTCAGCCAATATTTGCTAAGGTGTACGGGGTGGGAGTATAGCTCTATTAGTTGACGTTGATCTAAGGATGCTATCGAGATACCAACGGTCTTAATGACGGTTGGGTTTACAAGACGGTGATGCTGGGACTTAAATTATATAATGCTATGGTACATACTAAGAGATCATGACTATTTAACATAAATGAGGTGGTAAAAGGAAGTTTGGAACGGAGTTCTTGATATAGTAGATATGGCCACAGTTATTGCAAGTCATTTTCCCTTCTAAGATTTGAGTTTCGATTAGTAAAGCGTGTAAATCTTTTAAGATGAGTTGGTCATCTTCCATTATTGGGTCTAACTCGGTTGGTTTATTTGGAGGTAATTGATCATTGCCTAAATCTTTGGCCACCTTGACGACTGCATCCCAATCCAATCTTTCTAGCATATGACAAAGAAACTCAGGATTGTATTCCTGTTCTTCTTGTGCTAACTCACATTCGGTGTATTTTAATGGGAATGATTCTGTTGATGCGTTGCAGCTTTTAACTGCACACTTTACAAAATTGGTAGTTAAGAATTTCATTTTTTGTTTTATTTTTGCGGATCGTCTTGACTGCCTAGGAGTCTCTTGAACGTCTTCAACTGGGTGTTGTGGTGGTGGTTGTGAAGATAATGATTCAAAATTGAAAAAAAAAATTATTTAAAAAAAAAAAAAAAAAAATTGAAATTTTAGTGATGAGAGTCACGTGACTGCTACTTAACAATCGACTTAAAGTCGAAGATACGATCGTAAGTCAATACCAAACCTTCGACTTTCAAAATCGTTAAGGTATTGTAGATTGTTCTAATGAACTCTAGATCTATCGGGCTCGAAGAATCCTTTGCGGTGAACTCTTCTGACGTTTCAGTGTTATTCGCGACGTGATGCTTAATAAATTCAATATGATTTTTGCAGTCGTCATTCTGTAATTTATTCTTTAAATATTCATTTAGATGAGGAACTAACCACATGATTCTTCCTAAGTCATTTGATTTTGCACTTGCTTGTAATAAAAGGCTGAAAATTTTCTTATTGAAAAGTTTCAGTTCAAACTCATTTAGAGTTAAACCTTTTGATATTAATAATGCTTGTTCTGTTTCTGACACCTTCGAAGATTTCCCCAACCAGAGAGCGATTTTATTGTTCTCTTTTGTTGAATAAATTACTCTCTTATTAAATATTAGATCGATATATTCAAACAAATTAAATTTTATACAACCGTCAATGGCAATTAATATAACTTCGCTTGAAATTAGTAAAGGGTTTGAACAGTTGAAAGTAATCGTGGGCATGATTTCGGCGAATTTGCTTGAAAATCTTGATTTGGATAAAAAGGGGGCAGCGGCAGAGTTGGATAAAGATTTATTATTCTCTTTAATTTCGTTCAATCTGAAGTACTGTAATAACTCTTTGAATCCTTTCGCATCATCTTGCTTAACGTAGTATTTCAACAAGGAAGTTAGTATTTCTGGGTCTTCCTCAACTAATGCCTGGTATGATTGAGCTATTTTTGGAGACTTAATTTGGCTTGAATCTGATAAAACTGATCTCATGAATTGATATGGTGGTAAAGAATCAACAACTAGTGTTTGATAGTTTAATAAACCATACTGATCAAATTTGTCTAACAAATATTTGAATATGCTTAAATCGGGGGTATAAGTTCTAGAACTAATTAATGCATTGGTTAACTTGGTTAATAAATTAAGGTGCTTAAATTTAGTATCATCTGATTCATAGCTTTTAAAAATGTTTTTAAACTTGGTTAAATATTCATTATTATTTATCTCAACCAGATTGAAGCTAATCACACATTCATTTTTAACAAACCTTGAAACATCTGACTTGGAATAATTTAAAAACCTCGAAGATTTAATAAAATTAAAATCCTCTCGATACTGTTCTAATGAAGCAAACTGAGGATTTTGTTTTAAGTCAATATCTAATAAATAATCAACCGATTTTTGATCAAGACTTTTGACAAATTCCTCAATTGAATTTGGCTGCTCTTCCAGTTGGTATACTTTTGTCAATATTTTAAGTATTTCATATTTTAAATTTTCATCGGGGATTTTCGAAAGATATGATTCTTCTTTTAAGAAATATTCTTGATCACGGAACTCTTGTTTGAACGCACAGCGTAGATTGAATTCCACCAATATTGAGGTTATTAATGAATGCACTAATAATTCTATTGAATTTCTTATATAAATATTGGAGTATGATAGGGTTGGCTGTTGGGGATTTAGAAATTCTTGAAACGGGATATTTAACGATTTGCTAGTGGATTCCTTAAATAAAACATCAGTGTTGTCTGGTTGAGCGAAGTTTTCAACAATCTTCTCTCTTAGTTTTTTGTAATGATTTGATAGTATGATCCTATTCGTAGTATTGATTAATTTCCTTCTATGACCTTTCAATTTTGATTCATCGTAGATATCTTCCATTAACTGAGCAGACGCTTCCGGTATATGATTTGATTCCATATACGGTTTGCTCATGGAGCCAACATGCCTTAGAAACGTAAGCTGTCTTCTCGACATGTCTGCCTTACTTTGAATCAAAGATCAAATATTACTTTGAATGAAAGGTCAAATAGTGAAAAAATTCAAAATAGTTAACAGTAGAAAAACAAAAAAAAAAATGAGCTCTCTCTACAAAACGTACTAACAAAAAATTTTTTATATTATAAATAGAGATTCAAAATCGGATATCAAAGAATCTATTGTAATAATAACATCTTTCTTGGATCTTCGATTAATTCTTTAACGGTTTTCAAGAAGGTAACAGCTTCACGACCGTCCAAGACTCTGTGATCATAAGTTAAAGCCATGTACATCATTGGTCTTGAAACAATTTCACCATTAACAGTGACTGGTCTTTGTTTAACACCATGTAAACCTAAAACAGCGGTTTGAGGTAAGTTAATGATTGGAGTACCGTATAAGGAACCGAAAACACCACCATTTGAAATGGTGAAAGTACCACCGGTCATATCTTCTAAAGTTAATTTACCATCTCTAGCTTTTTTACCCAAGTTAGAAATTTCTTTTTCAATACCCAAGATTGATAAGGATTCAGCATTTCTAACAACTGGAGTAACTAAACCTTTTGGAGTGGCAACAGCAACAGAAATATCAGTATAATCTCTGAAAACCATGGTATCGTTATTTTCGATACTAGCATTAACTGCAGGAATGGTTTTAGCAGCTAAAGTAGATGCTTTGGCAAAAGCACCCATAAAACCTAATTTAATACCGGTAGCTTCTAACATTTCATCTTTATATAATTTTCTCATATCCATTAAATTAGACATATCAACTTCATTAAAAGTAGTTAAGGAAGCAGCGGTATTTTGAGATTCCTTCAAACGTTCAGCAATTCTTAATCTCATTCTGTTCATTTTAACACGTTCTTCATTTCTAGAGAAATTGGTGAAGCTTGGGGTTGATTCTTGTTTAGTTTCTTTTGGTTGTTCTTTCTTTGGTTGTTCTTTCTTTGGTTGTTCTTTCTTTGGTTCTTCCTTCTTTGGTTCTTCTTTCTTTGGTTCTTCCTTCTTTGGTTCTTCCTTCTTTGATTCTTCCTTTGGTTCTTCCTTTGGTTCTTCCTTCTTTGGAGCAGCACCACCGGCAGGAGCATCACCTTCTTCTATCTTAATAATTTCTTGACCAACTTCAACAGTATCTTCAACATTAACCAAGAATTCAGTAATAGTACCACTAACTGGAGCATTGACTTCAACATCAATCTTATCAGTTTCAATGGTAGCAATGGTTTCATCTTGACTAACAAATTCACCGACTTCTTTACTAAAAGCTGATAAAGTACCTTCAGTAATAGATTCAGCCATTTCGGGAACTTTAACACTTTGAGAAGCCAAACGTCTTTGTTGTAAATTAATCATACTAAAGTTATTAACCGGTCTGTTGGAAAATGATAATGATCTACTTGAATTAATTGATGCAATTTTTAAATTTAAATTAATCATTGGTTTAGCATTTAACCCATTCTTACTTAAACGGGGTAAACCACGACTAGTTGATCTAATACTTCTAGATAACATCTTGTTTGTGCAATGGACTTGATGGATCTTGCTCCAATTACTTAGTCTATGGATTAGAATATATAAATAATTGATATATCTAAAAGAAAAAGTAGTTGCTATACATTTTTAAAAAGACTTTTTTTTCTAACTATAGTGCTTTTTGACCCGATCGTTTTCTGCTAACAAAACAAAAAAAAAATTTTTTTATTGAGTGAAAATCCATGACAAAACGACATTTGAGAAGGGTTTCGGGTATTCTCCCATACTTTAGCCAATGTCGCGCGCTCCGAATGCCTCTCAACGCACCGGATGCCCCACCAAAACCAGGAAGATGTCGCGGTTTTGTCTCCGAAATTCAACGGGATCGCATAATTTCAAAAACAAGCTCGCTGATTCGATGAAATCGTTACCGGTACCTACTGGTATCTACTAGTATCTACTAGTACCTATGGGTAAGTACCAAGTAGCCTTGAGAGAATTTGGTGGGACTTTGTTGTGCTCCCGGGTGGATGTTTCGGAGTCCGCACTGTCAAAAACTCCGCAAGTCATATTATTGGTTCAATCTGGCTCGGTGTCCCGGCAAGAGTCGGAATGGCCTGGAGCTCGCTTTGTATTTCCCGTTTGCATTGAGTCATTTTGAATCATCCTGGTTGGGTCCTGTTTTCCTGGAGAAATAACCACATTAAGCGAGATCGATGAGCAGGTGGTCCGGGTGGGTGTAATGTAGTAGGGTTAGCACTGGAAGGAAACAACATTTTGGAGGAGCAAAAATAAAAGCCCGATGCGGGGGTCGAACCCGCAACCTTGTGATTAAAAGTCACACGCTCTAGCCATTGAGCTAACCAGGCGCTTTTCATGTTGAGAATAAATTGCCGTTTTTGGAGCTGGATTTGGTTTTGAGGAAAACATTTGGAATGTTTTTTTTAAACCTTCATTAAACCTGGTAGGAACTAATAACAGAATAACTACAAGATGCATTTGATGTACACCTTAGGTGCCGATGGCAAGAGAATCTACACTTTGAAAAAGCTTACCAAATCTTGAAATTGCCCACTTTTGCCTTTTATTTTGGGTCTTATTAAGTCTAATTATGGTTTAATGCATTAGAAAAAAGTTTGGTGAATGCCAGAAAAGTGATTGTTCTTGAACCAGAATTTTGCCTGACCGCAGGCTGTAATGATGTTCCGATTTGATTCACGTTTTTTCAAGGCAATATCATCAATACAACGCACCAGCGTACTATTTCTCTTTCTTCGGGGAGGCATATTTATAAAGAAAATTGCTTTGCCAGTGAAAACGAAGCGAGTACTTCTCTTTTTTGTAGACCTTAGTGACTTCATTTGTTGAATTATACGTCGAAAACTAGAAAAAGCCTCTTTGCCTTGTTTTTATTTATTGGTTGCTTGTTTCTTTGGGCTGTAATAACTATTGTCTTATTGTGTGTGATTTTCCATTTTGAAAGGTATGTGTATTTACTGGACGTACTTGGAGGTCTGACTACCCATAAACTGACCATAGTCCTTTGAAATAAAACGATATTTGAATTGCTCATCTTGCGGATTTCATTTTGAATTTGGCAATCTAGATTTATGGAGACTTGGTAGCTGATATGAATGTATTATTATACGACATAAAGCAAGCTCTTGAACTTTGTAAAAACCCATGTATTCGTCAAACATTATAAAGTAGCCTGTTCATCATATTACCTAGGCCTGACATCTTCAATTTTTCTAACTTTTGAACACTTAACGGTGAAACGAATTATATTTTGCATTGTTTTGCATTTTTTTGCAGTCAAATATCAAAAATCTCGAATTCGATTTAAAACTCGTATTTTCAGATCTTTCAGATAGGCTCTTTTGAAAAGAGTTTACAGATTTCTATTCGACTTGAGTAACCCGTAAAAGCTGTGAATTACGCCCATCTACCCAATCGCTCTTCAGATTATCCTGATGTTAATAAAAAAACAGAGAACAAATAAAAAAACAGAGAACAAATAAACAGAGAACAAATAAAAAAAACTTAATAGCATCAATTTGCGGCAATTCAAAACACCTCTCAAATTGAACACAGTTAAGCAGTAACAGATAAGCAGTGACAGATAACAGAGAATCAAGGATATCCCTATCGTCTGGCTGGTCTATGCTCTCAGGGTGTCTATATTGGTAGTGTATATATTATGAATAATTTTATACGCGTGTATGTACGGGTGTTTATTATTGACAATCTAACCGCATTAGGTCCGAAATGCTGGTTATACCTTGGATGTCAATGTAACCGATTTATTGTCTCCATAAGAATTATTGAAGAATATTAGACAAGCTAGTAATGGGTTGGCTTGAACAATAAACGATGTTTTATGGCTTTTCCCGCTTTACAACATTAAAAGGCTAAAAACCTTTCTGGTTTAGTACTGTATCAAGATCCGATTATTCAATTTTCTTCAACATTTGTATTAAATTTTTAAATTAGTTTAAACCTTACTCTTCTAAGTTCTTCTTTTTCGAAGTAAGAATGCTGGCATTTCATCCGTATGGACCACAAGATATTAGAGTTGTTAGTGATTTGTCTAGGTTTGATTTTGACAGTGCAACCCCGAGAAATCGATCTAGGAATACTACCCCTACCGATCATAGAAGTGAATCGATACTCAACATTCATAACGACCCAACACAGTATAACCCTCCAAGACAGATATTAGAACACGACGAACAGGGTAAAACTACTAAATTATACTCAAATCGATCTGCCAAAAAAACTGATGATTATGAACCTCAAAATGAAATATATCAATATTATATGAAATCTAATAAAACAAATGATAATATAAGTGAATTCACTCCTTATCCACCATCTGTTTATGACGAGTCCAAGCTAAATGATCATCTTCCTTATAATTCTCCTGGTAGACCAGAATTCACAATTCCAAGCATACCTCCTCAGGATAACATTGTACCACCACCACCACCAAAATCACCACCACAGAACAAAATATACCAACCCCAGCCAAATAGTCCTTCAAGAGTGAACATGGGTGAAAGTATACCCGTGATGCCTCAACCAAGAGACGTAATTGTGGAGCCACCCATGGAAGAACAACTTCCTCCCCAAGAAACACCACAAAAGAATAAAAAACGTTGGAGAAGAAGAAGGAAACATAATGACGAAAAATATCTTGATGGTGCATCTATAGATGATGAAAACACAAGCATGACCTCTAAACAGAAAGAAATGGAAGTTGTTTTGATTAAATCAGTCATGAATCGGCCATTATTCAGTATCAAATTGAAAAACATCTATAGCGATCCTGGATTAGGGGAAGAATCGGTAAAAGTCACTGCACAATGGGCCATTTACATTTTTGAAATCATATCAGCAGTGATTGTTATTTCATTATCCGGAATTTTACTAAGCACCGATAAAGATATTGGTAAAGGTATCTATAGATACTTTATTGCTGATCAAATAATTTCAATGATAACGGCATTTTTATTTTTATCATCAATTGTTAACTTTGAGAAAAGAAATGGTAGCTTTTATTGTACTGCTGCTTGTTTATTAACTTTAGTGTCTTTTATTATGGTTAATTCAACGGTTTTAGTACAAAGTAAATGTCCTTCAAAGTCAGTTTGTGCAATGAGAAAAGCTGCTAGTGCTTTCATTATCATATCAACTTTTGTTTGGATGACTGATCTAGTCATGTTTTTAACTACATTATACATTTCAAGATTGAATTTATTAAATGATATCAATTTCGATTACAGTAACAGTGGAACGAACGATAATTTCGTCAATAAAACTCTCCATAATAGACCACAAAACTTCGATCCTACTATCGATCCTTCCACTGGTAGACCTTGGCCCCAGTACTATATGAAAGCCGATGGTGAAATTGTGAGATACGACGGCTCCTTCAATCCTACTGGTATTGAAAGATTAATTGTTTACTTACCTTACCAATAATGTAGAACTATGTATAAATAATAAAAGAACTATGAAACACCTCGTGGAACAACGTAGAGGCGATATTTCTCCCTATTACAGATGACTTTTTATGACAGATATCTCCGTTACAATTTTTACAAATCCTCCTTCATACTTGACTAATGATTGCAAAAAATAAAAAACATAATTTTCTGACCCCTCACGCTATTACATATTACGATTAAACTCATTGTTTCATGCTTTAACAATAACTACCACAACACTGGCAGTTTACATTGAACTAAGTAATTGCTTATTAATAGTGGTGTGGAAATATCGGTGAACATAAAAATCTCACAAATATCACTTTCGCTGTGGATTTTCGCACTGTTAAGCTGGAACCATTTTTTGCAAGTGATGTCTCATTATATAAAGCCTACAAAATCACATCTGTTTTGGTGAAAGCAAGTTAACCAAAGCAACTCTTATCAAGTAACTTACAACTCTGAATATGTCCCAAATAAAAGCCTCTATCTTCACTGGATCCACTGAATTCGGCAAATTGGCCGAAGAAGGTCAAATTGCTGTTCCAGAAATCAGTGATACTCAACTTTTAGTTAAAAATGTTGCAGTTGCAGCCAATCCAACCGATTGGAAACATATTATTATTGGAATGGGTGGTAAAAAGGGTTGTGTTATTGGATCTGATATTGCTGGCTATGTTGAAAAGGTCGGATCTAAAGTCACAAACTTTAAGAAAGGTGATGCTGTTGCTGCGACCTTGAGAGGTAACTGCGTTGCCAATAATGGTGGGTTTGCTGAATATACTGCTGTTGAACAAGTGTTGGCTCAAAAGATCCCTAACATTCAAGAAAAAGCTTTGAGTGTCGGCGATTGTCCTCCTTCTACTATTGATAGTTTTGAAGCTGCTGCTTCCTACTCTTTAAGTCTTGCTACCGTTGGGGTTTCGTTTTCTCATAATTTCCAATTCAAAGAAACTGATTCCTCCAATGCTGATAAGTATGTTTTGATCTGGGGTGGTGCTACTTCCAGTGGGATTTTTGCTATCCAAGTTGCAAAATCAATTTATGGTTTCAAGGTTATCACCACTGCTTCTAAAAAACATCATGATTTTTTGAAATCCTTAGGTGCCGATGTAACCTTTGATTATAAGGATGCCAATGTGGTTGAGCAAATAAAAGATTTTGGTAAAGGTAAAATCCAGTATGCCTACGATACGGTTTCTTCTTCTCAGACTTTACAACAAGTTTATGATGCTACTGAAGGCTCGGAAAACGTTGAAATTGATAATTTACTTTTCTTATCAGCCAAAAATATCAAGACTGATGAAAAAAGAGATGTCAAATTCCATGTCACTCTTGTATATTTGGCTAGTGGTCATGACCAAAACGGTATTGAATCCACACCAAAATTACAACAAGATTTCAATCATTTCTGGCAAGACTTAGTTCCTGATTATTTACCTAAATTCAAAACTCCAGCCTTAAAAGTTTTGAATCCTGGGTACGGTTCTGTTAATGAAGCATTAGACTTACTCAGAAACAATAAGGTGAGTGGTCAAAAAGTTGTCTTCCGAATCTAATTTCTTTCTTCTTTTAATAACCTTAGTAATTCTTATTATTGATCTGAATCACAAATAGATACGATAAACAGTACTCAAATTGTATCAAATTAGCCGTAGTATTATACCTGCTTAAGATAACTTTGTTAGGAAAAACCAAAATATAAAGCTGGAGCCTTACATATCTCGAAATTTAGGCCATTTTACAATATGTCAGAATCTTAATAAGCCCCCGGAAAGGACAACGTAAATTCCATAATTTGTTTTATTTGGGCGACTGTATACTACTGTAACAAAGAAAGTAAGGATCATTGCTTTGGATCTAAAAGAACATGGTATTGTCTAATGAATGGGTAAAAGTGAATGGGTTACAAATCTGCTAATTCAATTGAACAACAAAAACTAAGTTAACATCTCAACCAAAAGAGGTTATCATGTACGCTGGTAGTAACTCCCCAATTGGATACAAGGATTCCAGTTTAAAGTCAGGTCTAATTAGAGTATCAACAACGTTGAGATATTAAAGTTCAGCCTTTTTAATTAATGTACAAGGCGTTGACATGGAAAGTTTTTGCAAAATTCAGTTGAATAACTAATCAGGCGAGTTTCCGCTAAAAAAATGATGATGAGCCGGTTCGTAATGAGGAGCAACTTAACTGACGAGATCGGTTTTCTCTTTTCAAAAAACGTTATAAAACGGCCTCTAATTTCCATATAATCAATTGTTAATAGTTAGGATTCAGATAGAGAACATAATGCCTTCAATTTCAGGAATTTACCAAAAAATAGTTTCTTCTTTTAAAAAAGAAAATCCGTCAAAGGAAAATACTGCAAAAGGCAATTATGATCCAACGTTGGGTGTATGTGAATTTTCAGTCCCTGAAAAAGAATTCGAAGAGGAATTATTAGATAAACATTTCGAATATACATACGATAATGGTTGGACCTATCAATTCTGGGTGCCAAATAAAGAAAGAATAATTTACAGCATTTCAGGTGGTCCAATGGCTGGTAGATCAAACTTTCAAACAACTTATTACCAAAGAATAAGAAAAAACCTTTGGCAAATTAACTGGCTCGAAGAAACCGGAACCATTGTATCAATAGTTCTTGATATTGATAACAAAAGAATTACTACTTTCTGTGTCTTCTCTAAAGGACATTGGGAAAACCCCCTGATTGCTCATGGTGATAAAAGAAATCCAAGTGATTTAAAAAATTGGAGAAACTTAGCTAGAATAGGTTTGCAAACTAATAGATATTTACTTCCTGAACAAGCTACTATCGATAAAATCTACGATGGTCCTGGTGAACTTAAGCCTGTTGAATTAAGCCACCCAACATATTAAAAGTTTTGTATATTTGAATACACAATAGAATAATCTAACAATCAAGTCTTATTAGTTTCGGTAATAGTTTGTGTGCAACCATTATTTTTGTAAAATTCGCAGCCTAATTTCCACATACACAAAATTTGCACTATAAAGACTGATCTATCGAATTGGTTGATAAGATTAGCAGTTAAGAAGATGCGCTTAGTTATAAGACTTCTCTGCTTGGTGGGTATAGCTGAGTCTCTTGCAATCCCTAATTTTAGTTTTCCTGATTTCAGCTTGAACAAACTTCAATTTCAAAAATTAAAACTCGAAAGCGAATTGAAATCCTTATTCCCACCAAATGAAAAAGAAGACAACAGAATATTTGCTGCTTTCAATAGCGATGATACAGAGGAAGTGGTTGTCTTACCTCATGATTTGTTGATTCGCTCAAAGCTTTCTCAACTTGGCCTAGGAGAAATGATAAAGCATGGTTATGAAACAAATTTGAATTTCAGTAATGGGATCACAGGTAAGTTAGATGTCCCTAACGATGCTAAGAACTTATTTGTCTTCAATACAACAAACAGTCTTGAAAAAGGTTCAGAAATGAATATAACAGAGCATTTTGTAAGAAAATTTCCCTTCTATCCGCCAAAAGTTTTGAACTTGATTAACTATTACTTGGTGGTTCCTCAGAATTATCTTGATAAAAATACTTTTGAAATTAACCAAGATTGCTTGTATTCCAAAAGTATTTTAAGAGTTCCGGTATCAAAGTTACCGTTTTTCACCCACTCTATCACAAAGGATATGCCGTTGATGGTTTTCATTTTCAATGATGATCCGGAATACATAGATAAAAGCTTTGAATCAATGATTCATATTGATAACCATTTGGCCGAAAACAGAAAAATTGCTTTCCTTGATGAGTTGGCCAAGGATTGGGTAAATGAAATGGGATATGGAAATTTGATATATTCCATCTTTTGTACAACAAACCCCAAAGACTTAGAAAATAGTTACTGTCTTAATATTGAATCACAGTCCAGCACTTTACATCTATTTCCAGCATTTCCTAGAAAATTCCCGAAAGAACAAAATATCAATCAAAACTTAACAAAGAAAGTGACTGTTTCCAACGAATCAGAAGAAGAAGAAGAAGAAGAAGAAGAAGACGACGAAAAAGATCACGAAGTACCTTTAGTGAAGGAAAATTCAAAAGGCGAAGCTTTCAATATTCAAAAAGATCTTGAAGAAACACCATTCAAAGCACAGATATTCCAGCAAATAACCGACAAGTTTTCCAGGGTTGGCGAAAAAATCTATGATACGGCATATGAGTTTGCAGTCGACCCAAAAGCTACTTTGAGAGAAGCAGATAATTCTTTAGACCGCAAGCTAGGTAGATTAGAAGACAAGCTTAAAGAAGTACCTGATAATATGGAAGATAAACTACAAGATTTCAAAGACAAGACTCAAGAAAAGTTCGCCCTAAACCATTCTTTTGACAAAGATGAAGATTATAAACCCGATTGGAGCGATTTCACCCAAACAATAGAGCAAATCCAATCAGACAGATGGGAGGATGACGGTGATAAAATTTATGAGTTCGACCGTTATAATAACCAAGGTTTTGAAGGTTACTCAAAAAAGAAAAGGAAATTGGGTGAAAGCATATTCTCAGAAGAACCGGAATTCTATATCCCATTATCAGAAGTGAAGCAAGTAATGCTGATTCCTTTAGAATCCCCCCGAAAAAAGAACTATTCTCAAGTCGTATATGGAATTGATATTGGAAAAGTAGAGGGAAAGGATGATTTAGTTCCGCATTATAATAATCATTATAGAAATTCTACAATTGCTGCAAATAAAATTAAAAGAGAAGAAAAAGATTGTGTTGAGATAACCTGGTTCAATCTCTTCCATTACAGCATATTTGGGAAACCCAACTTCTGTATCAAAGAAGTTAAGCCCTGAGATATCAACCAAATTACAAATATTAGATAGTTTATCCATTTTTTAAATATATCTTTTTTTTAGTTATACCGCAATGGATCTTTCCAGATCTTTCGAAAGGAACTATTTCTTATAGCCGTGAATCGTAGTTAACAACTGTGACTCTGTAATTAGATTAGCAAGCTTCACGAAATCGAGGCCAAAATAAACATAGATCGATCTACTGCAACTATATCCGATTACTCAAAAGTAGAACACCCGAAAATGGACCCAAGTACGCTTTATACCTTTAAAACTTCAAACGGATGATATTTTTTAAAATTACTTGGACTTAAATACGAAATCAAGAGCCTCAAAATCTTAAGTGGAGCTCAAAAGGAACCTTGGTTTATTGAATTGAATCCAAATGGTAGGATTCCAACGCTTATTGATGAAACTACCGGTGTCACCATTAGCGAGTGAGCCGTCTTACAATATTTGACAGACACTTTCGATAAGGACATCTTTGGGGAGCTGACACCTCAGTCCTTGGCTGGGCCATTTTCGCTCACACCATTGGAATTGAAGTCGAACAATATCCTAGAGTTTTGAGTTGGGCCAAGCTGATTGCCAAAATTCTAAGTCCAAAAAGGCATTTCTGTGCCCGAAAACGTGAACTTTACCCCGGATTGCTCTAACAAGTTATATAATATATATCAAAATCATATATGTTACCGAAAACAGTGTATAAAACACAAATACAAATATATTTGATAATTTTTTATTTTTTATAGAGTGGTAAGAAAATGTATAAAAAAAGTCAGAAGAAGTATGAAAAAAAAAGGATAAATTTAATAGAATACAAGTTTGAAGGAATAGAAACGAGAACCAAAAGAAAAGAAACGGAACAAAAAAAAAAAAGAATAATTTTATTGATATATGACAACCCATGTGGAGATAATATTCAAATCAAACTAGAGCTAAACAAGTTGAACAGAATCATATAAAGTTAACTCTTTGGCCCTGTTGTTGCTGGTTACGGTTGTAGCCGTAATAAGATCCATTATTTGCACCACCAGCTGCAGGTCTAGGATTAACTAGACTTGAGGAACTATTACTATATTGGCTAGAACCAGCATAAGAAGATTGATAATTTCTCATGGCGTTTGAAGGATTACCAACGATTGTTGAAGATGGTTGAGTTGGTTCCATTTGGTCGAGGTAAGAATCACGATTTGAATCACGAGAATCTTCATCCTTGTAATTACCACCTGAACCACCGGTTCTAGACATTTTATTAGAATCATCGTCATACAGATCATCGTCATCATAAATATTTGGCTTACCACCATTTTCATGACCTCTCATAGCAGTAGCACCCAAGGCCATTAATTCTAAATCATCATCACCTTCTTTCAAGTTTCTATTTGCTTGAGCATTAGTTTTTGGATTGTCGAAACGAGGTAAGAATGAAACACGATCATCTTTCATTGGTTGATATCTGGTATCAGGATTCTTATAAACAAGAGCCAAAACACAAGTTATGATGGTGAATAACAACAAAAATAATGCAAAGACAGCATTAAGAACGAAATAAACAATGGCCATAACGGAAGAAACAATATGAGGTTCTTTGAAGATGTAAGAGAAGAACATAAAGAAAAGAGCATTGATTGTATTAATCACAGCAATTGTTATATTAAAAGCATTAGTTCTCTTATCCATGAAAGGTCTTATAACACAAACAGTAATACAATAAGCTAATTCAATAACGAAAACAATAACCCCTTGAACTTTACCATGAGTTTGTAATACAGCCACGAATAAGGATTTAGCAAAAATATAACATAAACTGATAAGAACAAAGTAATAACAATCTGCTCTGAATTGAACGTAGATAAAACCAAATTTATTTAAAAAGATACCATCACCGAATAAAAGATAAGCTGGATTTTTAAATTGTTTAACTGATTTTCTACCTAATAAAAACACTCTTATAGCAGCCTGGAATAATAAAACTATAGTTACAATGAAAAGGAAAGCAGCAACAACGACAATACCAACTGAATCATGTCTAGTAAATTCCCATAAACACAAAAGGGCAATTTGAGGTAAGGCGAGAAGTAATAAACGGTATAAAGCACCTTTAATAATATAAGACCATTGTTGTCTATATTCATTAAACTTACCTTCATTCATAATTTTAGAACGAATACAAATTTCAATAATAGCTTTAAAGAAAACTAAACAAACAACCATGATAAAAGCGAAAAATAATAAAAAGATAATACCAGTCATAAATAATGAAGTAATTTCAATACCTGCTAAATAAGCAACTCTTTGAATACCTCTTAAAACCAAAATTTTTGAGGATAAATCTGAATCCTTTTCATTAACAGTATATAAGGAATTATCTAAATTGTCACTATAACCAAAATCATCGGAATCCAAAGAAACTGAAGCTCTTTTAAAAATGGTTAAGTGATTATTTTGTTGTTGTCTTGTGTATAAATTATTAAAGAATTCCATTGCATTTCTCTTCCATTTTTTCTTTTGAACCGAAACAGATAAATAAGAGGTACCAATTACATCAGTTGGACTACCACCAGTTGATTGTAAATACCAATTAGCAATATCTTGAATAAAACCAGCTTTAATAATACCTAAAGACCAAACGAAATTTTGTGCCCAAGCTGCAGCAATTGGAGGAACTTTAGCAACCGCCATCATTGAAGTAACAGCTAAAGATTGGAAATAAATGAAAAGAGACATTGAATTTGAAGCAATATGAGCAGCAGTATTAGAATGACCAATAACAGAAACAATACCAGAAGTAATAACCCCTAACCCAGAGATTGCAGCAATTGGCCAAGAAGCATATTTAGTTTGAACGGTTTTACCATTTGATAAGACCCCTTCAACACAAGCCAAACTTTCATAAGTATCATCAGCATAAAGAACCACTCTAACTCTGGCATCCAAATCCGGAATAGTATAAGCAATGTTTGGAATTTGAGAAGTAACTGATTTACCCAACTTATAATGAGAATTAAGATCCAAATGACCAGTAGATAAAGGACAAATTGCAGCATAATTAAGAGAACAGAATGAGATATTCTTGGTGAAAGCAGTAACACCATAAGCAATTAATTCGATCGAAGCAGAGACTTTGGTATCGATATTAACAATTGCAGAAATATCATAATAAACTGTTCTATTATTTGGATAATAAATCACATCAAAATGAGAGGCAGTAAATTCAGAATTATCCATACATGTTAAAAGAGAAGATGAACGAATATGGTTAACTGCATGAGTGAATTGTGATAACAAAAGGGTTATAAAAACCCATATAAAATGAAGACGCATACTCAACGTAGTTGACGAAGTCTTTTAGAATCTTTCAAAAAATGATAAATTTAAACCTTCTTGCTATTTCTTGATATTTTTCACCGATTCCCCGTTACCAAGAGCGAAAAAGAACAAAAAAAAAAAAAAAAGATCCAGGGAAAAGATGGGTAACAAACACGAAAACTGACACGAACTTAACCAAAGAATAAAAGAATGGGGAACCCTTCTAGTGATGGAGTCAAATGGAGTATAGCGAAAGACCTTTGATGGGAAAGAAAAGGATGTAATAGAAATACTAATTCAGCTTGAATCAACTGGCAAATAAAAAAAGCACACTACCCGCTGAGAATACGGGTATAGTCTCTTGGTTTTGAATTTGAGTAGATTAGGGCGCAGTTTTGTTTTGTTGCCTTAACTTAAACAAATAACTGGAAGGCAAACAAGTACAACAAGATGAAAGAATAAAACAACAGAACGAAAGAAAGAAGAAGTAACTGAAAGAAAACCTAAAAAAAAGAGAAAACGAAGAAAAGGAGGAGGAAAACGATGAAGAAAAGAAAAAAGATTTCTATAATTAACCGCCCAGACACTGCTAAGCAAATCGAGCTACACTATATTTAGTATGCCACCTGCGATGGCTTCCTACTAGTACACAAGACCCACTGCTACTTCTCCCAGGTACCAGAGTCTTTTTATTAATAGACCAGGGTAGAGGCGCAATACTGGCAGTTCATACACCCTGTCATTTGATCAAAGATAAAGTGAAGGCCCGGTTAGCGCGACATCTTACACGACATCGACACGCGACATTTTTACACCCTTTAGTGGCTGTACGATTATGGTATTTCTTATAAAGATATATATTAGTAGTAGTAGTATTAGTAGTAGTAGTATTAGTAGTAGTAGTATTAGTAGTAGTAGTATTAGTAAGGGATACCGTTGGTGATTCTTTGGAACTCGTCGTAACCCTTGGTGTAAACGCTTTCCATTGATTTTTTGATCAAGTGCTTGAAGTAAAGCAGAGCATCCTTTTCACTTTTATTGGGGACAAATCTCTGTCTTAATTTCTTGATTGTAGTATCTTTGAAGCAAGGCAACCCACTTTCCAACATTGGATTGACACAGCGAACAATGGTTTCCATATATGGGCGACAAGCCAAAAAACCTTTAACACATAATTCTTCATACCATTTAAAAGCTTGAGTCTTTTCATTACCACCAAGAACTAAAACCATTTCGTGGGTTAATTTGAAGGGAACGTTTTCAAACTTGACCCCACCAGGTACAATGTCGAAGCAGAAACCAAAATCAATATGAAGAATATGACCTTGATCGTCATACATGATATTACCATTATGACGATCTTTGAATTGTAATAAGTAAGAAATAATTGAATAAGCAGCTAAAGATCTTATTAAATTATTTCTTGCTTGCTGAAATTCAATCGAGTTTTCTGGACCAAACTTGCTGATGTAGTATTCGTATAACCCATTAACAGCTTCTCTTCCCAACATGTCTCTACTAATACTATTTGGCAAAACATCAATAACACCACATCCTGGGGCAGTAGCAGTGACTCTATAAGGATAAACAAATAAATTCAATCCACAATTACTCCAGATAGTACGGAACACCGAAATCAATTGTAATGCCAAAACATCTTGTCTACAATCATCACCAACTTTGAAAATAGCCGATTGCCATCTTTCAATGGGAATTTTAACCGACTCTCCATACTCATTAATATCTTCAACATCTCTTAATATTTTGAATGTGGCCATGAATGGCGCCTTGGCATGTGATTGTAATGGCTTACCAGATTTTCGGTTAATATCAATTAATACCCCATCAGGATTACTTGGTAAATAAACTCCTTCTTTAATAGTAATTTGGGCCATTTCTTCATCGATTTTGATCTTCTTTTCTGCTTTGGTCTTTTTAATATATGGTTTCAACTTACCCGAAATACTAGTAACTTCATTGAAAAATCCAAATTCTTTTTCATAAAATTGATGGTCTTCTATACTCAATTGGGTTAACATAATTTCCTGGATTCGATCTAATTTGGGTTTTAAGGAATCAGGTTCAGTTGAATCTTCATCTTTATAACTATTGGCCAACATATTCCATATGATTTGGTGACAAAATAATTGAGATATCTTGGCTGTTTCAATAATAAATCTCTCAACGTATCCTTTCATATCAAATCTTAATGATTGAACAATCTGTGGAACGTAGAAAAATGTTAAATCAACGTCGTGGTATTCTAATGATCTCATGGTATATTGTAAAATATATGGATTATTACCAAATGGTGGTAAAAATAATGTAATAGCATCAATTGGTGAAAGTGGTTCCCAAAATAATAAATAATGACTAGGCATATTTGCTCCAGCATTAATACCAATGAAATATTGTACTGCATCAGGATAAAATATAGCTGGTAATGGATGACTCAAAATCAATTGCTGTAATAATTCATCTAAATTCTTAACTTTATAACGTAATGCTAAATTAACTGATAAAATTGGATCAATAACATATGCCCTTTTAATATGAGTTCCACTAATTTGGTTCAGAATATATGATCCTTTATAGTCACTTGGTTGTAATGGATTTAACCAAACTGCTATCTTATTAATTTCATCATCGAGGAAAAACATTAACGTAATCTTTTTCAGTTCTAAAGTTTCGTTCTTAAATGTATTCACTATTGACATTAATCTTGCAACCTCTTTTAATAATCCAAAATCAGCTTTGATTTTCAATAAATTGGTTCCATATGGATAATTAGCCCTTGATCTAAACCAACTCAAAGATCCATCCAAAATCAAAGAAGTTAATCTTGTTAAACTACGTGACCCTAATTTAATATGATAGTTTAAAACATCAATTGAAAATCTAATGAATTCAAACCTAACATATCTTGAAAATGGATGCAAACTTGCAACATTCAAATTTTTCAATCCAACTTCAACAATTCTTGTGAAGATTTTTAAAATATGATCAGATTGATTCATGGTTGCTTCAAAATGTGACAGAATCAATTTGATTATTAATAAATGTGGTTGGAATGTACGGCTAGTAACTTTAGATACTTTATCCAATGTTTTATAGTCACTTGGTTTATACTCCATTTTATTGAATTCAGGATTTTTAATATCATGGCTTTTATTAAATAAACCTTGCTTTAATTCAATTGAAGCTTCCCAACGTTTACCAATTTCACTCAATAATAAAACAGATACTTGTGGTCTATCTTTCATAACTGCAAACCAAATACCAACAGCTGCTTGCATAATATGTGCTTCAAACATCGCAAATGGAATTTCAACAATATGCCTAATTAATTCAGCCGTGTTGTCTTCACTAATAAGCGCAAAACCAGCTATTTGGCTCAACAAATCAATAACAATACTGTTTTCAATATGTTGCAGTTTATCCTGAATCCTAATTTTAACGGTTTGAACTTCTTCTCTCAATAATCTGAATGCCCTATCAGCATCTTCTTGAGTGTGTAAAGGGACCTTATGCATCAACTCAGATACAAAGTTACTTCTCCAACCTAATTGTGATACAAATACTGGCAATAAATTCATTCTAGCACCTGCACTCGAAGAAGTAGTTAAGTTCGATGAACTAACATTGTCAACAGTGATACCTGCGCTAGTGCCAATTGGTGGAATATTTGATAATTCACGATCATTAGGGAAAATACCACCAGCCATTTCTAAAGCGAAAGATACACCATATTGAATTTTTTCATTCGATTGGAATCTATCTAGATCACTAACGTAAGATTGAATCAAACTTTTGGAGTCTATATTACATTTAATTAAAATTAGCTTAACCCAATGCTTCAGCTTTTCCAAAAATCTGTTGAAAGTATCGTTACGCCAGGTGTAAGAATCTGATAACTGCAAATGAATTCCAGTCTTTTTTGCACGGTATGAAAATGTTGGTTCATATTGATTTAAATCGGCATCAACAATACTATCAAACAATAAAGTCAATATATCAAAGAGTGCAAATAAACTCTTATGATGACACAAGGAGGATGGGACCTTATTGATTAATAAATCAGAACACTGTAAGGCAGCATCTTGCAAATCTTCAATTCTATGCGAACATAAGGCCAACATATTAGTTAATTGTTTTGCAATGTTTTCTGAACTAAACTGATTATTGGCACCACGATTAATTAAATGAATAAAGTCTTTAACAATTTTGAACAGAATGTAGCCAATGTACTTATCTAAACCACTTGTTTTGATAGAAGGGTCCGAAAAGTAATATAAAATTGTGGAACATTCACCCAGTTTAACCCTTAAAGATTCCACAAAAATAGTAGCAGCTAAAAACATTAGTTTTGGATAAGACAAATTACGGTGTACTTCAAATATATCACCAACAATGTGTTTATGGTCTTTAACATTGTGATTTGAAGAACCTCTTCTCAAAACAGTGTTCAATTCCAATGATGTTTCAGTTCTATCCCAAGATAATTCTGAGGCTAATGGTGGAGAATTATAAGCAATTCTTTCTAATTCCTTATTGTATTTTCTAGCATTTTCCGAAGTAATTGAATAACCATGAACAACCATGTTAAACCAAATGTTTCTAAATAAATTAATAGTAGTTGTGTCAGAGATTTTCAAAGGTTTTTCTTCTTTATGGACATTGGGTAACAATTCAGCTAATGGTTCTAAGTAAATACCAATTTGATCACCAATTTCGCTAATTTCGTTATGAGATCTATGGTGTTCTAAAACTTGAACATCCCCTTTACTAATAATAGCTTGTAAGATTTCTTGTAAATAAATTTTGTATAAAGGATTTGATTGTTCCAATTTATGAGAGATGTCAATTCTTGCATCAATCAAAGATTTTAGTAAGCCCTGATTATTACTATCATAAGCGTCTAAAGACATTTTGTTCAACAACTTGACTAATATTATAAATTCACGTTCTGGCAAAAAAGGAGCACAAGAACTCAAACCTCTCAATAACAAAGGTCCCATTTGAGAATCCAATTTACTAGTTTTTTGTGATAAGATGGTAACGGCCAAAGTACTGACGGTCTCATCATTGCAAAGTTTAGAAATAAAAATGATTGCAGTAATTGCATTTTCGCAAACTTTACTATAATCATAGTCATCATAATCAGCAGGAGCTTTATTTTTATCACCGTTGACCAAATGATTTTGATTGCTAATTTCATTTTCTTGAACAGAATCAAGGGAAGCATGTCTTGACATTTTTGAAGTTGGGTATGGAGCAGCTAAATTATTAGTTCCAAAATCTCTAACTGAAGCACTACTCAAGGCAGTATTTCTTCTTGATTTAGCCTTATATTGAAGACCTTCATTATGGACAAAAAGTAAATTAGTCAAAGCATAAATTGAGGTTACAACAGTATCCTGTGACAAGACTTTACTGGCCAAACCAACACTTTTGGAAGCTTCCAGGCAATAGGAAGATTGAAATTTAGGATTAGCAACCAAAGAAGTGAATGCTCTAGTCAAAGAACTTGAAACACTTGGATCTTTATATACCAATAATGAACCTAATTGAATAACACTTGAACCTAAGTGAGGATCTAACATTACATCATAGATTGATAAACAATTTTTAAAAATCTTTTTAGCAACTTTTGCATCGATATTGTCGGTGAAAGTACCGCAAGCAATTGCTTGTAAATTATGACTTTTCGCCAAATAACCAATTTTCAATCTTGTAAAAGTTGAATAGACAATATAGGTTTCACCTCTATCTAAAAATTCAATTTTTTGAATAGCAATGTCAGATAAAGTCTTAATTAAGTCCATGTGATATTCAGTCAACTCCAATCCACTAGACTGTGGAGGATAAATTAATTGGCCGTCACCATTGGCTTCAACTTGATCAAAACTTCTAGAAACCCTGGTTAACAAGTAGTCAAGAAGGGGCTCAGTCGTGTTACCCAAGATCGAATTCAAAATTGAGCACATTAATTTACTCAAACATTCAATGAAAAGGACAGGAGAGAAATCAATAACGATATCTTCATCTAACAAAGTTGAATATTCATTATCAGGATTAGAGTAGAGAGAATTAGAGTAAAGTTCAACTTCGTTCAAAAATTCGAAATTATCAATACAAGTATCCAAAGTAATGAAAATTTTAAAAGCTTTGGGAGAATGAGTCAAGATTTTACCAGATACGGTTAAACCTTGAATCACCCCTAACAAACTGAAATAGTTCGACAATTCATAAGCCTGCTCTCTGAAGAAAATAGTGTTAAACTCACTAAAGATCTCTAAAACCTCTTCCAAGTACAAACAATCAAATTTATAGGCCAAATCAATTAAGGCAATCGTTAATTTTTCACCTAAAATATACCAAGGTGAAGAATTATGGATTTTACCAGTAATTGCAGAAGAAAACTTTTGATTTGGCAATTCAAGCAAGTATAATCTAAGCTTAGCTAATAACAACTTAGCTTGTTTTGGAAATTTCATGTCAGTTTTCGTTGCTTGACATAAAGCGATTAAAACTTCATATTCTTTAGGAGTGATTGCAATTTGGGATAATGGATTCAATTCCGGCTCAATCCCACCTAAGTTATCATCACTTTCCTCTTCATCTTCATCGGAAGGGAAAACTTTCCCCCTTGGTTTACCAACCTTAGGAGTTTCACCCAATAAAGAAGCAAAAGTATCTTTAACAACTTCCTGAGGTAAGTTTTCTTGCAAATTTGAAGGAGTATTTTCTACCGATAACTTCGCTAATTTTTGCAAAGCCTCTGCTCTGATGGATCCCCGAGGGAGCCCAAAGTAGTCCATAATTGAATTGACTCTGGTGTTGTTCTATTCTGAAGAAGTAAATGCCAATACGTCTATTGAAATTTAAAACCTCGAATAATTTAATCTGTTTAGAGTGCGCTGTATTCCTATTTTTTTTTTGTTTTGTTAGGCTTTTCTCCTCGCTAACTAAAACAGCATATGAGATTAAGATTTGACCGTGAAATCGGCAAGAAAGATCAAATCGACAGAAAAGTTCTACTAGAAGCTACAGTTTATTATTGATTGTCTAATTTTTATTAATTAAATAAATCTAATATACAAAATTACAAACATATCTACAAGTTACTCGAGAATTGAGTAACCTTTGATATATCTTTGAAATGAAAATGCCCATAAATTTGATGAATGAGTCAATGATGAAGCGTTTAACGGACCATCAGATTAACTTTTATTCATCATAGTTCGTTAAAAAAAGGTAATTAATAAATCATTAATCTAAGAATAAGTTTCAATCAAAGTATCTCTCAAATTACCAGAAATAGAATCTGGTTGAGCATCTTGTAATCTGAAAATAGATTCAATAACAGACAATTCAGGAGCAGTGGTATCCAAGCCAGTGACTGATAACCAATCATTGACAACCATACCTGCACCAACAACAGAAGAACCTCTATTTACAGTACCAGCAACTAAAGGAACTTGTAATAAAGAAGACAATTCTTCTTGATCTTCAATAGAAGTTTGAGGATGAACTAAACCACCTTGATTTGATAAAGAACAGTAGGAACCAACCAAGACATTACCAGCAATGGTTTGACGGAAAACTTCAACCCCCAAAACATCGGCAATTAACTCTTCAGTTTCTCTTTCTATATCTGGATGAACTAAAGCAACGTAATCATTACAACAAATAACATTACCTAAAGCTGATAATCTTTCTTCAACTCTTTGAATTTTAACAGTATCAGGTAAGGAATTTCTAAGATGCATTAATTCTTGGTCAGTGGTTTGAGTTGGCACTAATAAACCACGTCTATTACCAGCAGTCATTCTACCAACTATACGGGTACCGGCAATAGTGGTATGCACAATTGGAATAGCATCCCCTAACTCTGCTTCAAAAGCAGAATAAAAGTTTTCAGATCCCCCAACGGCCACGAGACAGTAGGAGTTGGTTAACTTGGAAAAGACACCAACTTCATTGGAGTTTTCAAATTGAGTTCTACTAGCCATTTTTTCAAATTAAATGTTTGTTAAAGCGTATGTAATAGAAAAAGGGAAAGGTTCAATGACTTATATACTTTTTTTTTTTTTTTTTTTTTTTCAGAGATGAGTAGATTTTTCACTTACTTCTGCGACACGACACGACCCATTACATAAAAAGGTATAACTACATCTTGATTATACTAAACATCTTGATTATACATATTTTTTGATAGTACAAAGTTTATTATTTATTTACAGAGAAGTGGAAATTGAACCCCTTCAGGGGAAGATACAAAAATAGAAAGAGTAAGTATAACAAAAACAATCAATAAAAATCAGGTAATTAAAGCAATCAATAATCGTGAGTCATAATATGTAATTAATCGAGTGGAGGGGTATCGATATCATCATCGATATCTTCACTATCTTCCCAGCTTTCGACGTCGACATCGGCCATTTCGACATCGTCAATTTCATGATTTGGAACGATTTCCAAACCTTTTTCTCCGAGAGTAACTCTAGCTGTTTCTTTATCTTTGATTTGACCTTTTAATAATAAGACTGCTAAACGATTCAAAATTTCTTGTTGAATCAAACGGTTTAAAGGCCTAGCACCTAAATCAGAAGAATAACCATTTTTGCATAAGTATTCTAAAGCATCATCATCAACATGTAAAGATAATGTTTTACCATTAGCAGCAAATCTAGATTGAATTTCATTTAATCTAATTTTAACAATTTTAGCAATTGCCTTCTTTGATAATCTATTAAAGATGACTGTGGAAGAGATACGATTTAAGAATTCTGGTCTGAAATGACTTCTAACAGAATTCATAACCAATTCTCTAGTTGTAGAATCAATTCTTGAACCCTTTGAGGCGTTAATATATTCAGCACCCAAATTAGAAGTTAAAATAATAATTGTATTGGAACAATTAATAACTTTACCTTGAGAAGTAGTAACTCTACCATCATCTAAAACTTGTAATAAAACGGTTAAAACTTCAGGAGCAGCTTTTTCAACTTCATCAAATAATAAAACTGAATAAGGTTTACGTAAAACATTTTCAAAAATTGAATTTTGATCATCATAACCAACATAACCAGGAGCAGCACCTAATAATTTTGAAGTTGACCATTTATCACTTAATTCCGAACAATCAACTCTAATTAAAGATTTTTCATCAGCGAAAAGGAAACCAGCCAATTTTTTAGCCAATTCAGTTTTACCAGAACCCGATAAACCTAAAAACATAAAAGAAGCTGGTTGGTTTGGATTTGCTAAACCTGATCTAGTTAATCTAATTGCATTTGAAACTGCTTTGACTGCTTCACTTTGACCAACAACAGCTGAACTTAATTCTTTTTCCATATTAATTAATTTTGAATTTTCAGCTTGAGTTAACTTATTAACTGGTATACCAGTTAATCTAGCAGCAGTTTCGGCAACTTGTTCAGAATTAACAACATTTCTAAGTAATTGATTTGAATTTTCTTCTTCTTCAACTTTTAATTCTAATTGTTCAATTTGTTTTTCAACATCTGGTATAGCAAAATACCTTAAATCAGCAGCAGTGGCAGTATCATGTCTTCTTTCAGCATCTTGAGCTTTGATAACTAAATCGTCCAATTTTCTTTTAGCTGAAATTAATTGTTCATGACCAGCACGTTCTTGATTAAATTGTTCTCTTAAAGGTCCTAATTTTTCTTCTAATTCAGCTTGTTTTTTACGAGCAACTTCCAAGCGATCTTTTGAAGCTTCATCAGTTTCAACATCTCTTTCTAATGCATTGATTTCAACTTCCACAAGATGTAATTGTCTTTCTAAAGAATCTAATTCATCAGGTTTAGAATCTCTTGCAACAGCAACCGTAGCAGCAGTTTCATCAATTAAATCAACAGCAGAATCAGGTAAACTTCTATAAGTTAAATATCTACCTGCTAATTGAGCAGCAGAAACTAAAGCACTATCTAAAATTCTAACCCCATGATGAATTTCATATCTTGGTTGTAAACCTCTTAAAATTGCAACTGTTTCAGGAACAGTGGCAGCAGGGACATCAATTGTTTGAAATCTTCTTTCAAAAGCACCATCTTTTGCAATATGTTTTCTATATTCCGCAAAAGTAGTAGCACCAATACAATGTAAAGTACCTCTTGCTAACATTGGTTTTAATAAATTGGCAGCATCTGATTTACCATCACCCATTAACATATGAATTTCATCAATAAATAAAATAATCATTTCTTTTGATTTTTCGATTTCGTTTAAAACACCCTTCATTCTTTCTTCAAATTCACCTTTATATTTAGCACCGGCGGTTAATGCACCTAAATCTAATGCAAATAATCTTGAATTTGCCAAAACATTTGGTACATCACCATCAATAATCCTTTGAGCAACACCTTCTGCAATCGATGTTTTACCAACCCCGGCTTCACCAATTAAAACAGAATTCGACTTTGTTCTTCTAGCTAAAACTCTAATAACTCTTCTAATTTCTTCTTCTCTACCAATAACCGGATCAATTTTACCTTGTCTTGCCTTTTCGGTTAAATCTTCACAATACTTGTTTAAAAATTCATATGAACTCAGCGAATCGGCTTGTCTAGAATCAATTCTTTGATCCCCTCTCAATTCAATGGCTTGAGACTTGATGGTTTCAATATTAATCCCCGACTCCTTGAAGATATCCTTAATGGACTGATCTTCCAATAATGCCAATAAAATATGATCTTGCGCAACATAGTAATCCTTTTGTTGCGCTTTAATCTTAATGGCCTTGGTCAATACTTGACCAGCTGCATAACTTGGCCTTATATCTTCTGGAGCAGGTGTTTGGGATGGCAATCTCACTAAATGTTTGTTAACATTTCTTTCAAACACCGCCCAATCAAACCTTCCCTTTTGAATAAGCGTCTTCAAATAAGCATTGGAATTCTCTGCATCGGTTGGCACCATTGCTGCCAAAAAATGCAATGGTGTCAACTGAGTATGACAATTATCTTTAGCCAATTGATTAGCAGTTTGAATTATACTAAGTGCGTTATCAGTAAATTGTGTTTCATCCATGTTTGCTTGTGTATCTCCTTGTTCTATATGCAATGGGCTATCCTGGCTTGCACCCTGTCCTTATATACTTATCCCTGATTCAAGTCACTTCATCACTAGACCCTACTGGAATAAACTAGATGAAAAATTGCGAATTAAAGTACGAAACCACCAGATCCTTCTAGAAACTACCATGACTGCACACTGGGCTAGAGTTATATCGTGATTTTCCTTCAGAGGTTTTGCAGTCATTTCACCCTTGACAAGCTCTTCATGCCTATCATGGACCTCTGTTGGGGGGAAGGCGGTCGGATAAGTCCAGGGCTAGCCACGGAACACGCGTTGGTTGTAGGTTACCATGTATCTGGCATCCTCACAAGTAGGTGAGGGTGCTGATTTTGCAAGGATAGCCGGGGGCCTATCTAATTAACTTTTCTTTTATTCCTACAGTTGGCATGGCCCTATATGGGTATATGGATAGATATCCCCAGGAATGGAGAGATATTGATGGATATGGATTGGCTGAATGCTGGACTTAGGGACATATATAGATGCGCAGGGTGAAAAATTTATTTATTTTTTTTTTTTTTTTCCATGGGTAATTACCATTGAGGTTTAGTCAATGATATTAGCTAACAAGAGGGCCATTATTACCGGAGCTTCCAAAGGGGTTGGATTTGCTTTGGCTAAGAAACTAGCTGATTTGGGGTGTTCTTTAACGTTAATTGCTAGAAATGAGGACTCATTGAAACAAAATTTGAACCAATTATCGATAAAGGATGCAAATCAAAAACATTCGTATATTAGTTATGATCTTGCAAAGCTATTAACTGATGAAGAATCGGCCAAAAAACCAATTATGGACTGTATTGATGGGCTGTCGATACTTATCAACTGTGCTGGGCTCACTAATCATACTTTACTTTCTAGAATTAAAGACGATACTATAATCTCGACAATAAATTTGAATTTAATCGTTCCAATCTTGTTGACAAGATTAAGTACTAAACCAATGTTGAAGCAAGCTGCTAGACAAAAGGAAAATGAGATCAAACCACAGATTTTGAATATATCTTCGGTTCTTTCTTTGACAAATACTTTAATGCCGGGGACTTCAGTTTATTCGGCTTCTAAATCAGGATTATTAGGGTTCACCAATGCTTTGGCTTACGAATTGAAAAATAAAGTTAAAATCAACTCAATTCTACCCGGGCTTATATTTGAAACTGAAATGGGCGCTAACGCTAATTTAAAAGGAGAGGAATTACACGCTATTCCCTTAGATACGGTTATTAATGAAGCAGTTAAAATCATTCTAGATAATAGTATAAATGGCCAAAATATCATTGTGGACGGTCGTGGTACTAAACCTTTTCAAATATATAAAGGCCAATACTAGTATCGTTGTCTTTTTTTGAATAGAATTTTATAGATCTCGTCATTGAATTGTCCATATACTTTTTGATATAAGTATTGACAAAAAGCTCGGTACTCGTTATCGTTTAACCATAATAGAAATTCATTTAATTCGTAATTGCTATATTTGATTCGCCTCTTGATGCCCTGTATACTTAGAAATGCTTGACTGCTTTGTTCTAAATCACCTGGTTCGAAGTTATCACATTCAACATCCAAATAATAACTTCTCAATAGTCTTAATATTACTTCAAGCAGTTTATACTGGTGTAGCGTTCTTTGGAGCTCTTGGATTCTGTCCTTGGTAATCACTGTTCCTTGCAAATGCTTGATGATTAGTCCATTTTTGTAAGTCAAATACTGTACGAACTTGATTATTCCTTCAAATATCTCTTCATTCCCAGGGTACAAAGAGTTAAATATCATTTCTCTAGAATCTCTGAACGATATCCACAACCCCAGGAACTCAACCATTCCCTGGTACGTTTCTTGAAATAATCCTAAAACAGCCTCAGTTGTTTTGCTGGAGTGAAACCTTCTTTTGAAATCAACTATTATCTGAGTCATAATGTTGATTAATACTACATTAATGCAACTGTTTTGCGGGTTTCTTTTGATGATAGGATAAATATCTTTTTCTAAACTAATATCGGAGGTCATTTCACTCAATCGATCATTATTAGTTAAACTCTCCAATATTAATCCATCGTATGACTGGCCGCTTAACGTTTGCAAGTCTAAACTTTCGATTAATGACTCCCAATATCCAATTTTAAAAAAATCCCAATAGAGCTGGAATTTCCCCGATTCAGTTCCATTCAACTGGTCCTTATTATCTGATCCTTCTCTCCAATATTCTATAAATAGGGTTCTCATGATTGATCGAAGTTTCTGGTCCCCACTAACTCTAAATTCTTCTTCTAACCAATGCAATAAAACAGGTATCAATGGGTATAAAAGGTTCCGCAGATTGAATATAATCAAATGAATCACGTATCCCATTAGTAAATCACTCCTATAATGCAGACTCACAACTGACGGCGGCATTTCTAGCCACTCATCTATGTCATCATTCAAATCTTGATTAAATATTTGTGCTTCTACTGAAATCTCCAGTGGGTTGAATAACGATACTCGGTTGATCATGTAATATGTTGACTTGGTTGATAATGCAATGGATTTACCAATTTGAAACGAGCATAAAGTCGATAGTTTGGTAACGGATTCCCTGCTTGGAGTAGGAAATAAAGTTAGCACTATGTTCCGGAATATCTGAAGTATTTCACCATATGATTGATAGAGCTCAATACTGACAAATGGCTCTAAAGATTCTAGCCTTTCGTTAGATGTCTCGGGTCTGATAAATTTGACATATTCATTCAGTAATTCTGGTTTCTCTTCAGGAACTTCATCAGACATACAGAAACTCAAATCGTCATCATATTCATCCATAAGATCATCCACAATAATGGCTTTCCTTTTGTTTATAAGAATAGAACTCTTTTGGCTAGCAAAGCCGTTTCGGCTCGAAGGTCTTGATCTCTGACAGGCCTTGTGGCCCAATGGCACCTTGCTAAATGCTGCTTCCAATGAAGTAAATTGTAATTTTGTAGGATACTTGCTTTTCATATCTGTAAGGGCATGAATCTTGGATATCAATGGTCTAACTATTCTTTTGCATCTTGAAATTGATATTGATGATATAGATGTGCTTTTCTTTGCCATATTTCCAACTTTATAGTCAACTTCGAGTCATGGGTATTAGTTCTTATATCTTGAATATTATATCAAAAGTTCGAGCACCCGATTTAGCAAAGCCCAACCTACTTCGAATGATTGGGACTAAATCGTAATTTTTCAGCCTTTGTTTTGATGATGGAGTATCTCACCAAAACCAAAAAAAAAAAAGTAGAGAACAAAATCTGAGGGAAAACTTGGAGAAAACGGCAATCTGTTCAATATTATTCTAACTCCTGATTCAATTGATCAATAGGGATGAAATTGGCTACCTACCTCTTATCAATACTGGCGATAAACGCCTTGGGGTGTTCTGCTTACGGTACTGTTACAGGAGTTCCTCCTTCCAAGCAAAAGCTCTACGAACCAACGATAGATTCCTCTGGTCGCAAAACCTGGCATTGCCTTAGTGATCCTTCTATAGTTCTTTCATACGATCAGATCAATGATAACTATTGCGATTGTCCAGACGGATCTGACGAGCCTGGTACCAATGCATGTCCATATAACCCAGAACAAAAATTCTATTGTGCAAATGAAGGGTATGTTTCAGGGTATATAGAAAATTTCAAATTGAACGATGGGGTTTGCGATTACGATTTGTGCTGCGATGGTTCCGATGAATATTTGACTGGAAAGTGTCCTAATAAATGTGAAGAAATTCGCCAGCAGTTTGAGAATTATAAAGAATTGGTTTATAGAGAGACCGAAGAATCGCTCTTGATAAAAGAGCAAATGGTAGAAAAAGCAAAAATCATTAAAGAAAAGGTTACTAAGAAGCTAGAAGAAACACAGCAAGAGATTCATGCTAAGGAGAAAGAGTTGGAAGAATTGAGTGTTCAATTGAGAGATGAAGAAATAAGAATTCAGCTGGAACCCGAAATTTCTGAAGATTTGAGCTCCTCAATCTTTGAGGAAGTATCTCCTTTACTTAATGACTTGGTTGAATCAATTAAGTCTCATACTGAAGAAAAAAAATCCCAAGAGCTAAGACTTGAAAAATTAGAAGAATTACTTTCCAATTTAATCGAGAACTACAATCCTAATTTCAATGATCAAGTCGTTAAACAGACAGTAAACAAGTTTCAAGACTATTTATCTAATCTTGAAGAAGCTTCAAATAATGAAAAGGCATCTCCTCATTCGGTTTTAGAAAGTTTGTCTGAAAAATTGAAAGAATTTGCTTGTCATCCAGTATCTACCATCAAGAAAAATGTCGATGAGCTTGTTAACCCTACATTTTCAAATATGATCAATTTTTATTATACGACCTTCTTCAAATCCAACAAAGGGCAAAAATCAGATAAACCCGTTGACCTGAGTGATTCAAAAAAGAGTCAATTGGCCTTCGAATTGGAAGACAAGATTCAAGACTTGAAGAAAGCTATAAAGTCATTGCAATCAGAAGCAGCTGTTTATCAAGAAAACTTGGAAATAGACTTTGGTAAAGATGAAATATTAAGGGCAGTTGCAGGAAGTTGGGTTAATGACAAATTTGGTGAATACGATTATAGAGTTGGATTCTTGGATTCTATTTACCAAGATAAAACATTAATCGGAAGATTTGTTTCTTACGAGAATGGTAGATTAAAGTATGCCAAAGGTACTAAATGTTGGAATGGTCCTCATAGAAGTGGTGAAGTGGAATTATTATGTGGTCCAAAAAATGAGTTGGTAGCTGTTAGTGAACTTGAAAAATGTGAATATCTTTTCCAAATTCGTACTCCAATAGCCTGTGAAAAAATTACTGATGATTACTTAATTAAAAACTTTAAAGTCGATTATAGTTTATTGTAAATTATAAATATATGATACAAGTTTAATATAAATGCAAAATTTCTTTATGGTCTGTAATTTAATCAAAAGTGATCTTCTTACCTTGAAATTTAATGTTCTTTTGCTTTTCTTCAGCAAGCCTTTTAGCTTCCCAAGAAGGATGCATTTTTTCAGGTTCGGAAGCGGCAGTTGCTGAAGGTAATGAAACATCAGGACGAGGTTTTCTATTACCAAGTGGTGCAGTATTTGAACCAGTAGGAGCATTTTCCATGGCCAATCTTGCCTTTTCTTCTCTTTTTCTACATCTTTCTTCATACTCCAATTGCCTTTGTTCTCTTTCACTGGCTATTTTAGCTTTTTCCGACTTGACGTGTTTAGCCTCTTGACCATATTTCTTTTCCCATATTTTCTGTCTGGCTCTTTGACCTCTTCTGTTTTTACGTTGCGTGGTAGCGGCTTTAACAACTTGGTCATTATCAATGTCGTCTTCATCATCAGAACCACCAGAAAAATAACCCGTTGCTAGTTCTGGTAATTGGTATTTTTCCTTTGGTTTCTTTTCTTCAGCAAAAAAGCTATCATGGGACGCATCACTGTCATTACCTTCCTCAACTTCATCATTTTCCAGCTCAGAGGCTTCCTCATCGGTAACTTCGTTGTAATTAACGTTAGGATCGAGGTCCATTTTTTCTTCATTATCGGAATCTCCAACTAAATTATCGTAAACCGCAAATTTATCATAATTTTCTTCTAAATCCTTCAAACTGGATTCCTCATCACTCTCATCATCACTCTCACCACTATCAGCATCAGCATCACTATGGTCATCTTGAATATCTTTACCGGACAATCTTTTTCTAGAGTCTTTCTCTTGCTTGGAAATATTACCCCTTACCAATTTGAAAGACCAATCAATTTCCTCCAAGGCCTTTTTGATGGTCTTAGAGTTCCATAGTTTAGAAATGTAGTTATTAAGTTCTTTATTATTCTGACAATGGTTTATAAAGAAACGAGATGGGTTTGACTTGTGGGTCTTATCTTTGATGATAGTTTGGATATCTTTTGATATATAATAAGGAATGTTCTCTTTAAGCTCTTTGTTAACGAGTATAGAAGAAGTGATACATTTTATCAACTTTGAAGTGATCAAGTTTTCTAACTCTTCCAGAGAAGTTATAAAAATTATAATGTCTTTCTTTGACCCATCTGATTTCAATCTTGATTTATCACTTTTGACGACCTTGTTAACTTCACGAGCCAATTTTTTATGAGATCCGTAATACTTCTTATCAAAGTATTCTTTTTTCAATGCTTTTATCTCTTTATTAGCTTCTTCTTCTGAAGTTGGTAATCTTTTCCATAACTTGGAAGTATTTCTCGCCGTCAAAAGAGTCTTTGTACGAGGAAATCTTGCTTGAGTACCATGGAACTTTGCCTCTAGCAAATCAAGCTTCCACATGCTATTGCTTTTATTTTTACTCATGATTTCTGCTTATTGATGTAAAGGTATTATGGACTTAGAGATGAGCATCTCGAAAAAAATGAAAAATTAATTTTTTCATTTTTATTTACTGCGATCTGAAAAATTGGAATACCTCAGCTCCACAACTCAATCATTTTAGGATGATCAAGATGCCAGAAACGACCATTGAAAGTAATAAAAGAAGAAAGTATGATAAAAAGACTCAAGTGAAACCAAACCAGTGTGAGTTTTTCCTCGCTAAGAAGAATAGAAGATGTTCCATGCAGAGAAAAGCCAATCAAAAGTACTGCTCTGAGCATATGAGTAATGATCAGGATGAAGCTAAGGGTAAAAGAATACCATGTCCATATGACAATCAACATACTGTTTGGACAAAAGACCTTAGTGTGCATTTGAAGAAATGTAATTCCAGACCAAAGGAAGAGCATGAACCATGGTATGAAAAGGATATTAATATCAATTTAAAAGGAGATTCCACAGAGATTGATGTTACTGAAGAAGACAAAGAATTACTGGAGGAAGTACTCCTTGATAAATACATACCTATTTTGAAGAAAGCAGTAAGTGATTTTCTTGATTTGAAGCATGAGCCATCTGAACACCAAGGATTAGATGCTAAACTTTTGGGATTATTGAAAAAGAAGCATGCACTTCAACATTCTTCGTTAATTGGAAATCTTAAAGACCGAGAATTATTGAAGAGGGATAATTTCTATGTTGAGTTTGGTTGCGGTAAGGGAGAACTATCCAGATCCTTAAACCAATGCATAATGTCAGATATAAAAGGTGGTGAAGAAGAAGAACAAACCGGGAAATATGGATTTGGTCTAATCGACAGAGGAGTTAATAGATTGAAGCTGGATAGAAGAATCATAAAGGATTGTGAAGAAGGCAAATTTCCGTATGCCCATCCAATTATTAGAAGAAGTAGAATTGATATCAAGGATTTAAAACTTGATAATTTTGTACTTGACTTAGAACCCAAAAAAGTTGTTGGGATATCCAAGCATTTGTGTGGGGCCGCTACTGATTTGACATTGAAGCTGATATTCAACTCTACATTATTATCTGAAAACCTCGATAAGTTTGGTGGTTTACTAATTGCAATGTGCTGTAGACATGCATGTCAATATCAACAATTATTACCCCAATCGCAAAAATACTTGTATGAAAAAGGGTTCAAAACAGAAGAGTCTTTCAAGATATTGAAAAAAATAGTATCATGGGCCGTTAGTGGCTTCAGAGAGAACGAGGAGAAGTCTAGCGAAGGTGATAGAGAAGACTTAGGTCTATTAGGAAGAAGACTAATTGATGAAAGTAGAGTTTGGGCAATTAATCAAATACTATCCGATAAGGGGCTCATTGCTGAAATGTTTATTTATACTGATAAAGAAATAACATTAGAAAACTCCTGTTTATGTATACGACCAAAATAATTTACGTGTATATATTTTAAATAAAAATTTTTTAATGAAAAATGGAAATACGATATATTCAACAGAATTAGAATTAAAATATAAAATTTATAAAAGAATAGATATGCAAGTATCCATCTTTCTTAGATTTTTTGTTCTTTAACACCGTGTTTCCAAATGGCAACGAATGGAGTGACACCATCTTCACGGTAGTTTAATAAAACAATCATGGCATCTGGATCCATAGATTCACCAGTGTAGAATTCCCAATCACCAAAGTTAGCAATAACTTTTTTAACGTAAGCAGTAGCACCTTTTTCAAAAGCTTCAATTTGATCTGGGTTGGTTTCAGCTAAGTGAGCTTTAACTTTCTTCATGTAACCTTTAATGTAACCTAAGAAAGATTTCTTGTCAAAAGCAGTGTTTTGTAATCTGAAAGAGTAGACAACGTTGTTGACGGTTTCAGTAGTGTTATCAACATCATCACCACCATCTTCAGCAGATGGGTTGGCACCAATATCAACATCACCACCAGAAGAAACGTTAACCATTTGACAGTCAGCTTCGTAAACAGCACCGTCAACTTCTTTGATGTCATAAGCATCAGACAATAATTCGTCACCGGAAATAACGTCAGAGTAGATAATCATTTTATATATATATGTTGTGTTTGAATTGGACACCAATAACCTTCAAGTTGATTTTTTTCAAAAAGGAATTTCCAATTGGTTTTATAGATGAAAAATCAAGTGAAAACTTTCACCAAAAGAAAAAAAAAAAAAAAATTGTTTAGTGCACAACGTGAAAAAAGCCGTTACCCGCACGTTGCGCCAGCGATGAGGCCGCCTGAGAAGACACCCGTACATTTTTTTATTTTTTTCAGTTCTTTTGATTGCAAAAAGCGTTTATTATTGAATTGAAATGCAGTGATTAGTATTAAGTAATGGAACTGAAGTTTGAAAGTATTAGTAACGAGTAGAAAGTCATGAAAGAGAAAGTAATTAAGAGAAAGTAATGAAAAAATAAGTAATACACGGGAGAAGTTAATGGAATTCGTTATTGAAGGCTTTTCTTAACCAGGTCAAGATTCTATCATAAACAACAATATTGCCATTATGATAACGAATCGAATGATCGGAGTCAGGAAAGACCATGAAATCGAAATTTTCAATACCTTCAAGGTTGAATTCATCTAGAAGTTTAAGACTGTTTTGGAAATGAACGTTATCGTCACCAGAACCATGCATTATTAGGAAACGATTAACGTTATTGAAATTAGTCAAATTATTAATTGAAGCTGTTTCATAACCAATTGGGTTTTCTTTTGGTTCTCTTAAGTAACGTTCTGTATAAATAGAATCATACAATTTCCATTTAGTAACTGGAGCGATTGAAACCCCAAAAGAAAATACATGATCAATAGAATCGGTTTCTAATGTTTTTAAAGTTAAAAATCCACCGTATGACCATCCCCAAATAGCAATTCTATCTGGATCGACATAAGACTTATCTCTCCAAATCTTAGCTGCTGCTATTTGATCAATTGGTTCATAATGACCTAATTGATCCCGAACAATAAATTTGTAATCGGATCCCAATTTTTCATGGTGATTATTATATCCAGTACCTCTACCATCAACAGTAACAACAATTGCATTTAATTCAGCCGCTACAACTGAACTAAAGCTAATTGAAAATTCTTTGGTAACTAATTGAGATCCTGGTCCACCATAAACAAAAAATAATACTGGATATTTATATTTTGGATTAAAATTAAGGGGTAATGTTTCAACTGCATTTGCTTTAATTTTTTCTCCAGTTTTTGCATCGGTTCCAATCTCAATAACACTGTATCTTACTTTAGGAATTTGATATTTTTGTAAGTTATTATTCAATTCATTGTTTGATTCAATCGTTTGTAAAAATTTAAAATTATGTAAATCAACTAACTTTTGATTTGGTACATTTGGTCCATCATAATATAGTAACAAGTAACGTGATCCAGACGAAAATGATCCTGAATACCATCCGTCTTTTGAAGTATCAGTTATATTATTGATATTTGGTAAGTCTTTAGTATTGGCAATTGCTTCTAATAAATTAACTGAATAAATATGTCTTTCAATTGAGGATTTGAGAGTACCGGTGAAAAATATATTATTTTTAATATTATCAAAAGAAGAAACCCCATTTATTACTTCCCACTTACCTTTAGTTAAAATTATTCCATTGGGATTAGTTGGTGGAGAAAAATAAGCTAAATGATTATATCCATCGAGTACAACAGTATCAATATAACCATCATTTTCTCTACCTAACGATTCATTTTTAGGAATGAATAAAGTATTTGAAGTAATTTCAAACCAAGATCCTTCAGCTTTATGCGATCTAATCAATTTAGCATCATTTGAATCACTATTAATTAAGAATATTTCTAGTAAGTCACTTGCTCTATTTGTTGTTTTAACTAAGATATTATTATTTGAAACCCAAACAACTTCAGTAATTAATTTATCTTTAATTTGATTTGATTTAAATTGAGTACTTGAAATTTCTTCTAATCCTTTCAAATCATATATGATTATATCAACAATTGGATTTGGATATCCTGCTTTGGGATATTTAATTTTTGATATTTCTGGATAATCTTCATAACCAGATTGAACATAATAAGATAAGGTAAAATCTGGTACTGAAGTATCATTAGTTTTCAAAAATGTGATCTTGGATCCATCTGGCGACCACCATAATGCTAAATCAGTCCCGAAAACTTCTTCTTCATAAACCCAATCTGGTTTACCATAGAAAATATTTTCACTTCCATCAAAAGTAACTTGAGTTATTTCCAGTTTATTATTAAGTGATTTAATATAAACATTATTTTCATAAACAAAGGCAATATGAGAAGAAGTAGGTGACCAATTAGTAACCGCAACCTTATCTTTAACATTATAAAGAGGTTCGATATTATTAGTTGAAACATCTAAAACCCAATATAATGCAATAGATGAATGTCTCCAATTTTTAGTAGTATTGGTTTTCAAAATTGCTTTAGTTAAATCAGGAGAGGCAATTAAATCATCGATATTATAAAGATTATGAGCATAAACAAAAGAACTATCATTATATAAAACTTTTTCATAAGTTTCATCAACAATACTTTTAATCAAATATCTAGTTTGATCATTTACTCGTTCAGTTAAAACAAAAGTCCCTTTATCATTTGAAATAGATTCTGGTTCTTTAATCCACTGTAATTGTTTGAAATTTGGAGTGAATTTACCAGATCTAGTGGCTGAAAAATTAAGCGGTATCTTATCACCACTATCAAAAGCAATCGAATTAGGAAATATCTTATGGTCATTTTGAGTATTTAAAGGAGGTGAATTCTTCTTTAAATATTCCTCAATCACACTAGTGTTAATAGAAGTTACACTCTTCAAATTAGTTATAGTCATGATAAGAAATGAAGACCCCCATATTATAATTGCCAAAATAGAACCAATATAAAAGATGTTTTTCAAGTTTAAATAGCTTATCCGACTACCATAGCCATAAGTTTTCTCTTCATTATCAGAAGAGTCTCCCCTGGTGTACTTGGATGCCTGTCCATGGGCCTTATCGTACTTGGATGGACTCATCTTGATCCTTCAAAGAATAATATCAAGATGTTTTTCTTTAGTTTTGATTATTTTTCCTCCAAAATAAAATCACCGAATCGTAAAAAAAAGGTAGTATGGGTCACAATAACAGGGTGACCACTGTGGAATGTATGATGTATATGTAGTAAAGCGAATAGTTAAAGCGTAAAGTTTCAAATACAAGCTATAGAGTTGTGTTGGCGCCAGCCATTTGTATCATTCTTTTGAAATTGTGGATATGGAGCGGTAAAGCCACGACTTTAATCACGTGACCCTTTTTCCTCGATAAAAAAAGCAATTAAAATATTTTCTAGCCGAAAGTGCAATTACTTTTCCGTTTTGGGAACAAAAATGATTTAGTGGATAAACAGATAAGGTTGCAAATAGACGATTGTAACAACGATTGTGCTGCTGTTGTACCATTGGTTGCGCTGCTGTTGTACCATTGGTTGCGCTACTGTTGCACCACATGAGTGCTGACGAGTACAAGATCGCATAAGGATATATTCTAGAATTATATATAAGATTATTTAGGCTATAAATGAGCTAACAGAGATTAAATTTAACTGGAGAATAACTATAGTACAAAGCATAAACTTGTTGTGAATTAGCTAGTGATTGTAATTGAATAGGTACTGATTTCATTGGTGTTTATTTTGTAACTTGATTCCTTTGTATTGAAAATTAAAGTTGAAGAACATTCTTCAACATCAGTAAACTTTAAATGATCAAAGCAGGAAAATAAACAACAGGAAAGGAAAAACAGAAAAAAAACAAGCAGAAGGGCAAAAATGAAAAAAATATGAAAAGAACAAGATATGCTGGGGGTAGTAAAACAAAAATTTATCAATTATAGGGGAAATAATAATAATAATAGTAATAAAAAAATTAATTAAAAATGCATTATAAAAGTCATTCACGTCGTAAGTAGTGGAATAAAGGGGTATAGTTGATTAACAATCGCTTTTTTGAGCATCGTCAATGATGCTATTGACGGAACCGCGGGTCATTTCTGATCCCGATCCATATCCTAATCTTTTCTCATCACTTTGATTGGTCTGAGGAGTGGTGATAATATCGTTTAATAGAGATGGACTGAACTCATTAATAATCTTACGTAAATTGGTTCTCTTGATTGGTTTGGCCAAAAATCCAGACATACCACAATTGAGACATTCTTTAACATTACTTTCATCTGCGAATGCAGTTAATGCAATGATTGGTCTATCATAACGTAAATTATTTCTGATCATTTTGGTAGCAGTTAATCCATCGATATTTGGCATTTGGATATCCATAAAAATTAAATCAAATAATTCAAATTTTTCATAAGATTCTTTAACAAATTCAACTGCTTCTGCACCATTAAAAGCCATTGTAATATTTTGGAATCCTTCCAATTTTAACATTCTTTTAATAACTTCTTGATTAACCATGTTATCTTCAGCAACTAAAATCCTCAAGTGTGCCATTTCTTCTAATAAGTTATGATCGGTCTTATCAGTAGTATTGGAAGAATTTGCAGTTCCTGTAGATGATCTAGCAATCAAATGTGGCTTTTCAAATAATGCAGTTCTTGAAGGAATCTCTAACTTATGTTTAAATCGTCTAGTATCATTACTATCAGATGAAGCTTTCGATGCCTTGGTGTTGAAACTATAACCATGGCTCGAAGTACTTGAATTATCTTCAACTTTTACTATAGGAGTTTCCGATTCATGATCTCGTTCATATTCACTATCGTGGGATGATTCATGATCTTTGTCTCTATTCATTTCAGAGTTAGATAAAGATTCTCCATTTGAATTAAATTGGAATACACCTGGTTGAGTTTGAGAAGAACTCGAATGAATTGTAGTTTCAGTTTCATTATGTTCACTATTGGTTGAATCATCGGATATATCAAAAGCAACTTTTCTATTAACTTTAGATTTTGGATTGAATTCATCATCACAAAATTCATCCATTTCACTTTCAGGTACTAAAACTTCACCAGTTTGTGGTAATGGAACAGTAAATGTAAAAGTTGAACCTTGGCCAATTGTCGATTTCAATGTTAATGTACCGTTCATCATTTTGGCCAATTGTCTACAAATAGATAATCCCAATCCAGTACCACCGTAACTTCTAGAGAGAGTTTGGTCTCCTTGAATGAAAGGTTCAAAGACTTTCTCTTGTAAAGCCGGTTCAATACCTGGACCAGTATCGCTAACCTCTATTTGTAAAACCCAGGTTTTTGGTTCATACAAGTTTCTCATCTTGAACACTTTATTGTTCTTCACCATTTCGCTATTTGAAAAAGTTGAAGTTTGTGACATATTGGAACTATTTGTCATAGTTGTTGATAATGAGACATTACTATTATTTTTAGGAGGAGGACAGGCTTTTTTAGGAGGTAATAATTCAGCTTTTTGTTCACGAAGTAATTCATCACGAGATAATTCGGTAAGTTTTGAGGGAGGTGTTGGTGGAATGACATTTTCTTTGGGTGGTTGTACATTATTGGCCTTTCCATTCATTGGTTTCTCATCAACCGTTTCTTCTGATGAATTCAGATTGGTATCAGTTTTTGGGGTAGTTGGATTTTCGTTTGTATCAGATTCGTGAACAGTTTTGTCTGAATCTTCCTTGGCTCTGTCAGAATCAGCGTGTCCATTAATGTGATTGTTACCATTAGTTACGACACTTTTATGATTTTCATCATTATTATTTGCATCATCAGTATCTGATTCTTTAATGTCTTTATGAATGCTTTTATTTGGTCTTTCAGGCAATGGTTTGTGATTATTGCTTGCTCTACGGATCAAGCTATTACGGTTGAACTGAGATTGGAAAATAGTATTTTCATATTCAGCTGTTGATAATGTAACCACACTGATATTATCATCCTCTAAACCAAGTGACATTGGTCTCGAACTTGAAGAATTTGAAGAAAATGGACGCAAGGCCGATTGTGAGTTTCTCGAGACTTCTTCATTGTTAATGGACTTAATTGAATTTATTGTACTTAATTCAATATCATGATTATTAGGATTGGACTCATTTGATACGGGAGTTTCAGGAGTAGTTTTGTTATGATAATATTTAGTATTAGGATTATTAATGTTGACGGATTCTGGATTTTGAGGGATTGAAGTATTTGCAGTTACGGGAGTCGGAATTGGAGTTGAATTAAAGGTATTATTAGCAGTAGTGGTGGTGGTAGCAGTTGATTTAGCAGAAGTTGGAGAAGTTTTCGGAGGAGAAGATGAATTATTCGAATTTCTCAAGATATAAACTTTATCGAAATTATCAAGTTTTGAACGATTAAAATCATATTCACCTAGTAATTTGAAACTAACATCAACTGAACCATCAACTGGAGTAAATTTTAAACTATTCGAAACTAAATTCATGACAATTTGAATAATTCTATTTGAATCACCATATAAAAACAATTTCCTTATAGCATTTGGTTTTAAAGATAAATTTAATTTAACTCTTTGATCAGAAGCTAATTTACCAAAAATTGATTGAACTTGATAAGCGATTTCCAAAATTTGAAAATGTGATTTTTCTAATTTAGAACGATTAAGAGTATTTTTTGAATAAGTCAATAATTCAGTTAATATATGTAATAATAATTCACCCGATCTATGAATTAATTTTAAGGAATCTTGGATTCTAGCATGATTTTTTTCTTCCAATGCAATTGAAGTCATACCTAATATACCATTAAGAGGAGTTCTTAATTCATGGGATATATTAGCAATGAAAACAGTTTTAGCTTCATTTGCAGCTTCAGCTTCGACTTTGGAAGCCTCTAATTCTTTAGTACGAATTTTAACCCGATCTTCTAAATGAGTATATTGTTTATCCAATTCTTCAATCATAATATTAAAAGCTTCTGATAATTCTGTTAATTCATCTTTGAAGAATTTTTTTGAATTTGGAATCTTGCTTGGTAATCTAATACCAGTTGAATAGACTGATGAATTATTACAAGATTCTGTAGAATTGACACTGTGTCTTTTAGATAAAACCGAAGTATTGATTGGGGGATTTGAGGAAGGGGGAACTTTTAACGAATCTCCAAAATTTTGATGGTGATTGATAGAAGTATCCGATTCTGAAGTAGTAGCTGATAATAATTCCTTTTCTTTCATATGTTTTTTATGTTGTTTTTTCAGCATTGTTATAGCAAAAGTAGCCTCTTTTAATTTAGTAATGGGTCTAACAAAGAAAACTGCTAATGGGAAAGTGATCAAACACATAAAAGCACCAATACCAATTACCACACCAATGATGATTTTGGTTAATTTTTTAATTGGTTCTAAGAATTTAGATCTTGGTTGTTCAATTAAAACCGACCAATAAGTTTCTTCATCCAATCTTATTTGAGTGAAACCAATTGCAATCCAATGATCAGAGTAAGATTTAATTTTAGTACTAGAGCCAGTTTCTTTAGTTAAAGCTAGTTTAATGGCGTCACTTGAGTTAATACCATAAACATGATTGGTTTTAATTAAATCTCTTTCCGTGGGGAAAACTGGTTCGAATCCAATAGGAAGTTTGTCATGCGAGGAATCCGAACCCGACGAAGAGTTAGTTTCGAATATCGGTTTAACTGCAACCACATAGTAATCTGAAGTGGTTGAAGTTGATGAGGACTTAGTTTTTGTGGATACAGAAGAATCATCAGATTGAGAGGATCTCGGATCATAAATTGCTGATTGAATATTCGAAGCACTTGCCAATACGGTCAAATAACCCGAGATTGAAGGTTCTGATAAAATGATGGAAGAGTTTGAGTAAACAGGGACCGTAATACCAATGAAGTAAGTTGAGAGAACATCTGATGAGTTAGACATTGGACCAGTCACATAACCGTAACCGGAGGCTTGATTTGTAGTGTTTAATAAACTAGAAGGAATGGTTGTATTTGCAGACAATGGGAATAAATAGTCCATGGTTGGGGTTGAGATAGAAGTTTCATTATTATAAGATTCAGCCACCACGTCCAAATATAAATCATAAAGACGAGCAGCGCTAAACAATTCCGATGAAGTTAAAAATTGATCCAACGTTTGTTGAGCATCGGCAAAGATCCCATGGGTCCCATTACCAGCAACATGTGAGTTGAGCGGAGCATAAACGGTATCCTTGTTACTCAACCAATAAATCTGATAGTATATGTATTCAACTGATTGTTGAATTTGGGTAGTTTTCAATTGTGATATAACCTGAAGTCTTTCCGCTCGAAGATTCGACAAATTAGAGCTGAAGTAGACCCCAGTTACTATGGCAAGAATGAGTAAGGAAAATAAAGAAGCAAACCCAACAAGGATGATAAGTTGAGGCCTAATACCAATCTTCAATCTTCTCATTTTGAAACGATTTCAAAGAAGAGGGGGTAGAAAGGGGAAGGGTGTATTTCAAGTGAACAAATACCTCTGATCGATTCTTCCTCTATTAGTTAGTTCAGCAAGTGAAAGATGTAAGATTATAATCTAATACCACATAAAGTGTAATCAATCAAATATAAGCATTAAAATCAGTTAGCCGCCTTGAAAAAAAAAAAAAAGGAAATGAACAAATCAAAACTTATCGAACCCGGCACACTAGTGGAAAGAGCACACGCAACGGGGACGGATTATTCAAGGGGAAGCACTTGCAATAACGAATGAGTAGGCCGGAAATGGAGTCCTTTAAAACAAGATAAGTGTAAAGTAGTAGTTAAGGAAGAAGTAGAGCATCAAAAAAAAAAAAAAAAAAAACAAAAAAAACAAAGAACAAACGAGAAAAGACAAAGAGACTACTGAAAAACGCACTGGAAAATTAGCCACTAAACCGAACCACCCTATTAACTGGGTATAAACATGTATTGACTGTAGAGTATGCTTTACTGATTGTTACCTTTGATACGAATTCTAACTAACTGTTTTGGCTGTGACCACCGGCCAAACACTAAACCAACTAAACGAAGAAAAAATACACCCGTACACCGCCTTTTCATTCCCCCATGCTATTATTACTGATCCAACGGTATTGTCCTCCCCTGCCAGCCCAGTACTATCCCGAATGTATGGAGGTGCCTGTAAAATGAATATATATATCGCTATATATACGTGCGGAGGGCTCTGTAGATGTCTATACATAACCAAGGCTTAATATATAAGTTAAAAATAGACTCATCTTTTGAAATTTTTCTCGTGAGAAGAGCCCTATTAATATAAACATCTCAAGTGAGTACCATTAGTTGTTCTTGTTAGTTGATTAGTTGATAGAGAAGTGATGTATTTGGGTTGGTTGTGCTTGTTATTGCCCGTGCTAAGCAGCTTGGTGAGTGCCGAGTCCTCAGCTGAAGATATAAGAGTTACTATAACCAAGGATAAAGTGACGAGAACTCCGGAACTAGAATCATCTAGTTCTACCAAGATTACAAGAAAGACTACGAGTTCCAAAAGTAGTACTAGTTCAACTAGTTCACATAGATCGTTGACTACATTGAATTCGGAAGATCATGAGTTACTTCAATTTGTACTTACTCTGCATGACGGAGATACTCTCTATGATATTGTACTTCAAGATGCAAATAATAATAGTATGCAAGTGAGGATTGATTTCTTACAGCCAGATATATGGTTGATGAATGGAGATGAGATTTTACAATGTGATATCTATAATCAGTGGTTCTATGATCATACCTCGCTTTATTCGATGAATTTAGATCCTCCAGTATTGACTGCTTTTAATAATGATTGGGAATTAGTTGACTGTTATGATTATGGGGCTTTTTTCACTTCTCCAATTATAACTAAAACCCAAGGGGATTCGGTAACAACTACTACATCGTTCAATTCTGATTTCCCAACTCCAACAAAACCAGGGGTTTATAATGGACAACCCTATTCTATAAATTATGTTAATCAAATTCTTGCGGATGGAGAATTATTTTCATCAAATTTAACTTTTATATCATCGAATAATAAAGTTATTGAATTACCGGATTTCACTTTCAATTTGGTTAATGATTCTAACGTTTTCGAAGGGGGGTTGGGATTAGCCGGTAACCCTTATGGATCAGGTTTTTTGGATTCTCTTAAACTGAATGAATATATTAATAGTTCAGGTTATTCACTTTTCTTTCAGAATGATACTCGTCCTTTTGGCCTATTACTTCCCGGTTCGGTAAATACTAAATATTTGTCTGGTGATTTTTATGAATTTGATTTAATTAATTATACTGGTATTAATGACAACGATAATAATAATTTTGTTAAATTACCAATTTTACAATTAGATGATTTAATAATTGAAAATTCTAAAAATGGTAATACCCTTTCGTTAAATTCAAATCTTAGCTCAATTGGAGTTTTATTGGATCCAAGATCTTATTATACTTATTTACCTCTAGAAACTTTGGTTAATTTAGCAATGCAAATTAATGCGGTTTACAATTATCAAACTGACCGATGGATTGTTCAGTGTGATAACGTTTATGAAAATCAACCAATTCTTCAATTTGTTTTTGGTCCTTTAAAAATTAATATAGAATTAAGTGCCTTCACTTCTGAAGCTTATTTTAATAGTCAAAGTTTACAATTCAATAACGGTGAAAAAGCTTGTTTCTTACAATTCTTACCTTCTTCCTCAAGTGGTTATTTTAGTTTAGGTAGTGATTTCATCCGTCAAATTTATCTTGCAGTAGATAACGAAGGTGATAAAATTGCCCTAGCAAATACTAATCAAAATTTAGATATAAACTTAAAAGATTTTAGCTTTTCCAATAACCCTTCTAGCTTTCATCCAAGAAATTTAACTAATTCGAAATCAATCGATTATATTTCTTCGGGTAAAATACCTTTTGCAACTCATCACAAAATCTCTGATCCGGTCACTTGGTCTTATTCGACAAATACTGATTCTACTACAGACATACCAGCAAGATTTCTGGGTGCGGTTATTGAATCAGGTAAAATTTTAACTAATGGTCAATCAGATACTCATAGTTCAATCCTTCCTGGTATGGCTAGTGCTGCAAAAGAAAATACTACTAGTTCCAAAAATTGGGGTAGTCGTTTGAAACCTACTCCTTTAAATCATAATCATGATCAAACAAGTTTCTTGGGTTTGCTATTTACAATTTTGGGTTTTATTGGTTTTGTTGTTTTATTATAGAGTTTAAAAGTTTTGTCATTATAACTATATGTAAATCTAAATATATGTCTAATTATTTTATATTTTTATCTATATATATATATATTCACTAGAGTCTACAATTTTCTTAGTTCGACGTTGGTTAAATTGCCACGATTATTACCAATTTCACTCTCAATTATTGTATCGATACTTGAACTTGAATTTTCAGCTACTTCAGTTGGAATTTTTTGATAGGTCTTCATTTGATTCTCTTTATATCTATAATAATTATACCACATGATATCGATGAAAGTGAAAATCAATCCAATGCAGTTGATAAAGCTTAATTTATCACCAAATATAATCGAACTTAATATGATGGTTAATAATTCTTTGAATATTCCTGCTATTGAAAGGGTAATAATTTGGGCTACTGTCAATAATTTAAATTCACATAAAGTCATCATAAACGCCAACACTCCTGGTATTATCATTAAGCCGATTGTACCAAATAAACCTTTGATTTCCCATATTGGAGAGGAAGTAAAATTCAGCCAACCTTCGAAAATCAATCCAACTAAAAACAATGTAGCGCACATTGAAGGACTTATATAGAAAATTGTCAGTATCGAGTTGTTGGTATAGTTGTTACGTTTTAATAACAATTGGGTGAAAGACCATCTCAATCCTGACATCATTGAAGCCCCCAATACTAAGATTATCCCCATTTTACTATACTCGTCACCATTATTGGGTATTGAATCAATCACATCCGGCTTTTTAACCATCATTGCCACCGATCCAGTCATTACTAAAACAATAACCACTAGTCTCCAGTGGAATTTTTCCAACTTGAATAAAAGCCCGAAAAGTAATACAAAGATGAGCGATGAGGTTTTCAACATGGTATACAATGATAATGAAACAAATTTGAAAGAAACGTTTGATAATCCAATATCCCCACTACTTGCCAATGAACACGGGAATATTTGCTTGAAATAAGTTGTTAATTTCATCTTGAATATTGATAAAAACGTTATAAAGCTTTCATTCGACTTCTCTTGCGGGGTTAGTTCATTGATGTCTTCATCATGACCCTCATCTTCATTTATTGTATTGATGGTAGGACGTAATCTGGGATTGAAATATAACACCCCACAACTTAAAATCATTAAACAGAATTGATGAAATGAAGTAATAAGAATTGGAAATTTAAAATCCAATCCTTTTCCAAACATCCATTTATTATATATCGATATCGACAACGAAAAAATGTACCATCCCAATATATATATTAGTGCTTCACCATTCTTATTTGGTGAGTTACTGGATCCCATCTTCAACCCTAATCATATAATTCAATCTTCTTCTTCTTGAAAAAACTAATATACGAACTTTATTGATCTGCAATGAGTGCTAAGCCAAGTCAACAGCGCTAATTCTAATGCCAACTCCTAAGTAAACCTCTCTCAATATCGTTTGTAATGGTATCCTTTGACAACACCAATTTGAAGTTTCACTACGGGAAACAAAACTTGTTGTTCTTTCCAATGCTTCACCAGCCTATGCTTTTACATCGTATTCCCCTTCTCCGCACCCGTACATCTCCCTTTATGGAAAAAGGTGTTTCCACCAAAACAAAACGGTGAAATTTAAAGTTCCAAAATCTGCGTCAAAAAAACAGTAAGATCAATTATATTTTGGTTTCTTTAACGAGGATTCTTTTAATCGGGTCAAGATTGGATTTGAAGGTATTCCTCGTGCTTTGTTATTCAATTCTTTTGCTTTGTTGTATTTATTATAATTCTTTTTACGTTCTTATCATACTATTATTATTATTTTATTTTATTTAATTTTTTTTTCATTCTGTTTTGGGGACAGCATTCATTGAATCATGAGTAAAACACAAGATCCATCCTCTTTGATATTCCTTCAGCGACAATATCTTTTGGATAAGATCAAGTCAATCCAGCTAGGTGGAGGATTGTATACGTTGGTTACTGATGAGAAGACTGAGTCGGTATTGAACCAAGTAGTCTCCAAGGATGCTTTGTTAAGAATAGTTACGTCTATTGAAAGAATTGATTCGAAACGTAAGATTCAATCATATGTGGAAGGGATCTATTTTGTTGACTTAAACCCTTTTACCATCAATTGTATGATTGCCGACGTTCAAACCCACCGGTACAAAAAGGGACATGGGTTGTTCTTACCATTAGTGCAAAAGGATGTTGAAAGCTATTCGTTTTTCCATTCTACCAAGTTTATGAATAACCCCAAAGTTCTCCATTACTTTGATAATGGGAACAATGTCTACTTCACTCCAACTGTGTTTCATCCAGTGGAACAACGAGTATTTTTGGCTGATTCAAATACTCCGAACTCAATGGCAATATATTATAATGAAAATTGTGCAGATTTAGTATTGGCCCAGGTTAGAAAAGCTGCAAAAGCAATTATGAATTTGATTGTTATAACCGGGGAGTTCCCATTGATTCGTTTTTATAATCCAAAAGATTCTAGTCATTTTGCTTCAAGATTACCAGAATTAATTGCTGATGAAGTTCAAAATCAAATTGATAATTATGCTCGTGAGAATAGTGATTATCCTCCTCAGTCTATTGAGGGGAAACCAAGATCGATTCTATTGATTACCGACCGTACTCTTGATTTATATGCTCCTTTATTACACGAATTTAGTTATCAAGCTATGGCTATGGATATAGTGGAAAGTTTAGAACGTTTTGGTAAATACAAATATCAAACTGAAAATGAGCGTGGGGAATCTCAAAAAGTTGAAGTCACTTTGGAAAATGAAGACGATGAAAATTGGGTCAGTCTAAGACATCTTCATATCATCGAAAGTTCTGAATTAATCATTAATAAAATTAATGAATTAATTAAAAACAACCCTTTAATGGTTGATAGATCAAAAGCAACAACCTCAAGCGATTTGATGTGGGTTGTGGCTAATTTAAAAGGTTTCGATGAAGAAAGAAGACAAATTACTTTACACAAAACTTTAGTTGATGAATGTCTTGATATAAATGCTAATAGAAAATTAGCAGAATTTGCAGCTGATTTCGAACAAACTTGTGCTGCAGGTGGTACAAGTTTCGAAGGGGTAAGAAATAAAAACTTACATGATGATTTAATTGTTTTATGTTCAAGAGATGATTTGCATATTAATGATAAAATTAGATTGGTTTTAATTTACGCTTTATATCGTGGTGGGTTGGTTGAATCTGATTTTGTTAAATTAGCTAGTTTTATTGGTGTACATCAAAAACAAACCACTTCTTTAATTACAAGATGTTTCTTTAATTTACATAAGTTAGGTTTCCCAATCGTGAAAAAATCAGTTAATGATAAAAAAATCGTTAAACATCTGTTCCATACAATTAATAATGAAGGTACTTATAACACTTCAAGATTTGGACCTGGGGTTAAAGATGTTTTACAAAATGCCATGAAGTATCAATTAGATGAATCTTGGTTCCCCTATTTCAGGGACAAGCCTTTAGAAGATGATATTCCTGCAGCTCAAAGATCTTCGAATTCTACCAATTCAAATGGTCCAGTTAGTGGATCTTTAAGAAACCCAAGAGTCAAAGCTTCTTGGGCTCAGTCTTCGTATAAAGTTAATCTGGGCTTAACCAAACCAAAACAAAGAATCTTCTGTTATGTTGCCGGTGGTATAACCTATTCAGAAACTAGGTCAATTTATGAATTGGCTCAAGCAACAAATAAAGATATTTATATTGGTTCAGAAGCTCTTTTAAAACCAAGAGACTTCTTAATTGGTTTACAAAGTATTGATAAAGTTAAACATATGGAAGAATTGGATTTACAATTGTTTAAAGACCTTAATAAGCCAAAAGAAGCTCCTCTTCATTTATTTGAAACGGGCCAACCAAAATTCCCACCGCCAGTTACCCCTCAACCTACAAACAGTAACGGTAATGCCGTTCCACTGCATTACCAAAAAAGAAACTCTCACGTTGGAAACCTGCCTTCTTCTGGTTCAACCGATGCTAGTTCTTCAAAAGATAAGAAAAGATCAAAACTTAAAAAACTTTTCAAGTAATTTCTATGATTTAATTGTAATTATTTTCCTTTTTCTTGATTTTTTCCCTCAACTCCTTTTCATTTCTACATAATCAAAATCACTTTTATAAACGTTAAGCATATCAAATCATTATTTATTGTATTTGCTGTAAAAATCGATAACGGTTCTAATTGCAATGGATTTTCAACCGTTTTTTATTAGTAATCTAATGATGCGCGGAATCTTATCCAGTGAAAAAAAAAATATATATATAAAAAAAAAAAAAAAAAAAGAATATAGAAACAGGAGAAAAGCCATTCGAATACTAATTCAATTTCCAACTATTCTCTCTAAAAACGAGCTTTCGTTGCTACTTTGCTGGTCAGAATTGATAAGAAGGCAATATGGAGCAGGCAGAAGCTTTTAATTTAGATACGGTTCATATCCAGAATAATTGGAACTTTTTCAGTCATTTGCCATTACTTTATTCATCGAGTTTAAATGATGTTTCGTTGGCCAGTGGCGTCAAATCAAATGGTACTTTAGCTGCTGGAAATGGTTGGTTTTCGTGTACACATTCAGATGGTTGGGGTCCTATATCCAATAAATATCTTGACTTGACTCCATGTTTCGTTCAAGGTATTCTTTTTGGGGTAGCTTCTCTTGCCATGATTTTAGTAGGATCTTACCATGTTCAGAGTTTAAGAACTTGTAAACCTTCTACCAGTAATAGAATTTCGTGGTCTTTCTATACCAAGTTATTATTAGTTTTCGTTCAATTGGTTTTTCAATTGGTTTTGTATTTTAATTATCACAAATTTGATGTTATTAATACTTCGAATGGCTTAAATGCTATTGCAATCTTGGTAGCATACGCTATTCATTATGTTGAGCAGTTCAAATCTACTATTCCAAGTGGTGTTTTGTTATTCTATTGGTTATTTCAAATCGTTTTCGGTTTTGGTAAAGTGGTCAATTTAAAATTAAGAGATACCATCAAGGAACAGTACGGTATTTTCACCATTCTCTCTCTTGTGAATGCCTTCTTCATTCTTGTGCTAGAAGTAAGCTTTCCTCCTAGACCAGTGAGTTCTTTTGATGACTTGAAAAAATCTCCTTTCGATAGAGCTCATGTTTTCTCTAGAATTACTTTTGCTTGGATGAATCCACTTATGAGAAGAGGTTATTTGAAGTTTTTAGATGAAAAAGATTTACCCTTTTTACCTAAAGATTTGAAATCAAATTCTACGTCAGAAAGTTTCTATCATTATTGGTATTCTCAAACCAAACCTTCTTTGTTTTGGGCACTTGCAAAAGCCTTCGGTGCTGAATTTGTTCTTGGTGGTCTCTTTAAAGGTTTACAAGATATATTGGGTTTTGTTCAACCTCAATTATTAAAACTTTTGATCAGATTTGTAAATGATTACACCGAATCTTTGAAAGAAGGTGAACCAATTCCTTTAACCAGGGGATTAATGATTGCCGTTTCTATGTTTTTTGTATCTGTGACCCAAACTGCTTTCTTACATCAATACTTTCAAAGGGCTTTTGATACTGGTATGAAAATTAAAACATCATTAACTTCAGTCGTTTATAACAAATCTTTGGTCTTATCGAATGAAACTAAACAGGAATCTTCAACTGGTGATATTGTTAATTTAATGTCTGTTGATGTCCAAAGATTGCAAGACTTGGTTCAAAACTTGCTGATTGTTTGGTCTGGTCCTTTCCAAATTTTCTTATGTTTATATTCATTACACGGAATTCTTGGAAGTGCTATGTGGGCTGGTGTTGCTGTTATGGTCATCATGATTCCTTTAAATAGTTTTATCGCCAGATATCAAAAGAAGTTACAGAAAACTCAAATGAAAAATAAAGATGAAAGATCAAGATTAATCAGCGAAATCTTGAATAACATTAAGTCATTAAAATTATACGGTTGGGAAAAACCATACTTGGAAAAATTGAATCACGTTAGAAATGAAAAAGAATTGAAGAACTTAAGAAGAATGGGTGTCTTTGGTGCTGCTTCCAACTTTACTTGGACTTTGGCCCCTTTCTTAGTTAGTTGTTCTACTTTCACCGTTTTCGTGATTATTGGCACAAGTAATTTAACCACTGATATTGTCTTCCCAGCTTTGGCTTTATTCAACTTATTGTCATTCCCATTAGCGGTCTTCCCCATGGTTATCACCAATATTGTTGAGGCTCAAGTTGCTATTTCAAGATTAACTAACTTTTTAACGAGTGCTGAATTACAATCTGATGCTGTCATTAGGGGTCCAAGCGTTCAAAATGGAGGTGTTGCTGTTTCTATCAAAAATGGTACCTTCTTGTGGTCAAAACCCAAAGATGAAGAAAACTTTAAAGTTGCTTTATCCAATATCAACTTGAAAGTTAAGAAAGGTGAACTTGATTGTATTGTTGGACGAGTTGGTTCTGGTAAATCCTCTATTATTCAATCTCTTTTGGGTGATTTATATAAATTGGATGGTGAGGTAAAGGTCAATGGTAAAGTCGCTTATGTCCCTCAAGTTCCATGGATTATGAATGCTACCGTTAAGGACAATGTTTTGTTTGGTCATAAATTTGATGCTCAATTTTATGATCGTGTTTTGAAGGCATGTGCATTAAATATCGATTTGAAAATATTACCAAAAGGTGATAAGACTGAAGTTGGTGAAAAGGGTATCTCTCTTTCTGGTGGTCAAAAAGCTAGATTATCTTTGGCTAGAGCTGTTTATGCTAGAGCTGACGTTTACTTATTGGATGATCCATTGAGTGCTGTTGATGAACATGTTGGAAAGCATTTGATTAGTCATGTTCTTGGGCCAAACGGTTTACTTAAATCAAAGTGTAAGATTTTGGCTACTAACTCAATCGGTGTATTGAGTATTGCTGATAATTTACATATGGTCAAGGATGGTAAGCTTGTGGAACAAGGAACTTATGATGACATTATGAAACAAGAAAAGAGTCAATTGCGTCAATTGATAAAGGATTTTGGTAAGAAAAGGGACAATTCCGGCACTGCCACTCCTATGTCTGCTACTTCTTCAGTTAGAAAAGAAGGTTCTGAAAACCCTAGCGAAATTGATTTTTCTAATTTGGAAAGTGATTCCGATTTGGATGTCTCGAGTTTAAGAAGAGCTTCTGATGCTTCTTTGGTTCCAGATGAAGAACTTGGAGAAGAAGAAGAAGAAGACGAAGATACAAAAGCTAGAAAAGAGCATATGGAACAAGGGCAAGTTAAATGGGACGTATATAAAGCTTACGCCCAAGCCTGTAATCCATACAATATTTGTATGTTCTTAGGTACAACTGTCACTTCCAGTGGTATTGGGGTTCTTTCAAACATTTGGTTAAAACATTGGTCTGAAGTTAACTCACAGTACGGCTATAACCCACACGTAGTAAAATACTTGGGGATTTATTTCTTGTTGGGTATTGCTTTCTCTGCTTCTGCTTTCACCAACTCCGTTTTTATGTGGGTCTTCTGTACTATTCATGGCTCTAAGAAATTACATAGTGCTATGGCAGTTAGTGTTTTGAGAGCACCAATGTCTTTCTTTGAAACAACTCCAATTGGTAGAATTCTCAATAGATTTTCTAATGATATCTATAAAGTTGATGAGATTTTAGGTAGAGTTTTCAGCATGTTCTTTAGTAATACTGCTAAAGTCTTATTTACCATCATTGTCATCTGTTTCTCTACTTGGCAATTCATCTTCATTATCATTCCATTGGGTGTGCTTTATGTTTATTACCAACAATTTTATTTGAAAACTTCAAGAGAATTAAGAAGATTAGATTCAGTTTCAAGATCCCCAATTTATGCTAACTTCCAAGAATCCTTAAATGGTGTTTCTGTTATCAGAGCATACGATCAAGCAACCAGATTTAAATTCTTGAATCAAGGAAGAGTTGATAGAAATATGCGTGCTTATCACCCTTCGATTAATTCTAATAGATGGCTTGCTGTAAGATTAGAATTTTTAGGATCAATTATTATTTTAGGGGCTTCTGGATTAGCAATCCTTACTTTAAAGTCTGGTAGACTAAGTGCTGGTCTTGTTGGTTTATCGGTTTCTTATGCTTTACAAATTACCCAATCATTAAATTGGATCGTCCGTATGACTGTTGAGGTTGAGACTAATATTGTTTCTGTTGAAAGAATAATGGAATATTCTTCACTTACTCCTGAAGCTCCTGAAATTATTGAAAGCAATAGACCTCCTACCGAATGGCCTGAAGCGGGTGAAGTTAAATTCAACAATTACTCAACGAAGTATAGACCCGAATTGGATTTAGTTTTGAAAAACATTAATGTTGCTATCAAGTCTAACGAAAAGATCGGTATTGTTGGTAGAACTGGTGCTGGTAAGTCTTCCTTAACATTGGCTTTATTCAGAATCATTGAAAGTTTCGACGGTAACATTGATATTGATAATATTGATACAAGCTCCATCGGTTTGGCAGATTTGAGACGTAAGCTTTCTATCATTCCACAAGATAGTCAAGTTTTCGAAGGAACAATTAGGGTGAATTTGGATCCAACTAATTGTTTCACAGACGAACAGCTCTGGAAGGCTTTGGAATTATCCCACTTGAAGAGTCACGTTATTAAGATGTTTGATGAAAGATCAAATAATGAAGAAAATGACATTCAATCAGCTTTAGATGTCAAGTTGTCAGAAGGTGGTTCTAATTTATCTGTTGGACAAAGACAATTGATGTGTTTGGCTAGAGCTCTTTTGATTCCTTCACATATCTTAGTTTTGGATGAAGCTACAGCAGCGGTTGACGTTGAAACTGATCAAATCTTACAAGAGACTATCAGAACCGAATTCAGCAATAGAACTGTTTTGACTATCGCCCATAGACTTAATACAATTATGCATTCTGATCGTATCATTGTTTTGGAACAAGGTGAAATCGCTGAATTTGATTCACCTGCTAACTTGTTGAGCAGGAAAGAATCGATGTTCTACGCTTTGTGCAAAGAAGGTGGTTTGGTAGAAAACGATTAGGGTATTGCTACCAAAGAATTATCTGATCTAACTAAAGAAAATGGAAAAGTCTATATGTGAATCATCATTAATCCTATAAAAGTTAATATATATGTATATATTTAATGTTCACTTCTCTTTCTTAAAGAGTTAATGTAATATAATGGGTAGAAATCTTTTCTTGATTCAACGTCACAATTATTTGCAAGAGAAATGGAATTTATCAAAGACAAGTTTTCTTTCGAGCTATCGTTCAACACAGAGTCAACGTCAAAATTATACAACTCAATTAAATTATCTTCTGATTCAATGTCAAGAGTTGCTAAAATTGTATCTTGATATAGGGTTATATCGATCAATGGATATTTCGTTTCAAAAGTTTGTTTGTGGGTGGCAGAAAATTCATTTTCATCTAATTTGAAAGTTAAGATGCAATTGGTGTTTTCACATAAAACTACTAATAGTTTTTCGTTTGATTTTGGATTAGCATAAGTCAAGATTTTAACAATTGAGATTTCTTTAGGAGAATCATCTTTTAAAAATCTTTCGGGAGGTAAATGAGAATCGTTCAAGAATGGTTGAATCAAATCACGTAATTGAACTTTAGATAATAATTTATTTTCATGCCATTTCCAAATAGCAAGATAATCATCACCACCACCACTTATCAATATACTTGGATCAAACGAAGGTATATGTAAATTAGAGACAAACTCTCTGTGGCCAAAGAGCCAATTTTTAACCACGTATGTTCTTGGATAATTAGTGATTCTGATATGTTCGTCTCTATCCCCAGTTAATATAAATTGTTTGTTGTTGTGTTGAGCTACCAATACATCACTTAACATTGAAACATGACCTAAAATTGGAACCAAAGATTTTTCATCCACTGGTTCACTTGTATCGATTGGAATGGAATAAACGTCACCAAATTTATCTGCTACGATTAAAGTTGAATCATCTGCACTAGTGGAAACAGCACATGGTCTTTTGGGGAATATTTGACGTTTCATAAGTTTTAGGCAGTTTTCTTCACTGAAATCAACATTGAATATGACAGCAGCTTTATCGCTATCGGTGGTACCAATTAAGTACCTTCCATTATTTGATAAAGTCAAAGATCTTACATAGTTGTAAATTGGTGGTGCTCCAGGACCCGGCACTGGAATCTTAGGTATTTTAATACCATTTGCGTTTTTCAGCTTCTTGCTAGCACTTTCTTCGTCTTCATTGGAGTCTTTTTTCAAGGCTTCTTGTTCCAATACTTTTATCTTATCTTCTTGTTGTTTTTTCAATGGAACAGAAATATCAACAGTATCGACCCATGAACCCACAACTGCACCTGTTTTGAGATTGAAAGCATATAAATGATTTTTGACAGATACAAATAAGTGATCTCCTGATTTATCTGTGACAGTGATTTGATATGGGTGCTTCATCCTTAGTAAGTTAATGAAGGATTTTTCAGACTTACGATTTTTTTTTTTTTTTACGAAGAGCGATGGACTTTCAAAATCCGGCACATAATTTGAACTGCAAAAAAATTGCCTAGTTGCATTTTCAACATTCTCTAATCTATATCAAATAGACACACGTTGTTGCGATCTGTATGAAATGCTTTTATTCGTTTACTTATTTTCTGTTATTTACAAAGTCTTAAAAGAAAGATAAGAAGAAATCAAAAATTAAAAAAAAAAAAAAAAAAAATCAAATAGACACACGTTGTTGCGATCTGTATGAAATGCTTTTATTCGTTTACTTATTTTCTGTTATTTACAAAGTCTTAAAAGAAAGATAAGAANAAGAAATCAAAAATTAAAAAAAAAAAAAAAAAAAAATCAATACAATAAAATCATTTCTTTTTAAATCCCCAGTTCCAGCCAGCAGACTTTCTTGTTGAATCTGATGTTATTGATTGGGTAGGAGAAACCACGTCTGATACACCGGGAGACAGATTTTCCGTATTTGATGAAGTTTTATCATTACCAACAACGACGAAACCATCATCTGGAATGAATTTTTGGGGGTGCATTGATTCGTTAACTTGATCCGACTGTTGTTGATTAAGCTTATTTTTCCAATTATTGAACATGTTGGTTATTGCATAGGGTTGATTATCGACCAAATCAACCCCAATATGTTTTGGATCTTGAAAATTGAAAATGAATTCATCACAAATTTTATCCCAAATATAATAGTTTTTAGTTGATTTCCATGATTTTATAAAAGCATCACCAAACAAGGATAAATCCCCAAATTCTGGATTAACTTTTGTATCAAAACCTGGGGGATTCGACAGAAATCTTTCAGTGTATTGGTGGAATCTAGTAGTTGAGACCAATCCCGATAAATAATCTTCGAATTGATATCTAATATAGTCGTCATTACCGACGAAATTTTCATCATCTTTATTGATATTCGATATTAAATTATTGATGAATTTTTTATCATTCCAGCTTAGACTCAAATCATCTGACTTACCAATTGGGAAAGTGACTTCATTAGTATCTAAGTTAACAATTAAATTAATTTTAAAATGGTTTGCTTGATTTAAAAATAATAAATTTGAGCAGCCAGCCATAAAGCTATTAATTTTCAATTCATCTAATTGTTGTAGAGGTAAATAAGGATTCCAAAAATTGTTTTTTGTATTAAAAATTTGTAGGGGTAATCCGAAAAATCTTAGCATTGATTGGCGATCATTTGTATTAAGGGTATGAGGTTTTGATAAAGTTGAATGGATTTCAGTGTAATCACTTAAAGGACAACCGGAATAATCTAAATTAGAGATTAAATTTGGTATTAAAGAAATTAAATTATTTTGAAATTGAGTTAATAACTCCAAATTATTATTTGAATAAATCAAAATTTTCTTTTCCAATAATAAAGCTTTGAAAATGATTAAAAAATTTGATTTAAATTTTAAAATAGTTTGTTTAATATTGAGGTTAACGAAAAATTCTTCTTCTTGTTCATTATTTTTTGATTCAAGTAATAATTTTTCTCTTGATTCTTCATCTAATTTTGAATATTCATTATTAGGATCATTGATTGAAATAGAATCATTTTCATCATGAACCAATTTAAAACCGTCATTTAAATTATCAAATAGATGTTCAAGGATTTCCACATTGTCAAAATTATCTTGTTGGAAATAACTTTTAGTAATAATTGATAATTTTTCTTTGATTTTAGTGAAAATTGGTTGTTTTCTTGTTATAACAACAACCGCTTTTTGAACGATTGATCTTGTAATATCTTTATGTCTTTCACGTTCTTCAACAGATAGATCTAGAGTTTTAACTTGGCGAACACAAGAGCAACCAAATAAGGTCTTCAAGTTATTTGGATTTGAATCAAAATGTTCAATATCATTTAATTCATCTAGAGAGATTTTATTATTAAAATCATAGACTAAATTAAAATTTGAAAAAGTTTCTTCAAATAAGTGAGAACCATCGGGTAATGCTTGAAATGGCAAATTTTTAAATAATTTATGGTCTTCATTGAAAACTGGATGATAATTTGATTTCCACCATTGGATTTCTGGTCCTCTAACATGATGGAAATCAACTAAACAAACTGCAAAAATCATATCATCATTTTTAGAAATATTAAATGAAGAGTCATGAGATTTTGGTGAATGAATTATAGGCAAATTTTTAATTTGAATTGATTTCCGGTTAGACAGGTGGCTTGGACTTGTGTCTTTATTTGAGCTGGGACTATTAGATATGTATGAATTGTGTTTACTACCGGAAGGAGTTTGAGGATTCGGATTATCATTAGTTATGGCTGAATTCAACAAATTAAAAGATTTATGTTTCTCTTCAAAGGACCTAATTGTGACCCCACTATTTCGACGAGGAGTTGATTGTACTGAAGTTATATTATCGTTAACCGTTTCATTTTCAGTTGATTTATTTCTACTACCTAATCTTATTGGGCGGCAAACAAATTCATCATTTTTAGGAGTATTGGTGATTGAAGTATTGGAAAGCTTGGAAGGACTATTTGTTATCGACAGGTTTCTTTTAGCTAAACGAAGTGGTTTAATGGAATCATCATCAGAATTTTTATTAGACGAATTCATTTTGGGGGAACTTACTTCATTTTCCCATGGATTTGTATCGATTTTGGAAGAGCCATCAATATCTTCTGAATTATCCATGTTACGGAACCTTAACCAATCACTAGGGGGGATAACTGGTAAACCGCTGGGGGTAGTAGTAAACGCTGGTAATTCTTTCTGTGGGAGGTTGATCTGCTTATGTGGTGGGTTGCGACACGACCCTATATTACTGCTGAAGAGAGTTACCAATAGATTGACTTAAACATTTGAGATTAATCATTTCGGTGATATCAGTGGTATTCAGTGATATCAGTGATACTCAGTGATATCAGTGGTATTCAGTGTAATTTAGTGATATTCAGTGGTATTTAGTTAGTTGATATTCAGTGATCCTTGTAATTGAGGTGATATCTTTGTAGGTTTCCTTCTAGCGTTCGGTTATCATATTTTTGGTTAGTCACTTGTTATATTGACGATCAATCATAGAGCTTTTTCAATATGATAACCATCTAGAAGTTCTGATCATCTTGATTGAATTGTCTACAGTACGTTCGTTTGATATTCCAATTGATAGCTCCTCTTCAATTGACATCAATCAATTACTCAATTGACATCAATCAATTACTCAATTGACATCAATCAATTACTCAATTGACATCAATCAATTACTCAATTG